GTCACATCGAGTCTTTGTGCTAAGCTAGGCTAGCGGTGGGTGCGTCAAACAGACTTATAGCACGCACGGAGATGAAAAAGGTATGTATGGACTTATCTAACTCTGGGGGTTAAGGTGAATAGGCTAAAGTCCCAAAAAGTCGGAGTGTTCCTTTAAGGGTACCCTAAAAAGGCGGATGTTGACGTATGGTCAAAAGACGTCCCAAGACGTCAGTTGTATGACTTCTTGGGATGAGACTGTGTTATGTGGTCTTAACCGGTCTTGAAGTAAAATGGATAACAGGAACAAATGAGTAATAGTCACTATTAACATTCTAGTTACTACTGTTAACAGGAAACTCTGATACAAACAAATTAGTAAGTAATAGCATGCAGTTAAATGTGGTAGTTCACTATAGCTAAAAGATAACATTTTTTTTTCATACAGAGAACTAAGGAACTAACTACTACAGGTCAATAATTAACATGGATAATGTGTGATTTAGAATGACTCAAGTGTTACTATATCCTCCTAAAGGAACTACTACTACTAATTTGGATCAGTATTCTAAAGTGAAAAGCATGATGTAGAAATGACTCAAGTCGTTGTAAGCTTTTGAGAGATTTTTGTAAGATTTTGAACAGTACTTCCTGTTGGATTTGGTAACGCTTGAGTCATTATAGTGGGTTACCATGATCTTCACACTAGAATAGTGATCCAAATAATTAGTAGTTCCTTTAGAATGATGTAGCAACACTTGATGTAGCAATTCATTCCTATTCAAAATCTTACAAAAACCTAGTTATCAAGCTTTTCACTTCAAAATACTGATCCAAATGTAGTTCCTTTATAAGGATGTAGTAACACTTGATTCATTACGGGTTACCATTACATTATAATATGCATTATTGACATTAAGTGAGGTGAAAAAATAGTAGTTACTGATTAGCTAATAGTGAACATTCAACCAAGCACTGCTACTTTTTCTGTTACTTAGAACTTCTTGTAACCCAACACTGATGGATTTCATATTTATATTATTATTTGATATAGGCCTATATATATAAATATGGAAGCCTATAGGCTTTAGGCTATTTTATGGAAGAGTAGACCTACTTCAAAGTCATGGTAATGCAATAGTTCTTTATGTGCTATAGTTCATTTAGTTAGTGTGTTGACATCTCTTTCGCTTGGAAAATGTCTTGACCTGCAGTACTTAGTGCTGCACTGGCGTTGAACCTTTAAATAAAGAGTTTCCTTATCACTGGCAAACGATGGAAACAATAATCATATCTTGTTTCAATTCATTGTAGGTATATTTTTCCCTTGATCCACTGGTTTTGTTCTCTGCGCCTTCACATCCCATTACTGTTGTGGAGAGAAACTGTTCCTGAATCGCAAACTGATTCTACGGTGGCACATTGCTGCCACACACACATTATTTTTTCCCTATGCAATTATGTCGTAATAACGAGATGTGTGCGTAATATCTTGTGCAAGGGGGAAAACCTCTTTTCCATGAGATATTTAAGCCAGATATCGGATTCAATTAAAAAAATGTACTATTTACTTTACTTTACCCAATCCATCAGGTCTTTCGTTTCTGAGAGTTTTGTTGTACCATCTGTGGGTTTGACTACCATGGGAAGTAGAGCCTTTAGTTGTATTGCTCCGGCGATTTGGAAAACTTTATTTTTTTGTGTGTGGCCATTCATGCCACAAGCTAACTAGCTAAAACTTTTCTAAACCTGAACGTAACAACGTGCTAACGGCAGCTTACGTTTAGTGTAGCCTTTAGTTATCCTTACTAGCCTACTATCTGTCTGACATGAAAAACAGTTCAAGGACCACACCAGCCTTCATACATCTTCGCTAAGTCTCGACCACATTCCTGTGAGGAGTTATGGCTGTTTAAAGAAAGCACCGAAATGAGCTAAAACAGCTAAGCTAGCTAAGTAAACCAGTAGAGAATGAATGTTGCTGCTACAGGGATACGTTTGGGATGAGGAATCATCAGAATATACTTGTTTAAAGACTGGCATGGTCCTTTCAGTTAATTACCATTACAATATCCATATTACCATTCTTTTCCCAAAATGCTGGGGGAGACCTACTGGTTTTCACGAAAGTCACTGTCACTTACCACAGACAATGATGAGCAGCTTCGAAGTCCGTTGGTTGGTTGATCCAAACTAATATCTAAGATCTTTACTATTACTAAGATCATATGTGTGTGTGTGTGTGTGTGTGTGCGTGTGTGTCATGTGTGTGTCAAGTGTGCCATGATGCTAAATATCCAGCTTGTTTATAAGAATTTTTTCGAGTCTAAAATTCTATTGAAGTTCTGAGCTTGTTGATGGCCAACTAGTTGTGAAATCGCAACGCATTCTCACCCAGCCCAGAATGCGTTGTCTCACCCCAAGGGGTCACCTTTTGACCATGCTTCAATATTTGACGCATTAGGCGCCCTTTAGTGTCAGTTCAACGCATTCTCACCCCAAGGCGTCACCTTTGACCATGCTTCAATATTTGACGTTTTAGGCGCCCTTTAGCGTCACTTACATGACGCGATCCTACGGCGTCATCTAACTGACGCTAAAGGAAAGCGTCGGTTAGAGGACGCGGTTAGGTTTAGGTGTGGGGTGGGGGTAGGGTACACGCGATCCTAGGGCGTCATCTAACTGACGCTAAAGGGCGCCTAAAGCGTCAGATATTGAAGCATGTCCAAATGCTTCCCAAGGCGTCAGTTAAGTGACGCCTTGGGGGTGAGAATGGGCTGGTCAGTTACATGACGTGATCCTACGGCGTCATCTAACTGACGCTAAAGGAAAAGCGTCAGTTAGATGGGCTGGAAATCATCACATATCCATTGATTTTGGTTGGATTTTAATATTTTTTTCTGTGGAATGAGTATAGTGTTTGGTGAAAAGAATGTCATATGATGTCATAACCGGTCATAACTTACTTGATTGCCAATGAAGTAAAGATGAAAATATTGGAAAAAAAAAATGTGAGAAAACGCCTATTTATTTATTTATTTATGTTGCATTAAATTGATGTAGAAATGTGTTTTAAGAGTTATTTTTTCAGTGGATGTTGTCAGTATGTGTTTGTGTATCTGGAATGCATTTTTTGACAGCCTACTCAACCCACTAATGATTTTTTTTTTTTTGCTTTGTACATGATTTGTAATGTTTTAAGTTGTACTTCTTTAAACTTTAGAGCCTTTAATTCGATAAAAAGGGAGTTTGCTGGCTCCATAGGTGTTTTTTTTACTATTCGTATGGCTCTCTTTTGAAGCATAAATGGGTCGGTGTTTGTTTTATATGTATTATACGTATTAAAATACTTCCACACAATAAGTAATGTATGGAAGCACAGGAACAATGCAAAGTATAATGATCTTTAAACCTTATACAATATCGCGATTGACTTTGAGATCTTGTTCTCCAGTATATGAGATATGGGGCTTCCAATTTAAATTATTGTCTATAATCACTCCAAGAAATTTAATAGCTGACACCCTTTCTATTTCAACTTCATTAATCATTAATTTACCTATATTGTATTCAATAAACGACTACCAAATACAATAAATGTTGTTTTCCTTGTATTTAATGTTATTTTATTTGAATCAAACCAATTTTTTAGCTGTACCATTTCTTTTTCCATTGTATCCAGAAGTTGTTTCAGATTGTCACCAGAACAAAATAAGTTTGTATCATCTGCAAATAATATAAATTTGAATACTTTGGAAACCTCACATATATCATTAATGTATAACAGAAAAAGCAATGGGCCCAGCACAGAGCCTTGGGGAACCACACATGTTACCTGCACCAATTGTGACTTGCAATTACTGTATCTATTTTGACATATTGATGCCTTTTCTCTAAATAATTACTTATCCAAGAGTGAGCTACCCCTCTTACTCCATATTTTTTCAGTTTCTAGTAAGATGTCATGGTCGACAGTGTCAAATGCTTTTAGATCTAAAAATACCCCAACTGTGTATTGTTTATTTTCTATTGCTTTAAATACTGTATTTTCTCCACAAATTCTATTAGGCATGTGAGGTTGTGCATAACTTCTAAACCCACATTGTTGCTTGCTTAGTATATCATTTTATAACAAAATCATTTAATCTTTTATAAAAATAAAAAAAATCTAATATTTTTGAAAATTGTGAAAGAAAAGAAACGGGCCTATAATTTGTAAAGTTATGTCTATCTCCAGTTTTATATATGCGTATATCTTTAGCGATTTTCATTATTTTGGGAAATATGCCTTTTTGAAGAGACAAATGCATATATGTACCAGGGGTTTCTCAACACACTCAATAATGTTTTACCACAGACATATCCATGTCATTCCAGTCAGTTGCTTCTTTATTTATAAATGATCTGACAACATCCATTATTCATTTTCCATCTGTTCATCTTATAAACATTGATTGCTTCTTTACACTACCTGTTTCTCTTTCCATTCTACTTTTCTTATCAATTCCCCAGGCAGACTGGGACCAACATTGACCAAAATAAATATATAAATAATCATTGAATTCATTAACAATTTGTTCCTTATCACCTATGACTATATTATTCTTTGTCATAATATAGGTTGTGCATCCTGTCCTTCCAACCTTTCCTATTTCATTTAATAGGCCTATTTTAAATATTAAATGATTTTATTATGTTTTTTCTATTATTCTCCAATGATTTACTCTCTCTTACAGTTTTTAATAATAGTAGTCAGTTTGTTTTACATAACTTATTTGCTTGCATTATTTTTGGCTTCCCTTTGTTAACCAGAGAGAGAGAGAGAGAGAGAGAGAGAGAGAGAGAGAGAGAGAGAGAGAGAGAGAGAGAGAGAGAGAGAGAGAGAGAGAGAGAGAGAGAGAGGCAGGCACGGAATCTTCGGTCAAACCGGTCATACAAGCTGTGTGTGAAACACCCGCCTCTCACATGCTAGTGTATACAATCACAGTCATAAGCATTTCAGTGAGAAGTCTATATTGGATATCACTGGCACCGGCGCGAACACCTGGCGAGACTTAAAACGATTCTTCTACGACGCGTAATTAACAGCAGCATATACTTAATTTTCGTTGTTATTATTAATTTTTCTTCAGGTGGTTGATTATCACATGGAAAGAGCTCTTTGCTAGGAATAACCTAGCAAAATGTCTTCAGTATATCAAACGCACCGGACCCAATAACGATAAACCAAATTCAACCCAGACTAAAGGTAAATAACTTCAACCATTGATATTATTTTAGTATTCTCTAATAAGTATAGAGTTCTGACATCTGATGAAGTGGTAGGCTACTGTAGGCTATTAATTTTGTAAAGGCGCATCGCGATAATAAAGTGAGTTCCAGAGATTCAGTCATAAATTAATGTTAATTAGCCTAAATATTTGGCGGTATTAAATATGAGGTAAACTGAATGTGGGGATTAGTTAGGAACAACTCAGTGATTTTCAACAGTTTTAGCCAAAAGCGCACAAAGACACAACATAAAGGGGCCAGGGGGGAATAGATAATAATAAAAAAATCAGCCTTTTAAATTATGTTTATGTACATTTGTGTATTTATTATTTTATTAATTTTATTATTATGAATTTAAACAGCATCTAGGCTATATAAAATGGCGTTGTAAAAACACGACAGGCAAGGAATATATCATAAATTGCTTTAAGTTACTTAAACTGGGTTTATTGTCAGTGGTGAAAATAACATATTTTATATTTTAAAAGCATTAAAATCCAACCACACTCTTATTAAAATGCTGGGTTGTTTTAACTCAATTTCGGGTCAAATATGGACAAACTTAAACATTGGGTTAAAAATGTCATTTAAAAATGTAACCCAATGGCTGGGTTAAATTTGTCCATATTTGACCCAAAATTGGGTTAAAACAACCCAGCATAGCGTTTTGAGGATGTAGATAAAATATGGGGAAAAAATCCTACCCTTTAAATTCACTTCCTGCACCCATTTCCATCCCTGGTTTTTGATGTAATGTGGTCTACAAATTTGTCCAAAGTTTACCAAGTCAGATGCTCTTCCAGAACATTCTCATTTGGCAGTGGATTTATGATGAACTTGAAGCTCCATCATGTTCACCATCATCATTAATAATGAACTATTTGATTGCTTCTTGATATTAAAGTGCAATTGATCTTGAAACATATAGCATCTGTACCATTGCTGGAATTACTGAATAACATAACCTGCATTTTTCTTTTGTTTCTATATCAGCACATCTCCTCTAATGGCCTTCTTACAACAGTTAAGACTTCTTCTCTGGAAAAACTGCCTCAGTGTCATCCGGCAGCCAGTGAGTAAATGCAATTGTACAATTAGACATTTTCATTTTATGGTTTAAAAAAACAAAAAAACTGGATGCCCAGATTAAAATGATAATGTCTGCATTGAGCAATGATTCTGTGGAATTCTCTGGGTGTCTACCCAGAATTAAACTTTAACTTTGCGCAACATAATATTTGCACAATGAATGTTAAAATGTAAGAGTAGCCTAAGTTCTACACCTTTTTTTCTTTTTGTTAGCTGATTTGGTTGTGTTATTGCTATTATAGAATTAAGTTAACACAGCAAAGTGATACTGTACTCTTATCAGAGAAATTACTTGCTGCGTTGTACAGTAGGACAGTAGTTCTTGTATTGTGCTTTATTGCTTTAATATTGTTTGTATCCGTAAAACATATATTTTTTTAAATGATTCAGAAGACCTTAGGGTAACACGTTACACTAATTATCATGAGTTCATGTATAAATTCATGCATGAATTATGCATTCATTCATGCATTAATATCTCATGAATCATGGGGAACTAACACGGGTTCAACGTTTTTCATTCATGACTTCATGGATGAACAACACCTTAATTAATTAACTAAGATGAGTACATCATCATGAATTATGATTAATTACGCATGATCATTATGTTTGCTTTGTTAAAAGTTATGCCACCATTAATAGCTCATTGTTCATTAGTGTTTCAAAGGACCTAGTCACTACTTTAGTTGAGGGGCCACACACATGATGAAGTCATTAATAGATAATGATGACTTCTGTATTGGAATGTCAACAAAATTTGTGTGCTATGAGCTGTGATTGGTCTATTTTGGGGTCTGTCCAATAGAGAGCCTCCCCTTCCGGTCGACCACCATGGGACCTTATTTCGGAAAAAATATTATATGGTAGTCAATGGCGAGTGACAACAAATATTTTGATCTCGTTTGAATTGTGCCCTGAATTACACATATGATATTTGTCAATTTAAAAGATACATTTTAAAGTAAAGAAAGTCGCAGTTTGATGTAAAACCGTTGAGGTATAAGACTGTGAAAATACGTAATTACAAAGACTACAACCCCCAAAGGCGCACATTTTCTCTCAATGAATGAAGCTTACTTTACTGAGACTAATGTCTGTCATTGTTTCTATAGTCTTACGTTATAATCGTAACGTTACGCCGTCATACCTGAGTGTTTTGTACCAGACTGCACACACACGAGCAGCGGATCTTGCTCGTTGTTTTGCTTCCCGGGAGATGTAGTTCATTGAGCGATTTTCACATAAAACTAAATTTTACTCTTCTGTTTCATGACAAACTGCGACGTTTATGACTTTCAGAATTATCTTTTAAATTGACAAACATCATAAGTGTGATTCAGGACACAGTTCAGACGAAATAAAAAGATAAGTTGTCTCTCGCCATTGACTACAACACATATTTTTTTTGCGAAATAAGGTCCCATGAGCTGGAAGCGGAGGGGCGGGACTTAGGCTCTCTATACAGTAGTCATCATTAACTAAGCATTATCTATCAATGACTTCATCATGTGTGTGGCCCCTCAACTAAAGTGGTGACTAGATCCTTTGAAACACTGATGAACAATGTGGTGGCAAATCTTTTAACAAAGCAAATATAATGATCATGCGTAGTGCGATGTGCTCCTCTTAGTTAATGTTTTAATTAAGGTGTTGATCATCCATGAAGTCATGAATGAAAAACATTGAACTTGTTAGTTCCTGATGTTTCATGGATGAATGTATAATTCATGAATGTAACCAACAGTAAAATCTGATGGGACATTTGTTTATTGATGTTTTCAGGGCTGGTCACTGGCTCTCATCATCTGGCCACTTGTGATCTTTATCATCCTGGCGATCACCCGTTCACAATTCCCTCCAAAACTGAAAGAGACCTGTAAGTACTGTACCTCTATTACACATCATCCTGTAGACTGTAAAAGAAAGTCAACTAAATGCTGTTGTGATCACAGTGACATGACAGTGACTGAAGGCATTCTGGGTCGGTTAAAAGATGGTTTAGGTTCTGGGCTTCTAAAGGGTTGCGGTTTCAATCCTGAGTCAGAAGCTGTGGAGTTACTGAGCTCACAATCCTGCTTTCCTACTATGTCCTTGAGCACAACACTGAACCTATGGGGACTGTCATTGCACTTAGTGTACTGTAACTTGCATACTCAAAAGCGGGTCTGCTCATCTGCAAGGAACAGTAACATTGCTGATGGTTTGATTCATGGTTTGATGGAGATATATGCTACTGAACAAGTTTTCAATATGTGCAATATGGTGCAGATCTTGAGCAGGCTGTTTCCACTGATCTCTTGAGCACATTTGACACTATCCACCCCATTGCTTGGGAATGTTTTAGACTATAGTGTCTTATTCTTACATAATGGATGCCCAACAGCTAATCTCCAATGTTTTACATTATCCATCTGCCTCCAGGTTCATTTAAATATGATATGGGATAAAATACATTTTCTCAGATTTGTATGCAATCCGCCCCTTTAAGCTGACTGTCCTTTGGGAGTTTTCTGTTATCTCACATCTCTCTTTTGAGGATTGGGTTGTTAGGCCTGGTCTTTCCCATAAGCAGCTCCCTTATGCCTTGCAATGTTCTGCACTGGCAGATTCAGCGTTTGTCTAATTGTATATCTGCATCCATAAGAAACTCATTTAATAATGTGAGAAAACAAGTGCTTAACCTCAGAGGTAATCTATTCTGACCCCAACTAATTCTAGTTGGTGTGTTTTCCTTGATATAGGAGAGATGTATAGATAATAAGTAAATAAAATAGCAGCCTATTATTTGTAGGGGCTGTTTTTATTGTTAAAAGAAAAACTAATACGAGGAGAATATTTAGGTTAATATCCTGGCCACCCTTTTCCATATAAAGAGTAAATTGATGAAATATGATGCATTGTCATCTATATCTGTAAAAATCTGTAATGGCTGAATAAACAACATTTGGATATGATCAAATCGCATTTGTTAATACATTTAAATTTATTGATGACTAATTGAACTAATTTGGTTTGAATTTTTTACTTTTTCGGAATGGTATGAAACTTGGTAAAGGTTTTGAGACATTAATATGTGAATAACAATAAAAAAAAATCATGGATATGAATCTGATTCATAAAGGTTAAATGGTCCTGAAAAAAATAAATGAGTCACAGTTGTACTGGGATCTTATCTAGTAACTTTTTTTTTTTTTTTTTTTAATTTCATGCTCAATAAGCGATTAACATATTATAAATTGATCAAAACTATTACATAAATACATTAAATACATACATAAAAACATAATTGCACTAAAATATAGTTTTTTTTTTAAATCTGTAATTTCTGACCTCTACTCAAACAGAACCAGAGTGTAAATGCAACAGTCCTTGTTAGTATTTCCTCATGTTAAAGGGATAATTCTGTCATTATTTACTCACCCTCAAGTTGATGAAACAGTTGATGGTCCCGGGTCCCCATTGACTTCCATTGTATTTTCTTTACTATGGAAGTCAATGGGGACCATCAACTGTTTCATCAACTGTCTGGTTTCCGACGTTCTTCAAAATATCTGTGTGTGTGTGTGTGTGTGTGTGTGTGTGTGTGTGTAGCAGAAAAAAAAAGACTTTTGTACTGGTTTGGAACAACTTGAGGGTGTGTAAATGACAAACTTTTCCTTTGATAATACCTTCTCTGTATGTTTCAGGAAGTTGCAGCATTAAAATCATTTGTATGCTTGGCACACCCCAAGTAGCTTTTGTCATGTTTATTTCATATCAATCTCTATTTTCTCTATGGTTTTGGTTCATTCAAACACTATTTGCCGGACAAACATTGCATAACGTCATCAATCCTAAAGTACCAATCCTTTTAAGTGTTCAATCTAATGTATGTTTTGAATCATGGCATTGTGTTTCTAAGAACTCACGAAATCAAACATGGTATATTGCCATTGAAAGTCCTAGACCGTAAAACCAGACTTTAAAAACAAACATTCTCCCTCCCCTAGAAAAAAGAAAAAAACAACACAGGTTTAAAAAAACATGATTGAGATCTCAAATGTTTTTCCTCAGACAGCAATGTGTTTAAATAGAGAATGAAGGTAGACGTTGCTGCTCTGATTCTCAGATCTTTTTCTCCTGAGGAAAAGTACCTTCTCTTAGAGATTCAGAGGACAAACAGTCGGCAGTCAGATATATCTAAGACTTCAATATGAGCTTTACTTCAAGACAAAATTATGTGGGCTATTGTAAAAGTTAAAAGGTCTTTTACATTATGTCAAATATGAAAGCTTTGAATGTTTGATGTCAATTCATCTGTTTATGATGGAGGTATATGCAGAGAGTGGAAGGAGAGAAAAAGGTAGAAAGAAGTGAAAAAAGAAGAAATTGTCAGTGTCCGATGGTTTTATTTCTATATTCCTAAAGTTTTCTTAGGATTGAAACCCAAAGATCACCCACAGGCAAATATTACTAGTTAAAAATACAAAATGTTTCATTCAGTCAACATACAGTACATGTTAAGTATTATAGACTTGTATGTATAATATGTATATATATATATATATATATACGTATATTAACACAGTATATTTACGTAATCTGTATTTAACATTGTTGTAGAAAGACTCATTTGAGCTTTTGGGCTAGTTCATGGTCTGCTGATGATAATTTCTAAATACTTTTAAGTTTAATTTTGATGATCTTTGAAGAGCGAGGGAAATAATGTCACCTCATCGTATAGTTTTTGCCAGTGGTTATTATTGCATCAAACCATCAAAGTCGCTGATTGTTCACATTTTAAGGAAAGTAATTTTGCCAGACATCATGGGGCAAAGGTGGATACTATTTGCCTTCATTTATTTTACTGTCCATATTCTTACAAATATCACTGTCTAATCGCATTTTTATTTCTCCTAAGTTTTAAGAGAAACATGCGCTGCTTTTAGTCCAAATCCGATTAGATTTGAGGTCATATTTAGGAACTATAAATGTTGACATAAAACAATTTGCATACAGTCTTTCTCTTCCTGGAAAGCAGACTAAAAATGCCCTCAGGGACCTATACAAATTTCTATCCAATTAAATGTCTCTAGAATGAGAATGTCCCCACTTATACCACCTGCCATCGTCTAGCAATAGCAAGTGGCAAATTATGAATTTGATATGTCCTGTTTCAGTGGGAAATATGTCAACACAAGAAGTAAAACTGTGTTCAACAAGACATCATGGGCTATCCTTAACAATGAAAAAAAAAAAACCTCTGGGCAATAAAATATAACTCTGCGCTGTTTCTTTCAGGCTATGTGGCTCCGAAAAACCTTCCGAGCACCGGATTTTTCCCTTTCCTGCAGACCCTCATGTGTAGCACCGACACTGTGTGCACCAGCAAATCTTACCTAACAGAAGGACAGTCCAAATCCAACTGGTACACGGGTCATCGTCGCCGCAGGGATGTTGAATCTCACAGGTCTGAATCTAAGATATCTTTATGATATAGAATACACTTAAATAGTTAACGTTTTGTAGCTGTAAAAACGTAAAAATGTTATGTTTAAATGTTGCAGATACGCCCATATTATACGTTTCAGCATCTATCCAAACGTACTAAAAAGTACGTTTTCTATCTTTGCAAGTAACGTAAAATACCTACGCATTAACAATGAGACCAGTCTGGAATCTAACACATGTTCTCCCCCACAAACTTGTTTCATTTTCTTAGAAAGTATCAAGTCTGTTTTTTTGTTTTGAATTCCATATTGGTTGTGTTATGATGATCAGATGTGTACATTAAAGGAATAGTTCACTTTGAAATACATTTTTGGCATGTTTTAGTTTACCTCAAGATGTAGGTGTCTTTGTTTCCACAATATTTTCAATTTTGACATTTTTTGGTCAAACCGTTCTTGTCTGTCAGTCATATAATGGAGGTCTATGGTCACCACCTCAAAGAGCATGCACAGAAAAGTTTAATGACTCGTAAATGTAAGAACACATTGATGGCCTAAGACACGAAACGAGCGGTTTGTGTGAGAAAACGAACAGTATTTATATCGTTTTTACCTCTTGTAACCACAGCCACGTCCAAGTGATCTGAGGGCACGGGGGCTTCAGTCTGCGCAAGCGCTGGAAATGATCTCTCGCATGACTGCGGAAAAAAAAATCAAAGTTGTCTGTTGATATATCGAAATCGTCTTCGTTTGCAATTTCCTGTATATCTAAATATGTTTAGATCATCACAGTGAAGGGTAACACTTCTGAAATCTCTGTAAACAAAGAGTGACGTACACACGCGAGAGATCACTTCCGGCGCTTGCGCAGACCGAAGCGCCCGCACCCTCAGATTACTTGGACGTGGTCATTAAATCATGTTTAATTTGGACTTCTCTGCGCATGCTCTTTGAGGTGGTGCCCATAGCTTATCAGTGGATGCCCTTGAGGTAAGCTAAAACATTCATTTCAAAGTGAACTATCCCTTTAATGATGATATTTGTGACCCAGCACGTGCCTTAGATGTCTGATAAAGATGGCTCAGTTCACCTGTTGGAATGCATCACTGATGAGATAATAATGAATCTCTAATGAATACTGCACCTCCCGCGACATCGCGCGACCCTTTTCCTCAGTTTTCATTAAAGTACAGTATATTATACTTATAAAGCTAAGAATACCCTTGTTTGGTCAGATGGTTCACAAAAGTTTTTGGCTGTTTAATAGAGGAATATTTACCAAACCCATTGTGCTGTGTGTATAATGTCCTTGTTGAGTCAACAGTCAAAATCTTTCGTCATTGTTGCAAATGTTTGTTTGGTGAGTCATGTGTCTCTTTAGATTTTTGAGCCTATAGGCTTGACGCTGCTACTTAAAAAAAAATAGGAGTAGAAATCACTTATTCATTGTTATAATTCGATCAGTTCAGTCAAGATCACTTGGTTTAAATTTAATTCTGTCATATTGTAGTATTGTTTGAAACTTGTTTTCGAAACTCAAAAGGAGTAAAAATGTTAACGCTGCTCTTTTCCATACATTTAGGTTTACATTTGCTCTTCTTGCTTCCAGATTAAAAACTTTAATATTGTAGTAACATCAGTGAACTGAATTAGGTTAAAGAATGTTTGAAGAATGAAAAATGAAGTGGCATTGGCTCAATAAAGTAAAGTAAAATTATAATTAACAATAAGGTTTGTTAGTTTAGATTTGCTTTGCTTTAACATAAACCACAGAACATTTCATGAGTGAATTTAAACACTCCATAGATAGCCTGTATAAAAAAGAGTAGAAACTCCCATGGTGGCATTCCTCTTTTTGCGTCCTCCTATTATATACTATATCATTTCTTTGTGTACTCTCAACAAACTCACAAGCAGCTCATACCTCAGGGAGGGTTTAAATTCACATGACTTGTTTTCGTAATCCTCCACGTAGTGCTTATCTTAAAGTAATGATCCATCTTTCACTGTGACATGGGCTTTTGAAAATATCTGTCTATCCTGTTTCTTTTATGTGTTGGCTTATAGACGTCAGCATTACAAAACAATGACTTTGTATGTTATATAACTATTGTAGAATATAACAATTTGCTACACTTTAAGTAACAAAATAGATTATAATTTTAAAAAAATAACTAGAATTCTTATATATATATCCATGGTCCTGTTTTATTTTAGTCTACCATCACTGTTCCATGGTTTACCTCCACTGGCCCATCTAGAGAAGGGAGGTCTGGTTCACTCAATCCTGAAAAGAGAGACATCAAATCACCCAGAGCTCCTGGAGATATGGGACAGGATGCTCAGTATGTAAATTATCTTAAGTCATTTTAATACAACGGCACAAAAATAAATAAAATTACTTTGTTTCTATGTTTTTTAACTGTTGTTTACATTTTTTTTGTAAAGATTCCAGCCTTCAAAACATTCCCAATGTGACTTCCGTCATGCAAGCTTTTAACAACACAGATCAGGTTTGTGGTTTTCGCAATCAGTAACACTTTTCTTGAAGGGGTGTGAACATGAAGTAGGGTTTATGGATGTTTATGACAAGTTTCTTTCACTCAATAATGACATTTTCGCTCAATAATGACATTGTTTAAAATGTCTTCGTCATGACAACCTGACATTAATTTAAGTTAAACTGTCATGGTTGGTGGTTGGCTCTGTCTGTGTCATGAATATTTTTCGTGACCTCAACTACAGTGGTACTAATTGAATTTGTCATTAAAAGGTTATAATGGCTTATAATGACAGGCTTATAATGACAGTCAATGTCAACCAATGTTACCCAATAAAGCTAGGTGGTTTCTTAAGTTTGATAATTAATCTGCTGTCTGATGTTTATGACAGGTTGTGTTGTCTTAGTAATGTCAAGTTGTCATGACAAAGACACTTACAGGTTATGATGTATTGGTGTCATAACAAAGTCATCTCAAACAATGTCATATTTGCATTCAAAATGTCAAAACTGAGTGAATGAGACTTAATGACAGTTGTCACAAACATGCATAAAACTTCCTTTATATTCAAGGTCATGTTAGTCTTAGTCTTATGTACACGCCTTCAAGTAAAATGTTACCTGGCAATCTTGACGTATACATGTCTCTTGTGTACATATACCGCTTTATTTTATTTTATTAAGAGATAATATGTAAAAGGTTAATTCATTTATGGTAATACCGTCTATACAAAAATACATCTACTGTAATTGTAATAGAAATGTTTGTAAAATTGTGATGGTCCATTAAAAAGTAATCATTATAGTTGAAATGTTTCTGTATATTTTTCATGCAATATGGTTAGATGCATTTCTCGCCTTGACTCATGCAACAACAAACAAGGAAATGGCTAATTATTCAATTAAAATGTTCTTTTTTTTATTCTTTGTTGTAGACAATGGAACCTGTTTGGGAGTCAGTGAACATTCTGAAAAAGTCCTTCTGCAGTTTCTCCATGACTGCCATCAACACATCAGCCGGGGCCCACGATCTCTTCACGCAAGGCTTAATAAACTTCTGCAGTTCTGACGACACGGTTCTAGAAGCATCCTTACTAACCCTGAACCAGGTGGGTTTGACCTCCCACACTGTTCACAATCTTTCAGTCTTGTCTCATTAAGCCCACGAATATCAAATTAAAGTGTCATTTAAATGAATCCTTAGACAAGATGGCTTATGTGTATCTGATGGCTTGTGTGGGTCACCAGGTACTGACAGAAATGCTGCTCAATAACCCGGCAGAAGTGTTGGAAATGATCGGAGGGACTGTGGTGGTCCTTGATAGACTTCAACTGGAGACGTCAGTGTGGGACTTCATGCTTGGCCTGCCAGATCTTTTCCTGAAGCCCACAGATAAAGAGAAACTAAAATCTGGGGCAGAGGAATTGGAGAATCTTAAGAAGTGAGTTATGAGGAAAATAGTCTTCAAATAAAATTGTGGTCATAAGTTCACTCACAGATTTGGGGTTGTTAATCAATCAGAATGTGACACTGAAGTAATTGCTATGCCATCACAGGAATAAATGAAATTCACAATAAGAAACAGTATTGTTTTTTCAGTATGTATTTACGTATATGTCAATTTGCAAGTGATAAAATATGTTAGTTCAGACATTAGGGTTCTGGAAATTCTATGTTGATACAGTATATGTAGGTGCTCTGCTTGGATTTTGAAAGTCAGTTTGATATCCACAACACTGCACGTTCTGTTTTACACATGTAATGTTTGTTGTTTTGTCTAGTTTCAAAGAATCTCAGCCTCACTTTATTTATTTTCAATTAGAGCCTTGACATACCTCCAGAGGACTTTCCCACAGGCCAACATCTCCACTGAGGCCACAAACCCAGTCATCAATAAAGGCATTGGCATTCTCAACTACATGGGTGAATGGAAAGGGAGAGGTATGCTGAAGTTGACTTGCTGAACTTGTTTTGTGAACTGCATGGTATTTGTGGTAGTCTAAGTGCTATCATACTTTGTGAGTACTTGATTATTCCTTTTCATTTAAGTTGATATATATATATATATATATATAGCCTGTATGCAGTGGTTAAAGTGGGATTTGGCAGGTGGGGGAACCCTCAAATTTTGTATAGGTACAACAGGGAAAAATGACTCACCGTGGAACAACAGAGTATCGTGGAATAATAATTTTTGGGTCAGGAGTGTCGCTGTGGCACCAAGTAGGCCTATCACTTATTTACTTGATATTTTAATGGCTTTATTTGGGCTCATCTATACTGATATGATGACGATACTATGTTAAAATTGCTTAACACTTGGACAAAAACTGAGCCCTGGCACTGTGCCAGCCCACATTATCATCCCCAGCCCCACCCACAGACATGTGCATTAAAATGTGAGGTATTTAGGGCGGTTCGGGGGCACGCTCCCCCGAGAAAATTTAGATTTCTCTGACCTACACATGTGCAATTTAATACTTATAAAGGCCAAAAAAACAACAACTCCTTATCCTGCCCTATTTCTTTCCCTCCTAAAGCTGAACTTTGACTGATAGTCTTTTCATTTTTGTCTGTGTCAGTGAAGAAAGTAAACATAGGCTTAACTGATATTCATATTATCTTAAACAAGTTAATTTACTCAAGGCGACTTTCCCCCCCAGAGTTAAACAGTTGGGTTTTACCATTTTCGAATCCATTCAGACAATTTTCTGATATTTAGAAGAATATCAGAAACCAGACAGTCTCTGGTCCCATTGATAGTCGGCTGAATGGATTCGAAAACAGTAAAACTCAACTGTTTAACTCTGAGGGTTGAGTAAAAAAAGTGGAGTATCCCTTTAATGTCGATTTTCAATGGTTACATAATGTTGTAACTAATCCAGCTATTGATCTCTTTGTAAGCCCTTATAGACCATTTCACAAGATGTAAACAACACTGGTCCAGAAGCACTTCCTGTTTAAGTTTGTAACGGTTTTCTTTATTTCACATGTAAAGAAAACATCTTAAAGATGTTTGTTTAACTTTTTGATTCAGTTTTAAATGTTCTGTTGGTTGTATTTTATCCCAGCTTTTATGTAGTGTTAAAAAACTGAAACAGGAAGTGCTTCTGGACCAGTGTTGTTTACATCTTTTGAAATGGTCTATAGAACAGTTGTTTTGGGAAAACAAATGTCAGGCGAAATATATGAAGAGTTCAGATGCAAAAGCTGCTAAGTGCCATTTGAAATTTTCTTTTAGAATGATAATTTTTATCAAGCTTGTATATTTAAGTTCAGTGATTTCACTTAAATGGCAATGATAATGACCTATTAATTGTTATTTAAGTGAAATTACTGAACTTAAATATACAAGTTTGATAAAAATCATCATTAAAGAAGAAAATTTCAAATGGCATTTAGAGGCTTTTGCATCTGAACTCTTCATATCGAACCTAAAACTAACTTTACCGCACTCAACCACCGTGAGTGCATTTCACGCATTTGTAAACGCTCGCTTTCAGCGGGGAGGAAGGGAAGTTGGTCGGTTGGTCGGCTCATATCGGGACCAGCGAGATTCGTTGAGGACCGTTCCAGCCCACTTTAACCCCTGTATATATGTGTATATATATATATATATATATATATATATATATATACACAGTGTTGTGCAAGTTACTTCCAAACTGTAATACATTAGGTATTACTCGTTACTGTTATTTAAAAGTAATTCATTACCTTACAATATTACTGTCTCAGAATTGTAATGCGTTACATTACTCATGTATTACTTTTGAGTTACTTTCACCAAAATAACTAAGTAGTACTTAACTTTGGGGCTGTAACGATATGCAATTTGAAACCGAAATCGCGATTCACCACACGACTCAGATCCACGAACCTACAGAATCGCGACACACCTCTTCCAACTCCCAGCGTTATTCTCCTTACCGTCCAGATCCAATGCTGCCTTATCTTTAAATTAGGCTATTAGTATTATTTGAAGTTAACATTATAAAATACGTAGACCTGCACCACAAAACTAGTTGAGGATAAATTATTTAAAATTCCAGCATTATGGACGTGACATTTGCAGTCAAAACTTGAAATAAAAATTCTCAGAAAATACATGTATTGAAACGTATATAGGCTATTTCCTTAAAGGACAGACATTAGACAAATATCAGTCTATGTTTTATTTTTAATATTAAGGAAAAGACACACATTCATGCGTGACAAAAAAAAAAATAGGAGGCAAAATATATTTTTTGTAATTCTGTTAATTACACTGCGCAAATCGGATGAGAAGGGGTTGGCATTTTAGTTTTCGTGTTCGCATTTATGAGGAAAAAACAATGTTACAGACGCGACCGCTCTAAACTGGCACAAAAAGACTGCTTTAAAACTTTCACATAGTCTGTTGCCTTTAAGAAGTAAAATACACTGTAATACAACTGTAATATAAGCCTGACTGAACATGTAACGAGTAAAATATTACTGAAAATTGATTAGTAATGCCTTACACTACTGCGTTACAGCAAAAAGTAATATGTTACTGTAATGTATTACTTTTGTAATGCGTTACTCCCAACACTGTATATATATATACTGTATATACTCTATATATAATATACAAATTAATATTCAAATGCATACTGAAAGATGCTGTATTTCAGTTAACTAGTTATATGCAGTTTCTTTGTTACTGTTACTGTTCCTCAAGATGAAACTATATGTCTGTAAAGACGTGAACCAAATGGCCCATAAGAACGGATAGGTGTAGGCCAGCCACACAAATATTGGGCATCGAATCTCTGTTATAAAGTTCTGCTTCAGACAGAACTTTGGGTTAAGATTTTTGAAGCTGCTGAAGAAACACACCTTATCTTCTCCCCACACGAACTCTGGTCAAATTTTATATATTAGATTATCGAAATCGATATATTATATTATATATTAATATATTACTAATATACTAATATATTATATATTAGAAATCGAATACATTGGCGAGCTACCCGAACGACCGCTGGGCCAAATACAGTAAAATCTAACAATACAGTATTTAAACTTGAATGCACAAAAACCAATTTCGCATCGTTAACATTAAATGCCAGTAAAGTGACTCTTCACATGTAAAGTTTGTACAAGGTTGGAAGAGTTTTTTCAATGGATAAGGATAAACAGAAAAGGTTTTTAAGCGGACAATTGTTGGTTTAAAACCACTGAACAGCCTTACTATCTTGGGGGAGATGTTGATCACTATGGGATGAAGGCTCCATTCAGGCTGCATTTACACTGCAGGTCTTGATGCCCAAATCTTATTTTCTAAATATGTCAGATTTTTTTGACGACCCGCTTACATCATCTTTTAAAAGTGACCCGTATCCGATCTTTGCATTTACACTATACACTGCTGAAACTACCAAATGTGGACGTTCTGACCCGGAAAAGAAAGTAAAACAGTACGAAATGCAATGGATGTAGATGCGAATAAAATTACCCAGTGTTTTGCTTTCCACAGTATTCTGAGAAATCAGCAAAAAAGTCAGCAAAACGTACGGCGGAGAAAAAAAGATGAGAGCACATAATCCCATATCTCGTGAAATGTCTTTTTTCCCCCGCGCCGTCTCTTTGCCCCAAACACTCAAAAGAGATGAAACCCCTTCGCATTTCTCCACTGTGTGTATCCATCGTGCCTATAAGTCACGTGATCTCAGTTGGTGGTATCCACCTGATTTGACATCACTTTTTTAACGACGTACGACTCGCATTTATTGGGCAATACCCGATTTGTCTGCTTACATGGCACACGCAAATGCACGTTTCCGATTCATATCCAGTTTATTACCACATGAGTGAGGCCTGGATTTGGGTCACTTGAACCATGCAGTGTAAATGGGGCCTTAGAGACCAATGGTCTATTGTCAAAACCTGTTTGGACAGCCTTGTTCTATGTGCACCACAGCCTTAAATGAAGGTCAATATCCTAGTGGAGTTTTTAATGGATTTTATTAGTTTGAGAATTATTATTTTGATCCCTGTTTAATATACACAAATGTTGTCACAAACTGCTCCGAGACACGAAGTTTGAGGATCCAAATGAATTATTTATTTAAAGGGTTATCCACAATTGTAATCCAAATCCTGGCAAGGGTCATACACAAACAAACAATCCAAACAATCACAACAAGGCAGGGAACACGAGCAAAACAGTAATCCACGGAACAGGCAAAAAAATCAAAAAACCAAGAGACATGAAACCAGGGAGAATGCTAGGAATTGCAATGTGACACTAAACAAGACTTTGCAGGGAATGAAAGAAAGAACCAGGCTTATATAGAGTGAGAAAACAAGAAAATGAGACACAGGTGAAAACAATGAGTGCTAATGAGTCCAGACAGAGAACTATGCTAGATGTAGTTTGTGAGGGAATTACAAGCAACAGTCTGTTGTGGAGTGCCCTCTGGTGGCTTTCAAGGGCACTCCTCCGGCTGGTGACCATTAAAGATATGCATATGAGAGCCATTCATAGGTTGATTTCAACCAAAGATATGAGTTTCGGGCTTGGTTTGACTATTGTCAGGAGTGTTAAGGAAACCTTTTTGAAAACAGTCATCAATTGACGTTCAACTTTCAAGTGTTTTAGAAAGCTGTGCCTACACACTCGCACAAGAACTCTCATGTGTTGCAATAGTGCAAAAGTGCAATCACATGTTTCTCTTGTTTTATGTAGATGTGAATGTCAAACTGAGTGATGTCATGCGCCCAAGCAGCATTGCTGTACTCAGCTCAGACATAAAGGACCTTATCAACCAAACCCAGATCCCTCTAGACAAGGTAGGCCTCTCTTGGTTTCTCAATAATGGTTCTTTGTTCAAAATATGAGCGCTTCTACATCAATTTTATAGGCGTGTATCAAAGAGAATTGTCTGCCTTTTGTTTCCTTTAAAAGTTATGAACATTTCCACCACAAATGATGTGCGTATTATTCTGTGGTGGAAATTTTAAACATTTTAACACTAAGGCTAATTTCTTAGTAAGCATTTTATATTCATATCACACGTGATATTTACCTTCCTTATTCGTTTTATATTTCACCTGATTTCAGGAGAGTTTGATGTTAGCATGTTGCTAATTTAACAACAACATGATTCTCTAACATTAAACTTGATTCATGCATTTAGTTATAGTATGACTTTTTAGTATTTATTCTCAACATTTCATGGATTTTTTCATACGTTGACAATTTTGGCAAAAGTCTTTATTCAGTTTGTGTTTCAGTTTAAGCAAAATTTGGCGTTAACATGTTGCTAGGCTAACAACAACATGACACTCTAAAGATGCGGTCACATTAGCAAAATGTCTTTTTTTTTAACTTTGAATTTTTTTTTGCGAGAGACCAACAGTGAGACCTAAATCGCGTAGCTACTACATTTGATTTTAAACTTATTTTTAAACTTAACTTATCATTAAAATGTATGTGTTAAATATGAATGCGTAGAATGAATGTTACCCGGGCGTACTACATTCGCCATGTTGTCATTAACGTGACCCACCAGCGTCAGTTGCGCCGCTTCACCTCCTTTCATTAATTTTCTCCCATGGCCTCATGGGATAGTAAAGTGACTATCGAATGCACACTTCAGAATTTAGTGGGTCAATTTTGCCTACTGTTTTTTTTTTTTTTTTTTGTTCTCCGCGTGCTATATAGTAGGGAAGTATTCGATGCCGGACTGTTTTACTTTGTTTGAAGTTTAGGAGTTTATATAAACACACAAATTACTACACAATCATTCACACTCACACATGTTGTGTCCTTCTCAGATTCTTGTGCTGCTAAATGAGGAAGGCTTTCGTACCTTTTTGTGTGACCAAAACATTCTCGCCTCCTATTGTTGGAGCTGGGAAGTGGGCCAGATATTTCAAGGGATAGATACGTGGAAGGTTGTTGAACAGGTAAATTTCTCAGATTCATATCAGTATCTATTAATAGCTGCTTTATAACCTAAAATATAACCTGTTGTAGGGTGAGAAATTCTCAATTGTGGTTCCTCCTACTTACCTGCTATCTTGTGGGAAAATACACAAACATCAGCTATGCATGTAACCTTGGAAACCAGCTCAGTCTAAATACAAAACAGCATGCTAGCCGCACTGAGGCTGATTGCATGAAAAGTATGTATATGGAGCAAGCCTCCAGGGAGCCCCAATTAGATACTCCCCTCACCTCAGAGGGGACTCATAACAATATCGTATTACCATGATTTTGCATTCAAAAGTCATGTGACATGTTCAAATGACAAATCCCATGCTGAGTGTTTTGTAGGACTTTTAATTAATCATATTAATTTAGGGTGTTTAAAAAAATAATGCATGCATGTTTTGAGGCTAGTTCACCTACTTTTGTCGACCGAATAACTTCCTGTAAAGTTGATTGAAAAATGAAAAAGGTTCTTGCATATGTCATTTGCATTTTATTTCGATTTTGCATGATATTTTTAATATTGTAAATGACCAGACCAATAATATTTCCATGCCTCATGCCTGCATGTGCTCCCTGCAGGTGCTGTTGGCCTGGACTCAGACCTCTGCCTCTGCAGACCTGGCCTTCTCTAAGGAGGTGTTCGACAGCTTGCTGGGCCTAGTCTCTCCATCGAGCATGGATGCTCTTCTCAAACACAGCAGGTCGCAGCGAAGCAGTGACGCTCAGCCACAGAGCCTAGGGGAACAATTGTATGTCAACCTAGACTATTTGCATCTGTTTAGATGGAGTTATGTAGTAATGAGATTGATCTGTTTTTCTGTAACAAATACTCAGTTTTACTTCAGGATTCATTCAATGGACAAACCATGAAAGTATATAACCGGTTTTTACTTGCATATTTTTGGTTGTTTTTTTGAGAATGAGAATGCAATCTGTCAATGGTGGCATCTGCAGAATCTGGTTTGATGAAGTGAAAGGTGACTTTGTGCTTGAATAACATAGAGCACCTACATGGATCAATTGTTTTTGGCAAAAATCGATTTGAAAAACCTGATATAGTTTGCCAAGAGAAGCTGGCATGACATTAAACAAACAAACAAACATGCTGTATTTGCATGTTACTGCTGGTTTAGCGAGATAAATCTACAGTATATAAGTGTTTGTCATAAAAACATTATTGTAAAACTTTTGTTAATTTTATTCTCACTGCTTCTTCCTGCTGATTCATCTGGCATCTGAATGAAAAAAATAAATAAATCTGTTTTTAAAATCACCTCCCACAGAATCTTCGGATTAGGCAGTACAGCATTTGATTTTCTACAAGGGATGCCTGGCTGGGAATACATTCAGACTTTTTTGATGGGTGGCCATTCATCCATGCAGGTGGCAAGAGTTGCAATGGAAGCACAGCTACGTATGTATCAGCATGTGTAGAAAATTATGATATGAAAACTATTTCTGATGCTAGCCACAGACAGTAGTTCATCTGAATTATCATTATCTGTTTCACAGAATTCATCGATGTGATCCTTGGGGATGCCAAGTATGTCCAGGAGGTCTTCCTTTCTCTAATGCAGAATGAGACATTTGCTGAGGCCTGGGTTGACCATGGCATGGACTCTATTGTGCAAACAGTAGCTAAGGTGGGTTTAAAAAAATAATAATATTGTAGTTTGCTTTAAAGACTTCATTTGCCAGATTGGATGTCCCCTATTTTTTTTTTTCATATAGGTTCTAGAAGGTCACACTAGCTGCAGAGAACTTTCTGCTCCCTGGGCTTGGATGTCAACATACAGCTCTATAGACCCTCACTTATGGGGCACTCTAGTTTGCTCTGGGAATGACTCAAGTCTTCAGCAAATACTCTTTACACCACTTTTGCCTGTAATCGAGAAGGTAAAGGGATGTGTTTTGAAGTGATTTGCAGATTGTTACTGTGTTGCTATTTGACCAAAATTGGAAATTAATGATTATTACTAAAAATGTTTCCATAGGTCCAACAGTTGGTTGGTGTAGTAAATGGAACTGTAATGTACAACGTCACACCCTCCATTCTTATGGCGGAGTGGCACAGTCTATACACAACCTCCCAGCAGTATGGCTCTGCCCTTCAGAACTTGCAAACTGAGCTTAGTGAGGAATATTTTACTGCTTGGATCCCAGGGAACATTTCAGTTGGTTTGCAACAGATTCTGTTGACCAGGTCAGTAACCTACTTATTGTTCAATATCTGCTATGTGATCAGGATATTTTTTGCTGAGAATTACATCAAATAGTGAACCAAACTACAGTCCCCATAGAAACACATTTCAGGGCAATTTACTTGCAATGTTTATTTGCATTTTGATTTGATTTCTTGTGATACAGGGGTACTGATGGACTTGAGACCATAGGTTCACTGCTAGAGAAGAGCTCTCTGTGGCCCTCCATGGAACCATATTTTCATATTGCTTATTGGATTTTGACCTACCAACCAAACGTAACGGTATCACCAAACTGTGAGTGTCAAAAAATTACAAATCTGTGATCAATCAGTAGACTTGTTTCTTAATATCTGTTTATGTTGTGGAATTAGATGATTTAACATAGTTTTTGCTATTAATTTTATAATGATGAGTAATTTTTTTTTACATCATTTATTAATCTAGACTGGTTTTAATTTTTTTTTTAGCGTTTTTTAATCATTTTTTAATCATTTTTCTTATGCTGAAGTATAATTCAATTATGTAAGTAGTTATGCTGTATAAATTCAAATTAATGTATTTCGAATAAACATAAAATATCATTAAACAATAGTATATTTATAAGTTAACATTTGTTGCCAGTTTTATTGATATGACTTAAATATAATTTTGACTGAAAAGTGTTATAAATTCCAATTATCATATAACTTATCAACATTGTGAAATTCCTGAAGTTATTGCTTGATTGTACTTTTATTTATTTTAAAATTACAATTAATATACAAAACAAATGAATTATATGCACCTTTTTGCAGGCTCTTCATTTCCCTTCACCTGTCAGACTGGCTTTACATGGGAATCATCTGTTCCACTGATTCAGTCTTTGATATCTCAAGTGATTTATAAACCTGACAGCCTGCTAAGGTAGTGATGGTTTACTGCAAAATATTTATTGATATGAAAGCAATATTTACCTCCTGCACTACTATGTGTTGTCATGATATTCAAAATATATTAAACTGCATAAGAAGACCTGTATGTATATATATTTTTGTTATAAACTAATTTCCCCTGTAATACAGACATTTTTTATTCTGATTTTAGACCTCTCCAGGGAACAGTGGCTTTCCTCCAAAACAGCTACATGGCATTTTTAAAACAAGTCCTTCTTAACAACATACCTAGTCAACTGCTTGGTAGTGACATTTCACTACAAGACTTGTTGCTGAACCTCATTAATACAGTTGAAAAGGAAATCCAGCTCCTCTCCAACATTGAGTCCACACAGCAGTTTGACACCCAACTTTCACTCGATCTGTTAAATGACATCATGGCGGCTCTTGGACTGGGGCAGATAGAAAACTTCTTGTCAGGAGGATCCCAAACAACCAGCCTACACCCAGTGATCATGGACGTTCTTCAGCTCTTGAACAATGGGTCCATGCAGATGCTAAACAATGAGGAGGGTTTTGCAGTTCTTCACACAATTTTGAGCCAACTTGGAGCCATTTTGCCTCCAGAGCAGCACTATCAGTTAGAAGCAGGGTTAAATAAGACTTATGTCCTCATTCGAGATCTGGAGATCTGTTCGGCTCTTGGCCAGGACTGTGTTGCTGATGTCCAGAATGTATTTGATTTTCTTGGTGCAATGCTTGCATTTGGAAATAATATCACCATCCAAATAACACCTCTTGGGGGAAACATGACTCTCCCTGTTGTAGTTGATGTGCTCACTCTGTTCCTGCCATGGAACATGTCCCAGCCAGCCGAAGCCTCTATGGAAACTGTGAGGAAGGTTCAACATCTTCTCGAGCAGGCTTATGCATCTCCTGTTTTCAACATCAGTCAAGGACTACAAGCCTCCAATCTCACCATTTTTGAATTAGCACAAATCAATTCTACAATTCATTACATAAGGTCAGCGTCCATACTGCAAACTCTGAATATGGCCGTTCAAATCCCACAATGCCTGAACACTCAAACCACACAATCTCCACATTGGCATTCTGCCAGTGGAGAAGCCAAATGTGTCCTTCAGCTCATTCAGAGTGCATCTGGTTTAATTGAAATAATACCTGTAGCAGAGAACGCTCAAATGAGTCTTAAAGATCTGCTTAACATCACTGTGGTAGAGTATCAGAAACTAAGTAGCATGTCTAGTTCCGGATCTGACCCACTTGCATTGACAGAAGAGGTGCTGATAACAACACTTGCAGACATCAGACAGAACCTCCAGGGTCTCGGTGTAGAGAACATCAATAATATTACAAGTGATTTAAACATTCTGGAAGACCTCTTGAAAACGGTAATCAGAGAACAATATCCATACCACACCATTAACTCAACATTGATGGCGCAGGGGCAGTATGCACAGAAGATGTATGTGGATATCACACTGTGGTATCTTAACAAGCTTGGAAATGCCACCAGTGGCAGTATGTTTGCAGAGATTCTCAATCATCTGAAACGCATGACAGAAATGCAAGTGGCACTTATCAATGCAGAGGCAGATCTGGTGACGCTGGTGATGAATCAGATCCAGAACTTGACCCATGTGCAGCTTCCTCTGGAAGGTGAAGATCTTGTACAAGTTGCCAATACAATTATGATTATTTTGCAAGGTGAGCTGGGACTGATTAAAAGAAACCTTGAGATTCAAGAGGCATTCTACAATTCTCTTGGCTTCCCAATAAACATTAGAATTCCTGCTGAAATTGAAGCTCAGATCATGACCTATCTCAGTGTGACAAGGGAATGGGTCACCAACCAACAAGTGACAACGGCACTTGCAGGAATTTTCCAATGGGAAATGACCTCTGTAGATATCACAACACCTGGGACGGATCTTGAGAAGCTCCTCCAAGCCATGATTCCCCTACTCCCCCCTAAAGAGAGAGAGTATCTTGCTGTTGTTGACCAGGTCTCTCAGGCAGTAAATTACGCTCTACAGGTGGCTAGCACTGATGGTGGTATGCAAAATGAAAACTTTACCGAAGCCATCATCAGTGCTGTGAGAGTGGTTCTGGAGAGCATGTATAATGAGACTGAAGCTCTACCTCAGGGGGTGGTTGAAAATGTTCTTAGTGCTTTTAACGGTGCCCTTCAGCTGATCTTGAACACCAATATGAGCTATGCTCAAGCTAGGAACCTCACAGAGGAGACTGTCCAGAGGGTGGATGGACTGATTAATGCACTTTTGCCAGCAGAGGCAGCAGAGGCGTTGGTTCCCATCACAAAAAGCATTCTAACCTATTTAAAGACCATTTCCCAACCCAGTGGACCTGACAAATGGAATGAAGTGTAAGTGCAAAACTATATCTCTCCCAAATTATTGTTTATTTGTTATTTTCATATATATTTGTTCCATATGAAGTGTCTCTCTTTTTGGATTGACTGTACAGTATATGTCTAAAGAGGTAGATTCCATAACAGTCTTGATGATTTTCATTTTTTTCAGCATTATCAATTTGATGAAAGAATTTCAGAATTTTTTCCCATCGAACAACACAGCTCAGCCTATCGTATCCATGTTGATGAAGATCTCAGAATTCATTCTCAGCTCAAATGAAGGCAACTTGACAAAGGACTGGATCATTAACCAACAACTGACAACTGCACTTGCCAGAATCTTTCTGGGGAATGTTAGTACTGTAGATCTCGCAACAACTGGGGTGAATCTTGACCAGCTTTTGCAAGCCATTGCCCCCCTACTCTCCCCGGAGGAAAGAGCTTTCCTTTCTGTCTCCGAACGGTTGTCTCAGACGCTAACCCATGCTCTACAGGTGGCTAGCACTGAAGGTGGTCTCCAAAGTGAAAACTTCACAGAAGCGGTCATCAGTGCTGTGAAAGTGGTTCTGGATAGTCTGTCTAATGAGACTGAAGCTCTATCTCAGGATGTGGTTGATAACATTCTGGGGGCTTTCAATAGCTCACTTCAGCTGAGTCTGAACCCCAATATGAGCTATGCTCAACTTGGCAACCTCACACAGGAAACTCTCCAGATGGTAGAAGGAGCGATTCATGCCCTTTCACCGGCAGAAGCGGCTGAGGTGTTGGTTCCAATAAAAAACATCATTTTGAACTATCTAAAAAACGTCTCCCAACCTGCTGGATTTGATCAATGGAATGAACTGTAAGCATAGTGATTATTTCTTTCTCTCTGTTTACTCTCACTTTCTAATTACATTTCTATATTATGTACCTATATGTATATTTGGAGAAAAGATGACAGTTTACTGATTTTCTTTTTCAGCATTATAAACGTGATGACAGAACTTCAGAATTCCCTGCCATCTAACAACACAGCTCAGCCCATCATATCAATGATTATACAAGTCACAGAAAACCTTCTGAGCCCAAATGAAGGCAACATGACAAATGACTGGATCATTAACCAGCATCTGACAATGGCACTTGAGGCAATCTTCCAGGGGAATGTTAGTTCTGTAGATCTTGCGGCAACCGGTATAGATCTTGACCAGCTTCTGCAAGCCATGGCCCCATTACTCTACCCTGTGGACAAAATCTTCATTTCAATTGCTGAACAGGTCTCCCAGAAAGTAAACTATGCTCTACAGGTGGCTAGCACTGAAGGTGGTCTCCAAAGTGAAAACTTCACTGAAGCCGTCATCAGTGCTGTGAGATTGGTTCTGGAGAGTATTTCTAATGAGACTGAAGCTCTACCTCAGGATGTGGTTGACAATATTCTTGGTGGTCTTAATGGTTTACTTCAACTGACCCTGAACCCCAATATGAACTACAATCAATCTACCAGCCTCACACAAGAGACTGTCCAGATGCTAGAGGGAGCTATTCATGCCCTTTTGCCAGAGGAGGCAGCTGAAGTGTTGGTTCCCATCACAAGTAGCATTTTAACCTACCTGAAGACCATTTCCCAACCCAGTGGACCTGACAAATGGAATGAAGTGTAAGTGCAAAACTATATCTCTCCCAAATTATTGTTTATTTCTTATTTTCTTATATATTTGTTCCATATGAAGTGTCTCTCTTTTTGGATTGACTGTACAGTATATGTCTAAAGAGGTAGATTCCATAACAGTCTTGATGATTTTCATTTTTTTCAGCATTATCAATTTGATGAAAGAATTTCAGAATTTCTTCCCATCGAACAACACAGCTCAGCCTATCGTATCCATGTTGTTGAAGATCTCAGAATTCATTCTAAGCTCAAATGAAGGCAACTTGACAAAGGACTGGATCATTAACCAACAACTGACAACTGCACTTGCCAGAATCTTCCTGGGGAATGTTAGTACTGTAGATCTCGCAACAATTGGGGTGAATCTTGACCAGCTTTTGCAAGCCATTGCCCCCCTACTCTCCCCGGAGGAAAGAGCTTTCCTTTCTGTCTCCGAACGGTTGTCTCAGACGCTAACCTATGCTCTGCAGGTGGCTAGCACTGAAGGTGGTCTCCAAAGTGAAAACTTCACAGAAGCGGTCATCAGTGCTGTGAAAGTGGTTCTGGATAGTCTGTCTAATGAGACTGAAGCTCTATCTCAGGATGTGGTTGATAAAATTCTGGGGGCTTTCAATAACTCACTTCAGCTGAGTCTGAACCCCAATATGAGCATTGCTCAACTTGGCAACCTCACACAGGAAACTCTTCAGATGGTAGAAGGAGCGATTCATGCCCTTTCACCGGCAGAAGCGGCTGAGGTGTTGGTTCCAATAAAAAACATCATTTTGAACTATCTAAAAAACGTCTCCCAACCTGCTGGATTTGATCAATGGAATGAACTGTAAGCATAGTGATTATTTCTTTCTCTCTGTTTACTCTCACTTTCTAATTACATTTCTATATTATGTACCTATATGTATATTTGGAGAAAAGATGACAGTTTACTGATTTTCTTTTTCAGCATTATAAACGTGATGACAGAACTTCAGCATTCCCTGCCATCTAACAACACAGCTCAGCCCATCATATCAATGATTATACAAGTCACAGAAAACCTTCTGAGCCCAAATGAAGGCAACATGACAAATGACTGGATCATTAACCAGCAACTGACAATGGCACTTGAGGCAGTCTTCCAGGGGAATGTTAGTTCTGTAGATCTTGCGGCAACCGGTATAGATCTTGACCAGCTTCTGCAAGCCATGGCCCCCTTACTCTACCCTGTGGACAAAATCTTCATTTCAGTTGCTGAACAGGTGTCCCAGAAAGTAAACTATGCTCTACAGGTGGCTAGCACTGAAGGTGGTCTCCAAAGTGAAAACTTCACTGAAACCGTCATCAGTGCTGTGAGAGTGGTTCTGGAGAGTATTTCTAATGAGACTGAAGCTCTACCTCAGGATGTGGTTGACAATATTCTTGGTGGTCTTAATGGTCTACTTCAACTGACCCTAAACCCCAATATGAACTACAATCAATCTACCAGCCTCACACAAGAGACTGTCCAGATGCTAGAGGGAGCTATTCATGCCCTTTTGCCAGAGGAGGCAGCTGAAGTGTTGGTTCCCATCACAAGTAGCATTTTAACCTACCTGAAGACCATTTCCCAACCCAGTGGACCTGACAAATGGAATGAAGTGTAAGTGCAAAACTATATCTCTCCCAAATTATTGCTTATTTCTTATTTTCTTATATATTTGTTCCATATGAAGTGTCTCTCTTTTTGGATTGACTGTACAGTATATGTCGAGGTAGATTCCATAACAGCCTTGATGATTTTCATTTTTTTCAGCATTATCAATTTGATGAAAGAATTTCAGAATTTCTTACCATCGAACAACACAGCTCAGCCTATCGTATCCATGTTGTTGAAGATCTCAGAATTCATTCTCAGCTCAAATGAAGGCAACTTGACAAAGGACTGGATCATTAACCAACAACTGACAACTGCACTTGCCAGAATCTTCCTGGGGAATGTTAGTACTGTAGATCTCGCAACAACTGGGGTGAATCTTGACCAGCTTTTGCAAGCCATTGCCCCCCTACTCTCCCCGGAGGAAAGAGCTTTCCTTTCTGTCTCCGAACGGTTGTCGCAGACGCTAACCCATGCTCTGCAGGTGGGTAGCACTGATGGTGGTCTCCAAAGTGAAAACTTCACAGAAGCAGTCATCAGTGCTGTGAAAGTGGTTCTGGATAGTCTGTCTAATGAGACTGAAGCTCTATCTCAGGATGTGGTTGATCAAATTCTGGGGGCTTTCAATAACTCACTTCAGCTGAGTCTGAACCCCAATATGAGCAATGCTCAACTTGGCAACCTCACACAGGAAACTCTCCAGATGGTAGAAGGAGCGATTCATGCCCTTTCACCGGCAGAAGCGGCCGAGGTGTTGGTTCCAATAAAAAACATCATTTTGAACTATCTAAAAAACGTCTCCCAACCTGCTGGATTTGATCAATGGAATGAACTGTAAGCATAGTGATTATTTCTTTCTCTCTGTTTACTCTTACTTTCTAATTACATTTCTATATTATGTACCTATATGTATATTTGGAGAAAAGATGACAGTTTACTGATTTTCTTTTTCAGCATTATAAACGTGATGACAGAACTTCAGAATTCCCTGCCATCTAACAACACAGCTCAGCCCATCATATCAATGATTATACAAATCACAGAAAACCTTCTGAGCCCAAATGAAGGCAACATGACAAATGACTGGATCATTAACCAGCAACTGACAATGACACTTGAGGCAGTCTTCCAAGGCAATGTTAGTTCTGTAGATCTTGCGGCAACCGGTATAGATCTTGACCAGCTTCTGCAAGCCATGGCCCCATTACTCTACCCTGTGGACAAAATCTTCATTTCAATTGCTGAACAGGTGTCCCAGAAAGTAAACTATGCTCTACAGGTGGCTAGCACTGAAGGTGGTCTCCAAAGTGAAAACTTCACTGAAGCCGTCATCAGTGCTGTGAGAGTGGTTCTGGAGAGTATTTCTAATGAGACTGAAGCTCTACCTCAGGATGTGGTTGACAATATTCTTGGTGCTCTTAATGGTCTACTTCAACTGACCCTGAACCCCAATATGAACTACAATCAATCTACCAGCCTCACACAAGAGACTGTCCAGATGCTAGAGGGAGCTATTCATGCCCTTTTGCCAGAGGAGGCAGCTGAAGTGTTGGTTCCCATCACAAGTAGCATTTTAACCTACCTGAAGACCATCTCCCAACCCAGTGGACCTGACAAATGGAATGAAGTGTAAGTGCAGACAATATATTTCTTCCAAATCATTCTGGCTATCTTTGTCTTTCAATATGTGTAAAAGGGTGTACTGACACAAGGCTATCTGAACTTTGCTGGAGCACGTTTGACCTCCAAAATCTGGTTCGTTTGACTAGTATGATCCCTCCTTACTTTAACTGGACGTGTAGTGTGATCACTAACTGTGTGGTAGCACGGAACAGCTACTACTTTTGCGTGCGATACTGTCATAATCATGACTACAATAAACATCTTCTATTACTACTTGGATATTACCCTCAAGGATATTTAGGTTTATATCGGGTCTAGTTCTGACCATGAATTATAGAACATGAATAATAAATAGAAACAAATCTGTTATGAAAGAGTCATGAGAAACTTGACAATGTTCATTTTCTATTTCAGAGTTATAAATGTCTTGAAAGAACTTCAGGTTTTCTGGCCATCAAACAACACAGCTCAGCCCATCATATCTATGTTGCGAAACCTCACAGAATTTGTTCTGAGCTCAAATGGAGGCAACTTGACAAAGGAGTGGATACTTACCCAACAATTAACAATGGCACTTTCTGGAATATTCCAGGGGAACGTTTCCACTGTAGATCTCACAACAACTGGGAATGATCTTAATCAGCTTTTGGAAGTACTGACACCATTGCTCTCTCCTGAGGACAGAGCCTTCATCTCTGTCACTGGACAAGTATCTCAGACACTAACCTACGCTCTACAGGTGGCTAGCACTGAAGGTGGTCTCCAAAGTGAAAACTTCACAGAAGCCATCATCAGTTCTGTGAGAGTGTTTCTGGAAAGTATTTCTAATGAGACTGAAGCTCTACCTCAGCATGTGGTCGACAGTATTCTTGGTGCAATTCATGGTTCACTTCAGCTGATCCTGAACCCTAACATGGACTACGGTAAAGCTAACAACCTCACTCAGGAGACTATCCAGATGGTAGAAGGGGCATTTCATGCCCTGTTGCCAGCAGAGGTGGTTGAGGTGTTGGTTCCCATGAAAAACAGCTTTATAACCTATTTGCAAACCAGTTCCCAATCTGCTGGACCTGACAAATGGAATGAAGTGTAAGTGTAGATTGTATTACTTCCAAAGGATTGTGTCTATGTATCTTTTTCATCCCCCCCCCCCCAAAAAAAAAAATATGTACAGAGCAGTGATTCTCAGCCTTTGTAACTCAAAGGCTCTTCGACTAGCTACAAATTGAATGAAGTATAAATGTAGAGAATGTATCTTTATAAGGGTGATCTGTTGATATACAATGGGGCCAAAAAGTATTTAGTCAGCCACTGATTGTGCAAGTTCTCCTACTTAGAATAATGAGAGAGGTCTGTAATTTTCATCATAGGTACACTTCAACCATGAGAGACAAAATGAGAAAAAACAAATCCAGGAAATCACATTGTAGGATTTTTAAAGAATTTATTTGTAAATTATGGTGGAAAATAAGTATTTGGTCACTCACAAACTAGCAAGATTTACGACTCTCACAGACCTGTAACTACTTCTTTAAGAAGCTCTTCTGTCCTCCACTCGTTACCTGTATTACTGGCACCTGTTTGAACCCGTTATCTGTATAAAAGACACCTGACCACAACCTCAAACAGTCACACTACAAACTTAACCATGGTCAAGACCCTTAAGTAGCCATAAGTTACACACTACACCGAGAGGGACTCAAATCCTGCAGTGCCAGGCGTGTCCCCCTGCTTAAGCCAGTTCTTGTCCAGGCCCGTCTGAAGTTTGCCAGAGAGCATATGGATGATCCAGAAGAGGATTATGAGAATAACATGTGGTCAGATGAAACCAAAATATAACTTTTTGGTAAAAACTCAACTCTTGTGTTTGGAGGAATCGTGTTTGGAGGAAGAAGAATGCAGAGTTGCATCCCAAAAACACCATACCTGAAGCATGGGGTAGGAAACATCATGCTTTGGGGCTGTTTTTCTACAAAGGGGACAGGAAAACTGATCCGCATTGAGGGAAGAATGAACAGGGCCATGAGAGATTTTAAGCCAAAACCTCCTTCCATCAGTGAGAGCCTTGAAGATGCAACATGACTGGATCTTCCAGCATGACAATGATCCCAAACACACCGTCCGGGCAACGAAGGAATGGCTCCGTAAAAAGCATTTCAAGGTCCTGGAGTGGCCTAGCCAGTCTCCAGACCTCAACCCCATAGAAAATTTGTAGAGGGAGTTGAAAGTCCATTATTGACCAAATACCGTAAAAAGTCTGTATAATCAGCGCAGTCTCATCCCATGACGTCATATAACTGACGTCTTGGGACGTCTTTTGACCATACGTCAACATCCGCCTTTTTAGGGTACCCTTAAACGTCGGTTAGATGACGTTATCGGATCCTAACCCTAACCCAGACCTAAACCTACCCCTAAACCTAACCGACGTTAAAGGTAAAGCGTCAGTTGTATTACGGTCCGGGATCATCATCTAACCCACGTTTAAGGGTACCCTAAAAAGGCAGATGTTGACGTATGGTCAAAAGACGTCCCAAGACGTCAGTTATATGACGTCTTGGGATGAGACTGTGTTAGTATAATGAAAGTCCGTATATTGACCAAATACTTATTTTCCTCCATAATTTACAAATAAATAAAGAAAAAAAAGTGATTTCCTGGATTTTTTTTGTCTCTCATATTTAAAGTGTACCTATGATGAAAATTACAGACCTCTCTCATCATTCTAAGTAGGAGAACTTGCACAATCAGTAGCTGACTAAATACTTTTTGGCCCCACTGTATATAGTAGATAGGGAAAAACTTAGTTTTGGGCCAGTAAGATTTTTTAAAATTAATAAATACAGCTATTTTAAATTTTAATATTGTTTCACAATATTCGTGTTTGACTGTATTTTTTTTATCAAATAATGCAGCCTTGGTGAGCACGAGAGACTTATTTACTTATGACTTACCGACCCTAAACCCTGTAGTGTATATGTAGTACATGTATTTGTGTATGCATGTATCATGTAAGTTAGTGATCTTTTTCTTTCTCATTTTCAGCATTGTAAATGTGATGAGAGAGCTTCAGAAGTCTCTGCCACCTAACAACACAGCTCAGCCCATCATATCTGGATTTCTTAAGGTCACAGAGTATTTTCTAAACTCAAATGAAGGCAAGTTTACTGTGGTGTTTGTTCGAATTCATTGGATGATAATTACTGTGGGCATCATTCTTTTTTTTATTTAATAAAGTTGTCATAGATATATGTACCATATTATATGTACCATATTATTTTTCTCAGGATATACAAACATGTGGGACAACTTAGGAAACTTCAGTCTTGGCAGCCTAAATGAAATAACAGAACAGGTAAATTGCTTTTATTTCTCGAAGGCCTGTTATTGAAATCTCCTTCAGGACAAACAGATCTTCTGACATAAATATATCACCATATTGTGATGTGAGGATTTATTGCATAAATAAAAACATGTCAATTTATACTCATTTTAAACTTTTAACTTGATTTGTGATGCCACAGCTTGCCATCTTTCTGGGCTCTGTGTCACCATTCATGAATGAGTCTGCCCAGACTGCCACAGAATCTGTAGCCGTTCTAGTCCAGATCCTCTCCGGGAGTGCTGACCAGCTGACCTTTGACAAGTAAGGCTTGACTTTCAGTCAAAAGCTTCATTTACATCGAAGTCAAGAGAATCTTGAGTTTCTCTCAGAACATTGACCATGTTTGAAATGATCACAGATCATGGTTTTGGCTGTGACTAATGAGTTTGTTTCTCACACTGAAGATCTGATAGCTTTTGTTTTCTTTGGATTTGGTCAATTTTTTTACATATTCTGATCTTTGATGATCTTATAATCAAGTGGTTGTGGGTTTCCTACTCTTGTCTTAAATGATAACAAATGATGAAAGGGGACGCAGAAATATCAGACGTAAATAGACCGTTTACAGAAGGCAATAATACACTGCATGAAAGATAATTTTCAAAAAAGCATAATATGTCACTTTAATATATTAAAAAGGACACATTCATTTATGGATTTGGCCGGAATCAAACCAATATGTATGAAATGTCTCAGCTTTTGAATGGTAATCCGACTGTGTTTGTTAAACAGGTTGGAGAAGATGCTGGCTGCTCTGTTTTCAACCTTCAGAGATACTCCCATGTGGGATTCGTTGCCGTCTATAGTGTCCATAATTCAAGAAGCCATTGTCAACAGTACTCACAACATTCAGGCACAAACAGGTGAGAAAAACATGCCTACAGTTGAATACAGCTGCAAAAGAGTTGCAGGGTATGTTTCTAGATTCTTCCAGACATCAACGGTATGCATCTATAATGCAAGTGCTTTCTTTTCCACAGAGCTCTTCCATGTTCTCCAGCAGCCATTGTCCAGCCTTTTAACAGATATTTTCCATGCTATGAACACCAGCAGTTTTACAGCTCAGTCTTTTGTTAGTGGATTGCCACAGGCCATTGTGTTGACTGCAGAAGCTGCTCTACAGGTTAGAACAACATTCATATCTACTGATGTAACGCACTGTTAATACAATTATACAATACATTCATAAAGTGGTAAAGAATGTAACGCATGTTTTCAGCATATAATAGAGGGTTGGTGAACTGGCTTTCAATGCAAGCTTGGTGAATAATGATTGACCTTATCATTCATGACACATACTGTATCAGTAACAAAGTACTGTGTTATCAGATACCTATAATGTGTTTGTTGTGGGTCCAGCTGAAAAAAGTCCTTACTGACAGTAGAAAGAAAAGAATGGCATAGTGTGAAATAAGGTCGTGTCCCACTAGCCTATTCAAATGACTTGATTTTGATCCATTTGAAATTTTGGCCAAGTGAGAGAAATGGCTTCCTATATGCCAAATAAAGAAAACACAACAAAAGAGGATTTGAAAGGTTCACTTAGAGGGCTAACCGGTTAAAATCTCTTTTTATTAGTAAGAACACGACATCACAGTAATGTGCTATGTTTTTGATCAGGCGTTAAGGGGATAAGATCTTAAGAGCTTGGCATTATTTGTTAATTAGCTTGTTGTGTGTTCCCAAACAGCTATAGGCACAATTAAGTAATTTTCTTTAGAAATGAATACAGCAATATTGGCCCAAAAGGCCCATTCAGTGGGCCAAGAAGTGAATTAATCACAGATAAACAGCTAGCATACATTAGCTAGCATGCATTAGCTAGCGTACGTTAGATGCTGCTTTTCATCCCTAGAGTGAAATTGGTTTCCTTGGACAAAAGATGCTCAAATCCTGGCAGGAGTCTTCTACTTCTACTTTTGTGTCATATATTGTATAATTACTTGCTCTACTTCCTTCTGCTTTGTCTATGAGAGTATCAAGTCACTTGAATTCATTAGGCATAAAACAGGATCAACCCCTCCCCTTCCCTTGGGCCCAACATATGAACCATGGTCAAAACCTTTTGTCTTCCTGACAAACTGAGAAATGTGTTTATGCGTTTATTTATTTGTCTGGTATGTTGTCTTATTTTGTTTAAAATGTGACAAGTCCCTGAAGAATAAGATATAAATCATATACCATTTGTTTTACATTTATCTGTGTATACTGTAGTTTTTCTTGCTTTTACAAGCTGTCCGCCTTCTTTGATAATTATTTTATTTTCATTGCTTACCCCTCAGGCTGGTTCGGGGGGTCAGAGCCTGAACTGCAGCTATGTAGAGAAGATATGGCAGGATGTCCAAGTTGTGACTGGAATAAGAGAAGACCATGTCTCTTTGTGGTGTAACATCAGCCTACTGCCAGTCATAGCAGCCTTCAATAAACCAGGAGATGCAACTCCAGCTTTCAATATGACGGTGAGACAATTTATAGTTTTTCTGTTAGTAGTTTTTTTGCTCTCAAATGCAACTGTCATATGTCACCACTAGATGGTGGTGTGCACTAAAGACTGATTTAGACTTTGTCCCTTTATGTTTCTAAACAGGGAATGGAGATGAACCCTCTTTGGTTAAACGTCACTGCAGAAATGATGGCCGGGTCACTGGAGAATTTCTACGGGGCGATCCTGAACAATACCTTTGCTAGCATTCAGCTAACTGAAGTCCTGTTGTATTACACATCAATGATATCCAACCTCTCAGTATCAGAATTAACTAACCAGGCAAACTGGAATGCCCAGCTCTTGCAGATGCAGCTGAACCAAAGGTATTAATGTTTTTTACAGGAACATACTGTATATTCTCACCGTGATACATGACCTGAGTCATATTAAATGACAGAAAACAATTGGCAGTCTTATAACAGAGAAAGATCTTTTCCAAAGATACACACTCTGTGCTTCAATGTGACTTGAGCTTTTCACCATTATGTTTCAAGCTGTATAGCTTGAATAAATTGTCGACAACAAAAGTATGCAGCAATTCCACACAAACCCATTATACCTCGACATTATCATAAGCCCGATTATATTACCGAAATACCTCCTCAAATTTGCAATGAGATTTGCTGTTATTACCCATAAGGACCAGGGGTTAGAATCATGCAAACAAACTAAGTAAGAGTAATTAAATCTGCATTAAGGTTGATTTATTCAGTTTGACTCCTTTGCTTGCAAACAGGTTTGAGCAGATAAAGTAGTTTCTATTATTCTGTTATCTCTATCTCCCTGCTCTTAAATTGATTCTGCTTTATGTGCTCATCCCTGTAATGAACTGACTACTGATAGGAATCAAATTATGCATTTGTGCATATCTGGGCAAATCAGTCACGTAAGACTGGAGGAACATTTATGCACACGCTGTAGATCGTTGAACATGATGAAAATTGTCTCGATGTCTATTAGAACTATACAGTTCTGTAAATACAATGTGAGTGCCCACTGAAATGGAGAGCAAAATCAAGATGAATTATAAACGGTTTTGCAGCAATTAGATATTAAGATTCGTAAAATAAAAATCGATTTAAATGTCTTGGATTGAATTAGTTCATGATCTCTCTCATACAGTATGTGCATAACAGTACATTATCTAATCTAGCTAATGAATGCATCCATTTTTATTTGTATTTTAATACTAATTTCTCTCTCATCAGCCTCTCCACAGTACAAATGGCTCTGGAGCCAATTAAGACAGAAGCTCCCTGGATGGTGCCATACATCGAAGCAGTTGGAAAAACCATTGAGGCCATCCTACAGAATGGCTATCTCATCCAGAACTCAACTGCAAGCCCCCTGATCGTCATGCAGGCTTTGGAGATCACACTCACCGGAATGAACTTCACAGAGGAAATCATAAATTATATCCTGAGTGGAGACATAGTTATGAACCCCAATGGAAGCATGGTTGACAATATAATAAAAGAGGTGATCCAGCAAATCATTGGAACAGGATTGCTGGAAGAGTGGCCTATGCTTTATGGATTAATGCAGCAGGTTCTGTACTTCGAAGATACAAGTGGCACCCTGTGGAAATCTGTTGAGTTTTTCAACTGGCTGTACACTACTGAAGATACTGGACTAAACTTTGCCTGGGAGATCCTGCGCAAGTTGTACGAGATATTAAGGGACGCTCTAACCAAGATGCCAACTCCTCTGTCTTGCTTGTCAAACACTTTTATTGACCTTGCTGGGAATGCTTTATACCTTCTGAAACAGATTCAGCTAACCAGTGACCTCTTCGCCCCTGTGGAACAATATCTAAGTCCAATTAAAATGCGAATTGCTGATGGACAGAATCTACAAAGTCTTGTGTCCCATACAAGAAACACCAGAAGAGTTGCAAGTAAAGTTCAGAGGGAGCCGGTGGATGACTTCCTTGACCTCCTTGACATTGACTACCAAGCCTTGCTTGCAGTTCTCTCCATTCCACCCACATCGACTGACATTTTCGAGACCATCCATGTTTTCTTTGCAAACCCAGACTTGGGTGTCATCCTGAAGGGTCTTTCAAGGGAAATGGCTGGAAACACGAATCAGGATGTAACCATCGACACAGCTCTGAACGTGCTGTCTTACTTGACACTCCCTGCTAATGGACAACAGTTCCTAGAGATGTTCACGGAGATCGCTAGTGAAGGAGGGAGTTTGCACGACCTTAAGAAGCTGGCAGAAAGCCTAGGAAGAATGATTGACGTGGCCATGGCGCTATCTGACCAGCCATCTCTGAACATCAGACAGAGAATCGAGCACATGGTCCAACAACTTCAAGCTTCGGTGTCGAACATAGTCTCACAGAACGGAAATGGCACTGACACTGCAATCCAGTTCCTCACATCACTCAACAGCATCCTTAGTGAGAACTTTGAGGAAATCAAGGACATCAGCCCTCAGGTCACTGGCGTTCTCCAAAACATAATTGGCTCATTTAACAGTACAGGGTCTCAGATGAGCATAGCATCCTATTTGGAAGCCATGGATCAAACTGCTGAAACCTTCGCCTCACTCCTCTCTGGAGAGGAAGCAGGGTATTTCAACATATCTGGACAAATGCTGCAAGCCTTTGTATTGCTTGAGGCATATCCGGGAGACATAGACCAAGTCATGATGTCCATCAGCATGATTTCTAACTCCCTAAATCACGTCCTTGCCCTCTCAAATATCACAACTTTTACAAATGGACAACCCATCCAAGAGGTCACCCACCCCCTCATTCTTAGCAGTGCAATGGCCACCCACATCCTATTCAACCTCTCCATGTCAAACTACAGCCTGAGCAGCGATGCTGAAAGAGAGATGCTTTTGACCCAGACATTCGATCAGATGGCAGTCATTCTCCCCAAAGAAACACACGTGCACCTCTTCGCCATCAAATCGGCTCTTTTCACTGCCCTCTCAAGAGTATCTAGCACTGCAGAAATCCCATCCCACTTCCCAGAAATCTCTCAGTTGGTTACACAGTCTCTCCTTAACTCTCTAAACATTACATCCACGCATATGACTCCAGATGGCCTTGTTTACATCTTGATGACAGTGTCTAATCAAGTGTCCTTGAGTCTCTACGAGGGCTTTAAGTTATACGGTTCCCCTATCCAAATCTCACAAGTTGTGAACTCTTTAAGTGAGGCTGCATCTTCCATATACTCGATTATTCCTGTCGAGGGACGGCTGTACATCAATATCACGCTGAAACTCATGGAGACAATGTCTTTTGTCCTTAATGACACCAGCACCTTTGGGGATGTCAATGGGGCTGTATCTCAAGTAGTCGATTCTTTCAACAACCTTCTGGCCATGGTGCCCAACGAGTCTTTCAGCAGCATCATAGGAGACCTGGAGCACACCCTGAAGACAATCTTAATGATCATCCAAGCAGACCAAAGTCCTCTCACCCAAACAGTTGATATTACCCAGCAGCTGCTGCACACCACCCAAAATCTCATCTCGCTGGGGAATAGCAGTGGTATGGAGTCTGAACTCGCTAAAATAGTGCTGGGGGCTTCTAGCATGAATATTGGCCATCTGCTGGGGATGAATGACACTAACTGGACCGACAAGTGAGTTTCTTTGAGGTTTTGCTCTTAAGGCTGGTTCCTGGTTAGAACTCATAACAAGGCCCAGTTTTTCATTTCTTTTTCTTGTTCATTATGGCTGTTACTTTGCTGCCACCAGGACATTTACTCCACATAATTGTTTTCTTCCTCAGAGAAATATAGTTTATGACTCTGAAAAGAACACATTCTTGAGGTCATGGAAATAAATGATCATAATTCATAGTGTAGTGCATTATGATTTAGTTAACCCAGCAACAATGTCAACTTTTTGTTAGTTAATTAAACTTTTCCATGTTTTCGTAGGCTGCCTGTGCTGCTGACAAACCTTGCTAATAGCCTTCCAGATGACCTGCAGTATTCTTCTCTTATTAAGTCCATCATGAGAAGTCTGGCCAACGAATCCCAAGGTACATAAATCATCTCACAACATCTATTGACCTCTAACACTGTTCATTCAGGGGTTTTATTTCAACAATCTTATGTGCTGACTGGATATTCACAGATGCATATAGCATTTTTAAGTATTTTGCATTCAGCTGTGTGAATACTTAATTATTTTTCTGCATAATTTGCATTTATTAAGCTCAAGAACAAGATGCATTTGCTCAGGAAATGTTGCAGGCTCCGTATTATCCCACTGAATGCAATACTCTTAGAAGCCCCCATTGACATTAAACAATGTATGTTGCTGCAAACGTGTTTTTGGTTTTCATAGCAATGCAGTAAACAGCAGGTTTGAAGTCAGCTTTCTGCAGTATTCAGCCAGGAGGCATATGGCCAGACAGAATAAATGAGAAAACCTTTTACAGTGTCTGTGCCATTTAAAATAGCTAATATTTATGTTTTCTTCTCTTATTTATTGTCAGCCCAGTTGCTTTAAATAAGAAGTTCACCCAAAAATTGTCATTATTTACTCGTTCTTATGTCATTCCAAATCTACATGCATACCCCCCCTCCACGCATATATATATCTAACAAAATTTAGAGACATTTGAGCTTTAAATACGTTTAAAAAAAATAATATATTGAGATGTATGCTCTGAAAACAAGTCTTCATTTTACTTCACATGTTTAGATATTTTTTACCAGAAACCAAGACATAATTAGATCAGTAGATAGTGCAAGTAATTCAATTTATTTTGATGAAGTATCCTTTTACGAGTTAACTATAAAATAATGCTGTACTTTAGAGTGCACAATTTTTTGTTTCTCTGGAGATCCCCCACTTTCTTTGTGTGCAGAAAAAGCCCGTTCTCATCCCAAGGCATCATATAGTGAGGCTTTTGACAATGCGTACATACATCCAACACACGTGGCACCCGTTTAGCGTCAATATGAGATGCAGATATACAGTATATGGCGCCTACTAGTGGTCTAACCCTAACCCTACCCCAGACCTAAACCTACCCATAACCGAAGCAAGTTTTTATTGACGCTAAAGGGTGCCATGTGCGTTGGATGTATACGCATTGTCTAAAGCGTCACTATATGATCCAGGTGAAAAAGACGTACAATTAAGTGTATTAAAAATGCATTACATTAGATTTGTATTGTACTAAAAACATTTTCAAGTACATTTTTAATAAACTTAATTGTACGTCTTTTTCACCTGGATATACCCTAGGGTGAGAATGCGTTGGCAGCACACCCTCGTTTTCATTGATAAGTCGCTCTTTAAGCCTTCCAGTTTGCTGTGTTTTTTCTTTAATAAAGATGATGTCTTGAGCATTTAATTTCCCTCATAATTGTCTGATCTTATATATCGCTTGAGGTGTTATACACGTAGGAGCTGTCAGATCTAAATCAGCACACGGCACCATAAAGCTTTTCTTTTTCTAAGGGGGGTTTCTTTGCTAGATCATTTGCTGCTCGCTGCACAGTTGGCCTGAAAGCAGAGTTAGGTGCAAGTAATGATGCCTGTAGGGAATTTAAGTTACTTTACCTCTGCAAAAACTTGATCTTTGTTTTTGTCTTCCACTACTCTCGTCTCTCTGCAGAAAATCTGCATCTTCTTCTGCAAGTGCTAAACACTGCCTTTGAATTTGGCTCAAGCAACTGGGCAAATGAGAGTTCAGGCCTGATACTGGACCACCTGTTAACTCAGGTAAGAAATTTGATGGTTTACATTGAAACATTTTTTTTATTACACAATGTACTAAAAATGCTGAGTTGTTTTAAACCAATTTTGGGTCAAATATGGACAAACCCAGCCATTGGGTTACATTTTTAAATAACATTTTTAACCCAATGTTTGAGTTTGTCCCTATTTGACACAAAATTGGGTTAAAACAACCCAGCATTTTTTAGAGTGTAGAGGAATATGTCCCTCAACTCATGATTATGCACATACCATACACAATTACAAAAGGAGACATTTTAAGTCCATTTAACTCATATGCAATATTTCAAGTATTCTGAAGACATGCATATAGTTTTATGTCAATATACAGTAGCACATGAGTGTATTTCTGTGTAGTGTTGGTTTACCTGTAACTTTCTTTCTTGATAATAGGTGTGTGCTCTGGAAAACATGGCCTCTGTGCAGCTGATCAGCCAGTTTCTGCCACTAGGCCCTAGACTGCTATGTAACACCGTTGTTCCCACAATCCAGGCCTTCCATGTGCTCTCAACCAGCCTGGTGAACCAAACCAGCAACATCTATGATCTGATTTTCCAGACATTTGTTGGAGACCCTAGCAGTTACAACAGTCAAGTGGACTGGTACTGCATTCTATAATGACCTTCAACCTTGTTGCCGTAGCTTGTATTATGCATGTTACCAGTGTTGCGGAGTAACTTACTAAACGTAGCTACACTGCTAACATTTTTATTAGAGTGAAATCAGCTAATTCCTTTTCAATACAATGAAGCATTTCCAGTATCAAGCTACTTTTTCAACGATTTGCACTATATTTGTTATTAGTGTCGCTTTCTCTACCAATTCTGTCAGTATTTACTCACCCTCATGTTGTTCCAAACCTCTATGTGTTTATTTGTTCTGCTGAACATAAAAGAAGATATTTGGAAGAATGTTTTAATCAAACAGATCTCATTCCCCATTGACTACCATAGTAGGAAAAAATACATATGGTAGTCAATGGGGAATGAGATCTGTTTGATTAAAACATTCTTCCAAATATCTTCTTTTATGTTCAGCAGAACAAATAAACACATAGAGGTTTGGAACAACATGAGGGTGAGTAAATACTGACAGAATTTTCATTTGTGGGTGAACTAACACTTTAAAGCTTAGCAAACTGGGTAGCAATTAAACTCACTCGCCTAGAATGTCCATATGAAGCTTTGGCATATGAAGTTTTCATATGAAGCTTTGGCCGGTCTGATATATTTTGAGAATTTATTTTTGTTCAGACCCCAAATTCCAATGAATTGGTTAAAAAAAATGAATGATCAGATGATTACAAATCTCTCTCTCTCTCTCTCTCTCTCTCTCTCTCTCTCTCTATATATATATATATATATATATATAATTAATTCTAGCTGTTTATCACTGGTTCCCATCTAAAATAATATTATATTATTATATTTATGCCAATACTTAATATATATATATATATATATATATATATATATATATATATAATACATTTTACAAAATTTTAAACGGTTTGTCTCCAGGAATAATACTCAATACTCTCTCTTTTTCTTTTTTCCAAAGGACCTCAGCTCTCTCTCAAATTGTAGGCTTCAACGTCTCCACTCTGAAAACTCTTGATATCATCAATATTACATCTCCAGGTGTGTACAGCTGTCGCTTCCAGCAAAAGAACTGCAGAAACACCAGTGTCCCTTAGCTATCAGATGGTGGTTTAATCAGTCTTTTTCAACTTTGTCTGCTCTCTCACTTGTCTTTTGTCTTGCATTTTTGACAGCTGAAGTGAAAGTTTCAGAGCTGCTGAAAAATACAACTCTGTTTGTTCAGGATGTCAAGCGGTATACCAACTTTCCCCCTACCGTTCTTCAGACTCTGCTCGATTACCCTCTACCCAGCAGCAACATGCAGGTACACCACAAATCATGCATAATGTAAAGTAATGCAAGAGAATGGTTGGCACTATAGCTCTTTTTTTAATTGATTGTCTAGATTTTTTATATATATACAATATGTAAATATAAAATTATTGCAATGGTCTCTGTTGGTCCTTTTTCCTCTCATCACAGATCTTGACATGGTTGGCAAACCTGCGCCAGTGCTCAGACCCCTCGTCTTTGCATCTGGACCCAACAGGCCAGGAGATCTTCAGTGCCTTCTGTGAACTGTCAGATGATTGGTACACCATCACGGTTCTCTTTCTTCGTCATGTGGACACGAAGACTGCTTTATTCAGGGTAAAGAACTGGGGGCCACAGAGTGTATTGGACATACTATATCTAATAAAATACAAAGGCTGCTCCTCTGTTTTGTAATTAATTAAATACAAGTAATGTTTCGCACATGAATACTATGAAACTAAATTATAGTTGTTTGTTTTTTTCTTATACAGTCATTATTATTTTTTCTTAGTTACTATACTAGATTAGGGCTGGATATATAGGGCTGATATATATATATATATATATATATATATACAAGACCCAGCCCAATAGTATAGCCCTTATATATAGAGTATATATATATATATATATATATATATATACATTATAGGGCTGTCAAACGATTAATCGCATCCAAAATAAAAGTTTGTGTTTACATAATATATGTGGGTGCACTGTGTATAATTATTTTGTATATATTATATATATATATATATATATATATATATATTTATAAACACACACATGCATGTATATTTAAGGAAAAAATATTATTTATATATAAAATATTGATATTTATATATAATATAAATTATATATAAATCTATATACAGTATATACATTAAAATATTTCTTAAATATGTACAAGCATGTGTGTGTATTTATATATATAAAATAATTATACACAGTGCACCCATGTATTATGTAAACACAAACTTTTATATTATATTTTATATTAGCCCTATATAAAAAAAAACAACAACTATAATTTAGTTTCATAGAATATATATATATATATATATATATATATATATATATATAAACCACTTTTTGTCACATTTCCAGAAAAAATGAAAAATACCATAAACCAGTGGTGCTGCCTGTTGTAACCCTGTGACATTTTTTTTGCAGCTAATGTTATCCAAAGAGATTCAGGATTTAGTGGGAATTATGCTACAGATGATCAAATTTTTGACGGACATGATGCAGAAACTTGTACCTTCCATTAGCAAACTGCAGGAATACCTGACAAACATAGGAGAACTAAACCTGGCAGTCAACAAAGAGTTCCGCAGTGTAAGTTGTCCCAAAGAAAAATTCATGTATGTATTAATTATTGTATTTATTTATTTATTTAAATGTGTTTTTGGATTCTCTCTCCCACAGCTGGTGAGGGGAAAGCGGTCCACCATATCCAGCAGGGCCACCTTTAACACCATCTCTCGTGCCTTGTGCAAAAACGGCATCCTGACTCTGTTTGCCATACCGAAAGTTCCTATCGTGACCGAGAATGATCCTTCTGTCCAGTCCGACCACAACAGAGAAGAGCTCATCAAGAAGTTCAAAATCCCACAAGATGCTAGTATGAACGCATAATCTCAGCATCCAGCTAAATGTGCAATAAAGCAATATGATAATGACCTGTCAAAAATCTGCTTACAGCATGTTGAGTTCAGATTGATGAAGTGCTGTGGTCAGGCTTAATTAATATACTGCTTATGTCTTGGTCTCCAGGTCCCTTCTGTATGAACCTCTACTTGGATATGGTGAACACTACAGGCGGTGCGGTGGCCTGGGCCTTCCTCAAGCCCATGCTGTTAGGACAGGTCCTCTACTCACCAGACACACCATTGACGAGAGAGATCATGAGAAAGGTGCTGCTTTTACATTTATTTTGAAACTTCCAATGTAACAAAATACATTAATGATAACTGACCATTTTAAAAAGCAAAAAAAAAAAAAAAAACGAGATCGAATCCCATATTGAATGCGTTTTATGTTAACATTTAAGCTACATTAAAGGGTTAGTTCACCCAAAAATGTTCACCCTCATGTCGTCCCAAGCCTGTAAGACCTCCGTTCATCTTCGGAACACAGTTTAAGATATTTTAGATTTAGTCTGAGAGCTTTCTGTTCCTCCATTGGAAATGTATGTACCTTATACTGTCCATGTCCATAAAGGCAATAAAGACATCATCAAAGTAGTCCATGTGACATGAGTGGGTTAGTTTGAATTTTTTGAAGCATCGAATTACATCATAGTGTAATTTTTCCTCCAATGTTTGGTTGCTAGGATACGTCTTAGATGAGAATCAGATACCTGCAAAGTAAAGTACTTATCCCACTTCCGATTTGTGTGGAGTTTTTTTTACACAAGGTCATCTGACCTACATCTAAAGTCATATCTGATTCTCCTCTTAAGATATACTGTAGACAAAGTCTGGCTACAAAGAAAAAAAATATTGTGCTTTCTTTTAACTTCTTATTTTTGAATGTAGCAAAACATTTTTTTTCTTTCCTGCAGTCAAATACTTCACTGCACCAGTTCGGTGATCTAAAGCTGTATGCGTCTGAGTGGATTGAGTCATCAACCTATGTAATACAGTCTGCTGAAATTCTGACAAAAACATTGCCAATACTCCAGGTACACTACAATGAGTCAAGTGGAAATCAAATAATAACTTTTTATTCGATTTTTTAATTTAATTTCCCTCCACTGCATTAATTGTTTTCTTATCAAACAACTCTTCACAGAATGCTTTGCGCAATCCCTTCGTCCAAAACTTCATTCAGACTCAGACTGGTATTGATGTTGGACAAATGAGCTCAACTCTCAACCAATTCTGTAAGTTCTCAAAAGTTTGATATCATGGTTGGCGATGCATCATTGCTATTAGAATGCTATTGCTATTGGTTAAAAAAGGGATTTTAAAACAGTAGTTCACTTTTCAAAAAACTTTTGCTGATAATTTACTCACCCCCATGTCATGCGAGATGTCCATGTCTTTCTTTCTTCAGTCGAAAAGAAATTAAGGGTTTTGGTGAAAACATTCCAGCAGTTTTCTCCATATAATGGACTTCAGTGGGAACCAAACGGTTCAAGGTCCAAAAGACACTTTCAGTACAAACTGCAAACTGTTCAAAGGGCTTTAAACGATTCCAGACGATGAGTAAGGGTCTTATCAAGTGAAATAATCGCTCATTTAATAAATAAATAACAAAGTTTAAGTTTTATAAACTCAAATGGTCGCCTTGTTCTGTATCTGATGCGCGTTTGTGGCTCTCCTGTTCGAACTCGTTTATCAAAATGAACAAATCTTTTTCCGAGTCATTTGGTTCATTCAACGAACAAAACGAACGAATTGACTCGGAAAAAGATTTGTTCATTTTGATGAACACGTTCGAACAGGAGAGTCACGAGAGTCACGCATCACAAAACAGAGCAAGGTGAGCATTTGAGCTTATAAAACCTAAACTTTGTTATTTATTTATTAAATGAGCGAATAGTTTCGCTTGATAAGACCCTTATTCATCGTCTGGAGTCGTTTAAAGCCCTTTGAACAGTTTGCAGTTTTTACTGAAAGTATCTTTTGGACCTTGAACCGTTTGGTTCCCAATGAAGTCCATTATATGGAGAAAATCCTGGAATGTTTTCATCAAAAACCTTAATTTCTTTTCAACTTAAGAAAGAAAGACATGGATATCTTGGATGACATGGGGGTGAGTAAATTATCAGCAAAAGTTTTTTCAAAAGTGAACTGCTCCTTTAACGATTCACACAGCAATTAAAGGGATAGTTCAGCCAAAAATGAACATTCTGTCATCATTTACACACCCTCAAGTAATTCCAAACCTGTATGAGTTTCTTTCTTCTGTTGAACACAAAAGAAGATATTTTGACTTCCATAGTATGAAAAAAGTCAATGAGGCCCATCAACTATTTGATTATCGACATTCTTCAAACATCTTCTTAGCTGAAACACAGTGAGCAGCTAAATATATATAGTAAATAGATACTAAATATTAAATAATTATTTTGATCTGTCATACAGATAACTCTGACAGTTTAACTAAAACAGGTTTGTGACAAGTTGTTAAACAAGTTGCTGAACACAAAAGAAGATGTTTTGAAGAATGTCGGCCAAATAGTTGATGGGCCTCATTGACTTCCATAGTAGGCTATTTTTGCATAATGGAAGTCAAACTATCTTCTTTTGTGTTCAGCAGAAGAAACAAGTTGATCCAGGTTTGGAACAACTTGAGGATGAGTAAATGTTGACAGAATTGTCATTTTTGAGTGAACTAGCCATTTAAATTAGACTACCATCTATACATGCTGAATTCATGCCTCCCTGAGAAATACAGTCATTACTTTCCAATTAGGGTTTAAAGGAGTAGTTCACTTTAAAGAAAAACTTTTGCTGATAATTTACTCACCCCCATGTCATCCAAGATGTCCATGTCTTTCTTTCTTCAGTCGAAAAGAAATTAAGGGTTTTGGTGAAAATATTCCAGGATTTTCTCCATATAATGGACTTTACTGGGAACCAAACGGTTCAAGGTCTAAAAGACAGTTTCAGTGTAAACTGCAAACTGTTCAAAGGGCTTTGTCTTATCAAGCAAAACGATCACTGAATTATTGTTGAATGAAGGAATTGACTCGAAAAAAGAGTTCGAACAGGAGTCACGGACGCGCATCACAGAACAGAGCAAGGCGACCATTTGAGCTTATAAAACTTAAGCTTTGTTATTTATTTTTTAAATAAGCGATCGTTTCGCTTGATAAGACCCTTATTCATCGTCTGGAAACGTTTAAAGCCCTTGGAACAGTTTGCACTGAAACTCTCTTTTGGACCTTGAACCGTTTGGTTCCCATTGAAGTCCATTATATGGAGAAAATCCTGGAATTTTTTCATCAAAAACCTTAATTTCTTTTCGACTGAAGAAAGAAAGACATGGACATCTTGGATGACATGGGGGTGAGTAAATCAGCAAAAGTTTTTTTAAAAGTGAACTACTCCTTTAAGTTTGTGAGATACAAATTTACTAAACCTCCTCAGGGAAAACTAACCCGGTCCGAATGGTACTTTACGATGCATAGTCCTATACACCCAAATGTGTCTTATCCTAAATCTGCAGTGACTTGAACAGTTTTTCTTTCCCTCTTTTCAGCAAACATGACAGTCCTGTTAGAGAACAACAAGTTTATCATGGAGCAGATCACCACCCTCTCTATGCTGATGTTGAACCTCTCCTCCTGTGTCAACTTTGACCGCTACCGAGGCTTCAACTCCACGGATGAACTCAACAAACAGGCGGAGAGACTGGCTCAAAACCGTGAGCTCTACGCCAGTGAGTACACACACACACACACACACACACAGGAGATACCTTTTCAACGGACTACTCCACTCATGCGTTAGGTGATACTTTGCGGTCGAAGACACCACCGACACTGGAGAGCCATCGGGCTGCAAAGCCTGTAATTCAGTTCAATTCGATTCATTTCCATTGAGATATAGATTTTCACTGTTATCGAGGTGCAGCAGGCCTCTGTGGTTACTATGACAACAGATCACTCGCATACTGAACTTCCCCTTTATACACTTGAGTTCTGCTCATCTTCACAGGCATCATTTTGAAACTTCCCGAGGAGACCTCCAGCAGCCTGCCCCAGAACATCGACTACACCATCCGCATGAACATCGAGAATGTCATGCGCACCGACCGTTCGCGAAATCCCTTCTGGGTGAAAGATCCCTACATCTCCACAACAAAGACCCAGCGGTACAGCCGAGGCTTTGTGTTCCTGCAGGAGAGCATCGATAGAGCCATCATCGAAATGCAGTCGGGTAAAGCCGTGGATGGGCCAGCGGTCCAGATGCAGGCATTCCCTTATCCCTGCTACTACAAGGATGAGTAAGTGTATCACAAGCACGAACCCCCCATACACACTGAGCGTCTCGTATAAGCAGTCCCTCCAGGATTTCACGATTTTTTTTTGTGATTTTTGCGATCAAAATGACTGATTTTGTGGTGGTAATTTCCAAAAATTTGTGAAAAAATTTTCGATTTACATTTAACATTTACCATAATAGTATTCAGTCCTTCCAGAAAAACGCTGAGTTTTTTTGTGTGATTGTTGCGGGCAAAAATTGATCGATTATGCGGCCAGTTTTCTTTAAAAATGCGATGGAATATGTGGGATATTTATGCAATTTTATGCGATGAAATTGCTGGAATTTGCAAAAATTGAGGGAACTTGCAAAAATTGCGGTTTGATGAAAAAGAGAAAAAAGTGATTCCCCCAACATCCTGTTAATGTAAGAGTAATTTCTTATTACTTCCTTTGATAAACAAGCATACTACATCATAGAAAGTGCTGGGAATATTTAATTTCTCATCTTGTTTTATTTCAGACTGTAAGAGTGTAAATAAGGTGTGGCCCCTTTAAGAGCTGCGCGCTCCCTGTTGAACTGTCTGCAGTGTTATATGTGCGCCTCGAACACCCCATGTGTGCGTGTAATTTGTGTTTGATGCAACTTCTTTTATCTTGTGTTGTTTATTAAGTAACGATGTGACGGTAGAACGTTCGACAGACAGTTATACGAGTTCGATTTGTGAGATTTCAATCGCCTCCGTGAGTCTGTCTGGCGTCGCGTAATTGCGTCACTTCATAACGTTCCCATGGAAACAGGGGGAAATGGCTGCTCTTGTGTGAAGCAAATGCAACATTTTTCAACTTTCTGCTAAGATACATGTGACTTTTTTTTGCAACGAAAATGCGAGGATTATGAAATTATGCAAACCCCGCATATTTTGCACGGAAATCGGCAATTTATGCGGGGAAAGTGCGGCGTATTTGAAAAAATGCGCCCCCGCATAAATATGCGGACTTTGGCTGATTTTGCATTGAATTCAGCGATCGCATAATCGCGTTTTTCTGGGGGGACTGTATAAGGGCTGAGATGCTCATCTAAGATGTGGCGTCTGTACTACTGTAATAATCAGCAGCTTTACACCATCTGTTTCATTTTGTTTGTTGGAAAAAAAAAACTAGATTTGCATTTGCTATATGAGTTTTAGGTAAGCTTAGGTTTGGCTTTGGTTGTGTGTAGATGAAGTGCTGGATCAGAGATGTTGTCATGGCACTATTTTCTGCTGGCTAGAGGATCAACACAAATAACATCACAATGACATCTAGTACAATTATTTTGCAATGCAAAGGTGGCCAAGCAGATGCTGGTGTTGTTTGTTTATTAAAAAAAACTAGTAAAAATCATTTTAACATTTACACTAAAGACGTAAAGCACCACATTAAAAGCTGCAGATGGCACGGTTATTTTAAAATAAATAGCTGAAACACAGTGAGCAGAAAAATAGATACTTTTTGCTAAAACGCTGCAGAAAATGAGAATGCAGCAAATACATTTGTTTTAATCTGTCATACAGATAACTGTTTAACTAAAGCAGGTTTGTGACAAGTTAACACGTCACTCCTTCAGACGTTTTGTTTTTCCCCATACATTTAGCATTATTAATCAGCATAATAATAAGGAAAGTTGTTTAGAGATGGCGAGGGGAGACAAAAAACTTTGAAATGTCATCCAAGATGTCCATGTCATTCTCTCTTCAGTCGAAAAGAAATTAAGGTTTTTGACAAACATTGCAGGATTTTTCTCCATATAATGGACTTCAATGGGAACCAAACGGTTCAAGGTCCAAAAGACAGTTTCAGTGTAAACTGCAAACGGTTCAAAGGGCTTTAAACGATTCCAGACGATGAATAAGGGTCTTATCAAGCGAAACGATCGCTCATTTAAAAAAAAAAAGCAAAGTTTAAGTTTTATAAGCTCAAATGGTCGCCTTGCTCTGTTCTGTGATACGCATTCGTGACTCTCCTGTTCGATCTCATTTATCAAAATGAACGAATCTTTTTTCTTGACATTTGGTTCATTCAACGAACGAAATCAACGAATTGACTCGGGAAAAGATTTGTTCATTTTGATAAACGAGTTCGAACAGGAGAGTCACGAACGTGCATCACAGAACAGAGCAAGGTGACCATTTGTGCTTATAAAACTTAAACTTTACTTTTTTTTTTTTTTAAATGAGCGATTGTTTCGCTTGATAAGACCCTTATTCATCGTCTGGAATCGTTTAAAGCCCTTTGAACAGTTTGCAGTTTGTACTGAAACTGTCTTTTGGACCTTGAACCGTTTGGTTCCCATTGAAGTCCATTATATGGAGAAAATCCTGGAATGTTTTCATCAAAAACCTTAATTTCTTTTCGACTGAAGAAAGAAAGACATGGACATCTTGGGTGACATGGGGGTGAGTAAATTATCAGCAAAAGTTTTTTAAAAGTGAACTACTCCTTTAACTTTGTTTTGTGCTCATGATGAGAGCTCTGATTATTATATTAATTTCACTGTACAAAGGTACATGTGAAAGAAGGCTAAAATGGAAGAGATTTTGGATAAATGGCCAGTATGCCAATATTATTATGACATCATCACTGTTTCAATGTTCATATTCAAAACCCGACGATGCAAATCCGTTTAATAAATGTTGAATAAAAAAATCTTATGAAACGTAATCTTATAAAAACCAATACATTACACACCAAATTAACGTCTAAATTAATTGCAGAAGTTTAACACTTTGGGCCATCAATTTAGACTAATTACAAAGCAAGTCAGTAAGCTTATCAGATTCTTTTCTTTAAACAGTTGAAGCAATATAGTCAAGGATCACAAATATAGCCTCCGCCTGCTAATCTCAAATCTTCCTCTTCCCCAGTTATCTCAACAGCATCGCTTTTGCCTTCCCAATGGCTCTCATGATTTCCTGGGTGCTGTTTATCGCCCACTTTGTGAAGAAACTCGTCCACGAGAGAGAACTACGACTTCATGAGGTATGGAACCAAACATTTTTTTTTTTCCAACAAGCTTTGATTAGGTATCTAAACTCTCTTTCGCTTATCCCACAGTACATGAAAATGATGGGGGTCAATCCCATCAGCCACTTCTTCGCCTGGTTCATAGAGAGTGCTGTGTTCTTGCTTTTGACCATCATCATCCTCACCATCATTTTGAAAGGTGGCGGCATCCTTCCTCGCAGCGATGGCTTTGTGCTCTTCCTCTACCTTTGCGACTACGGCTTCAGCATCCTTGCAATCAGCTTCCTGGTCAGCAGCTTCTTTGATAAGACCAACATCGCCGGGCTGAGCGGCAGCCTTATCTATGTCATCAGCTTCTTCCCCTTCATCGTGCTGATCCACTTGGAGGACAATCTTTCCTTCTCTGTGAAGAGCGCTCTGGTCTGTACTGCATTTAAATTGGTTTTGCAATATAACATCATTGCACAGTTACATTGTGAGATATGTAAAAAGGCTTTCAAAGTTCTCATTAACGCAGGATTAATTATATAAAATGAATGCAGCTTTTCTCAGGCTTTCAGTTTGACATTATAAATATCATTCTGTTCGTTGTGATTTCTAAAACACCATTCTATCATGGTGGGGACCTTTTTGCATTTTTATATTTATACATTATTTAGTATGTTTGCTAGGTCACTTTCCTCAATGATTTCAGGTTTTACTGTCACTCTGGGACCAAAATATTTACACGCACATACTCACACACACACAGGAACTGAGGAAAGAATTCTTTACGAATAATTTATTTATAAATCAAAGCCAGACGGGACATTTAACAAAAGTCATTAGCATTCTTTGTTTGGTCAAATTGAATTATTATAATGTGAGCACCAATGTGAAACCGCATAATTCATAGAAATGTTAATGCGAACACCAGCAGAGGAATAATGCACAGTCCGCAGCAAAAACAACTTTAAATAATAATCACCCCAAGTTGTTTTGATTTTGCCACAGTTTTTTTTTTAAATTTTTTTTGATGGATGGTGTCACAGTCCTTAACAGCTCACGTTTTGTAAGAAAGTAAGGTTTTGAATGACCTGTTGGAGAGAGTAAATGATGACAGAATGTTGGATTTTGGGTGAACATCAAATGAAAGCTGTAGTATAAATCTGTCTGTGTTTGTTTTTGGTTCACAGAGTCTCTTTTCTCCGACATGCTTCAGTTATGCCAGTCAGTATATCTCCCGCTATGAAAAACAAGAGGAAGGTAAGTCGGCATAAACCCTCAGACTCTCTGTAATTAGTTTTTGTTTGGGATAATTACATTGACTGGATGTATTGTGGATTTACACCTCACAGGCATCCAATGGAGCAACATGTATATCTCTCCTCTGGCTGGTGACACTTCCTCCTTCGGTTGGCTCTGCTGGTTGCTGTTAATTGACTCAGTAGTATATTTTATCATTGGGATTTACATCCGCATGGTCTTCCCAGGTATGTGTGAGCTGTTCAGTTGAGAAACTCAACCATTTTTTTGTGTGGTTTTCAATTTTACAAGTGAATGTTACAATGTTATGGTTGAAATCCATTCCAGTGTATTTTTCTCTCAATCAGGAAAGTATGGGATTGGTGTTCCGTGGTACTTCCCTGTGACACGATCCTTCTGGGCAGATATGTTCAGCTGCTGTTGCAAAGCGCCAAAGAAAATAGGCAGAGGGCTGCTGTTCACCAACATTATGCAGGAGCAAACGAGTACTGACAAGAGCAAAGGTACATTAATACACACTGATGTGGAATGCTTGATTCTGATTGGTCTATAGCAGCATTGAGCGGTAAAAAACTTTTGCATGAGTGCTAATTCATTCATTCATTCATTCATAAAGCACAATTAAAACAACGTGATGTTGACTAATGTGCTGTAAAAACACATAATAAAATGTATTTTCAGACAATACAACGACTAACAAATATCTGTGAAGAGCCTCTTACCAATTAACCTACTGATCCAAACGCTAATTCTAGCAAATGCAATTTTAAATTTCGTTTAAAATAACTTAAAGAGGGAGCAAGTCTAAGGTGTAAAGGTAAATTATTCCAGCACTTTGGAGCTGCCACTGCGAATGCCTGATCACCACTCAATTTTAATCTATTTGCTGATCTTAGAGACCTAGAAGGTTTATGTATGTTGTATATGAAGGAGATGCTCTAGATATGGTGGGGCTAAATTATGCAGTGCTTTATATACAAATATCAATAATTTAAAGGGTTAATTCACCCAAAAATTAAATTTCTGTCAGTATTTACTCACCCTCGTGTTGTTCCAACCCTTCGTTCATCTTCAGAACACAAATTAAGATATTTTTGATGAAATCTGAGAGCTGGATCACTCCTGCAAACTAGTCCATAGGCTTCTTGAGGGATTGAAACTTGCCGGCCTCGAAAAGTTATTAAAGGCATCGTTAAAATAGTCCAAGTGAAGTTTATCAAACGTCGAGAACACTTTTTGTGCGCAAAAAACAACAAAAATAACGACTTTATTTCAACTATTCATTTACTTCTCTCTGCCTCTAGTAGTTTAATAGCGTACGCTTCTGTTATTGGACGTCACACGCATCACACACATGACCAGCGTCGGCCAATAGTGAGCCTACGCGTGATGTAGCTCTACGCTATCACACTACGTTAACTGACTAGAGGCCCATAGAGAAGGAAGTGAATAGTTGAAATAAAGTCGTTATTTTTGTTTGTTTTTGCGCACAAAACGTTTTCTCGTCGCTTGATAAAGTTAAGATTGAGCCACTGAAGTCACTTGGATTATTTTAACGATGTCTTTAATAACTTTTCGAGGCCGGCAAGTTTCAATCCCTCAATAAGCCTACTGTATATGGACTAGTATGCAGAAGTGATCCAGCTCTCAGATTTCATCAAAAACATCTTAATTCATGTTCCGAAGATGAACGAAGGTCTTACGGGTTGGAACAACATGAGGGTGAGTAAATACTGACAGAATTTTCATTTTTTTGGTGAACTAAGCCTTTAAAATCAATTCTGAACTGCGCTGGCAACCAATTAAGTGAGGCTAAAATTGGTGTCACATGCTGCTTTTTACGAGTCCCTGTTAAAAGTCTAGCAGACGCATTCATAACCAATTGAAGGCGATTCAATAGTACTTGGCTGACACCGTTACAATAATTCAGTCATACAGAAATAAAAGCATGAATAATCTTCTCAAAAGCGCATGGGGACAAAAACGGTTTCACCTTTGCTATTGATCTTAAATGGAAAAAGCAAGATTTTACTACAGAACTAATCTGTTTGTCAAATTTCAAAGAACTATCAAATTGGACACCAAGGTTTTTCATTGTATATTTACAAAAAGGAGTTAACTCGCCCAGATCGAAATATTTTTTTGTGTTAAGCATCCCGAACCAAATTACTTCAGTTTTACTTTCATTCAGATGCAGAAAATTGTCTGACATCCAAGATTTAACTTCTTGTAAACATCTAATTAATCTGAATGTTTGTTTGTCTCTCATTTCACTCCCTTTTTAATACCAGTGAAAGTTAATTGGTGTTTCCGATTACAGAGCAAGGCATGCTATATTGTAACAAAAAATGTTAGCTATTCATAGAAAACAACAAAGAATGTGTTCTGTACTGTTCGACTATTTTTTTTTTTTTTTTGGAAAACAAGTAAGCTGATTTAAGGGAAAGATAACTGAATAATTTCACAGAAATGAATGCCTATTAAAGGGATAGTTCACCCAAAAATGAAAATTAACTCATTGATTACTCACCCCCATGCAGTTCCAACCCCGTAAATCCTTTGTTCGTCTTCGGAACACAAAGGAAGATATTTTTGATTAAATTTGAGAGGTGGATCACTGCTACATAGACTCCCTAAGGGATTGAAACTTGAAGGCCCAGAAAGTCATCGAAGAAAATGTTTAAATATTCCAAAAGCGACGAGAATACTTTTTGTGCGGAAACTCCCCCCAAAATAACGACTTTATTCGACTATTCCTTTTCTTCCTTGTGGGCCTGAGACGAGAGTTCAAGAGATTTCCACGACGCATACGCGAGATACGTCGTTCTGAGAAGAGGATGTTCAAAGCGACATTCTTCTTCAACTACTTCAGTTCAGTTCTCGCGCATGCGTCATGGAAGCCTCTTGAAGTTTCGTTTCAGGCCTACAAGGAAGAAAAGGAATAATCGAATAAAGTCGTTATTTTTGTTTGTTTTTTTCGCACAAAAAGTATTCTCGTCGCTTGATAAACTTATAGTTCAGCTACTGTCGTCACATGGAATATTTAAACATTTTCTTCAATGACTTTCTGGGCCGTCAAGTTTCAACCCCTTAGGAAGCCTATGTAGTAGTGATTCACCTCTCAAATTTAATAAAAAAATATCTTCATTTGTGCTCCGAAGACGAACGAAGGTCTTACAGGGTTGGTACAGCATGGGGGTGAGTAATTAATGACTTAATTTTCATTTTTGGGTGAATTATCCCTTTAATGCCCATTTATTGATTTGTTGAAGTAGCTTTGTAAGTAGCAGGGTAATATACAGTCAGCTGGTCATTATTACTAAATAGTAAGACCCTTTGTTTCGTATCTACACTACCGTTCAAAGGTTCGAGGGCTGTAAAATATTTGAAAGAAACCTTTTATGCTCACCAAGGTTGCATTTATGTAATCAAAAATACTGTAAAATTAATATTGTGAAATTTTATTACAAAATAATTGGAAATTCCTTTTTTTTTCTGTGACGTCAAATTAGAATTTTTGAATGGTGGTGTTTAAATGTATTTGCTCCAATATACTTACAATATAGACACAAATCACAAATGTGGAAAACATTTTAATCCATTCAATTTCAGTAGCCTGGCTAACGCCAGACCCAATTCTCGTTGAGACTTGGGTCTGGGAACAACATATACATTTTCTCGTATTTGAGACGTGGTTTATGAATGCCCGGCGCCGTTTATTGGGTGCTAAGAATGTATATCAAATGCGCCTGTGCGTAGCTCATAGCCAATCGTTTCAATTAGACAAACACAAGTATTAAGTACAGTTTAACATAGATGTTGTTATTTGCATTGGAAATTGTTTGCACTTGTACTTCACAAGTTTAAAAATTAAATTAAATGACTAAAGTGTCAATAACTTTAATCTGAATAAAATCGCACTGCGGGAAGGCAGCATGTGGAAACCCAGACTAAAATTTCAGTGCAATATATTTAAACATCTTTGTTTCTCTTCATCTGTGTTAGGTAAAAGTAGTTTGGCGAGTAATGGAGAAGAAGACTTCTCAGGATTGGCTGTTGGAGTGTCACTGCATGGCCTGACAAAGACCTACGGAGGCCGGCATGCTGTAGACAACCTGAACCTTTCTTTCTATGAGGGGCATGTCACCTCTCTGCTGGGTCACAATGGAGCTGGAAAAACCACCACTATGTACGAGCATAACAGTCTATTTTATATTTAAATAATGCTGTAATTGCTAAAATAATGATTTCATATTCTAATAAGCATGAAAATACGTAGTCCACAAGTATTTTAGGTAATTGAACTGTACTTTTCTATTTTCTATGTTTCAGGTCGCTTCTGACGGGGTTGTTTTCACCCACCAGCGGCACTATTGAGGTTTATGGGATGGATATGCAGTCGTCCATAGATGATGTGCGTAAAGAGATGGGCGTGTGCATGCAGTATGATGTCCTGTTCGACCACCTCACCACTAAGGAACATCTGTTGCTGTACGCTCAGATCAAAGCTCCACACTTGACCAAACAGGAAGTGAATGAACAAGTGCACAGGTGAGTTTCAACATTTGTCTCACAGTATTACTTTGTTCTGTTACATTTCCTGGGAGAAATTAACTTTTTTTTCGGGGAGCCATTTGTTATCTTGACTGATATGGCATGTAGGTTCCTAAAGTGACCTTAATGGTGTTGGGGAAGCTACTTTAAAATTATAACTTCCCACACTACAACCTACTTGTAATCTATATCTCAGCTGCTTAGAAAAAGTATCTGTGATATGCTTTCATTAACAAGTAGTAATACATAAAATAAATAATGAATGTTAAAAAAAATTAAAAATATGAAAATAATGTTCATTCCAAATAGAACAGAATCAGACGAAAATAATTAGAAGAGTCATAAATTATAAAAGTTTTGTTTTTCCATGAAATATATCTGTATATTCATTAACTTGAAAATGTATTAAATATTTATACTTATTTTTGGACCACTGTTATTTTAGTATTATTTAAATACGATTATTGTTTTATATTAATATTTTTAATTGCTTTTATTTTTATATTTTCATTTTTATTTGATTTTTTAGTTGCACGCTTTTGTCATTTATATTCTTTTTTTTATTTATATATACGTATTTGGGTTTAATTTACTTTAATTTAGGTTTATTTTTTTCCATTTATAAATGTTAGTGCTTGAAATTCTTTTAGTGCTCTAAAAATGAGGAGTTAATCATTTTTGTATTTTTTTTTTAAATATACATAAAATGTATATTTTATTTTATTTTATTCAAGCTTTATTTCAAATTAGTTTTAGTTAACCATAACTGTCACCAGCATTGCACCTTAAGTTGGGAATGGTCTGTCTTAGTGGTTAATGAATAGGTTGGTAAAAGTTTGTTGGTTCAATGGATACCACAATGGACAATCCATGAACACACTGTGCCATTGAGCAAGGCAATTTGCCTCAGATCACTATAGATAAGAGTCCACTAAATGAGAAATTTGCATTAAATTGGTCCCTCTTTTTCCTGTCTTAGAATCCTAATGGAAACAGACATGCACGCCCACCGCCACAAGCGCGTCGGCACCCTGTCAGGAGGTATGAAGAGGAAGTTATCCATCTCCATTGCCTTCATTGGAGGCTCACGGCTGGTGGTGCTAGATGAACCAACCACCGGGGTGGATCCCTGTTCCCGACGCAGCATCTGGGACATTGTCCTTCAGCACAAGAAAGGTGAAATCTCTCTGCAATTTAGACCAGGGTGACAATAATCTCCTGGCTCGTACCTGAGGCCAACTCCCCAAAGGGTTTTGTTCTTATCGGGTATCTGACACTTGGTTTAGAATTTAATGAAGCTTGAATGGATTTTCTCAAGGTGCGTGCAGTCAAATCCAGACAGGGAAAAATCCAGACGCAGATGTAGTAACGACTGATTGTTATCCGGCATGCTCCCTCTGATGTTTAATTATCTTCCTCGGAGACAGTTAGCGAATTTATCTCGAGCAAGGATTTAAGACTGTAAAAGAGGGTCATGTCAGTCTATCTTTGTTCATCAGCTCTTTGTTCAGTCTGCCTGTATCAGTGGATCTTTGATTTGACATGCCTCTGTGTTCGTTTTGTTTAACTGTCTAGAACGCACCATCATTCTTTCAAGCCATCACCTGGATGAGGCTGAAGTTCTCAGTGACCGCATCGCGTTCCTGGAGCGCGGAGGCCTCAAATGCTGTGGTTCACCCTTCTACCTTAAAGACAAGCTGGCTAAAGGCTACAACCTCACCCTCACAAAGAAGGTACACCCTATGAAAAATGTCATTTAGTTCTTGACTTAACTTGAGTTAACTCCCATGTGAGAGTGCTGTAGGACACTACAGTAAGGGTATAAATAGTAATACCAAGGTACGTTGATATAGACTACATTTCAAAAGTCAGTACGATTTTTTGTAAATGGTCATTTATGTTAACCAGACTGCATTTATTTGATCAAAAATACAGTAAAAAATGTGAAATATTGTTGTAATAAATTAACTTTTCAATTTAATTTAATTTAATTTAATTTAATTTAATTTAATTTAATTTAATTTAATTTAATTTAATTTAATTTAATTTAATTTAATTTGTTCCTGTGATGGCAAAAGCTGATTTTTGATGAACAATATTCCACTCTTCAGTGTCACATGATCCTTCAGAAATCATTCTAATGCTGATTTGGTGCTCAAGAATATTTTTATAGAAACTGTGAAAAAAAAAAAATCTGGATTTTTTGAGAATAACTTTCAAAAGAACAGCATTTATTTGAAATAGAAATCTGTCAATTTACTACATCCTTACGTTTAAAAGTATTATTATTATTATTTTTTAAATCATACATATTTGAAACTTTTGAAAGGTAGTGTATATACTGTGTACAATGGTATATTACTGTGGTAAAATGTGTTTTCCAAAATGTATATATTTAAAAATTGTTATGTCAACATGCATTTCTATGTTTTTGATTCAGGTTCAGAGTCCTGATTCAAATGAAAAGTTTGACATTGAAGCAATCAGGGATTTCATTCAATCCTACCTGCCTGATGCTCGACGGAAGGAGGGAGAGGTGGGCGATTTGATCTACGCCCTTCCACCGTACACCACCCAGAACGCAGCTGCGTACCAGTCTCTTCTCACCGATCTGGATCAGAACCTGGACATGCTTCAGCTGGGGTGCTACGGCATTTCAGACACCACCTTGGAAGAGGTAATTATCAGATGAAGACCCCAGGTGTAAGATTGAATTATGGACTGCAACTGGGGTTCAAACACCCAGCCCAGAAACCTTCAAAGCCTCAAACAGTGCAGTCCAAGATTGTTAAAGAAAGCGGAACCACACTAGTTTCCCTGGGATTCTTGGCGCATAAAGTGCAAGCTTCACATTTCAGAATCAATTATCCCACATAGAGCTGGGAGATATTGAGTTATATTGAAATGAAATTCAAATGTTTCTGGCAATCAATCCACATGTAAATGCATACGATTTGTGTAGGCTACTATTTTCAGTCATCTTATGGTGGGCTTCCAGCCGGAGTTGCCAAGCATTTTAAAGGGATAGTTCACTCAACAACAAAAAAAATCCTGTCATTATTTACTCACCATCAAACTTACGATTTTTCTGAGAGAGTGAGGATCCTGAAACATATTAAGGAAACAATAGGGGGAAAGTTGCTTTAATGTTAACCTTACAAAACCACGGGGAACCATGATCCACCCTGTCCAGGTGCACTCAAAAAGATTGTGTTTTCTCTCAGGTGTTCCTGCAGTTGACTCGAGATGACATGGAGCCTAGAGACAGTGACACCTTCTCTGTATCAGAGTCTGTAATAGTGAATGACATCTGTGCTTCAAGAGACAGCATTCCTGACGACATCAACAGCATGTACCTTGGAGAGAAAGCCAGTAAGTCTTTTAGGACTTAGTTAGTTTCTTGCAGCATTACAGGCACTTTCCTAGTTACCCCTTGAATGCTTTGAACTTTGAAGATTTTACCTAGATTGAAGTGGTTGAGATGATTGGCTCTGTCTCATGTGGGATTCTCTCTTCTTCTCTTTGAAAGGCCTCACTGGGACTTCGACTGTGAGTGGGCTTGCTTTGACTGCACAGCGGGTGATGGCCATGTTGCTGAAACGCGTGCACCACTCCAGGAGGGACTGGAAGGGGCTGTTCTCCCAGGTGTTGCTGCCCGTAATCTTTGTAATTGCTGCCATGGGCCTGGGCTCCATCAAGAGCGATCTTCAGCACTTCCCTAAGATTGTGCTCTCTCCTGCTCTGTACCACGTTGATGAACAGTATGCCTTCTTCAGGTCAGACTCACTCCATTCTGTAACTTGCTGAACTTCAGATTACTTGTTTTTTAAGATTAATAATCTATTCATTTTCCATTTGCCAACACTTTTGTCCACAACAACTTACATTGTATTCAAAGTGTACATTTATGTATCTTCTGGGTATTGAAACCATTACTATTATCAGAGCCATGCTTTGTTTTTTGAGCTACATGAACTCAAGTTTAGACTTTGCTAATCTACTCAAAGGTAATGGTGAGGATCATAACAGAAAATGATAATGTTGTTAAAGGAGTAGTTCACTTAAAAAAAAACTTTTGCTGATAATTTTTCCACCCCCATGTCATCCAAGATGTCCATGTCTTTCTTTCTTCAGTTGAAAAGAAATTAAGGTTTTTGATGAAAACATTCCAGGTTTTTCTCCATATAATGGACTTCATTGGGAACCAAACGGTTCAAGGTCCAAATCAGAGTTTCAGTGCAGCTTCAAAGGGCTTTAAACGACACCAGACGATGAATAAGAGTCTTATCAAGCAAAACGATCGCTTATTTAAAAAATAAATAAAAAAGTTTAAGCTTAATAAGCACAAATGCTCGCTTTGCTCTGTTCTGTTGCTCTCTTCTGTTCAATCAAAATGAACAAATCTTTTTTTGAGTCCTGACTCGAAGGGTCCTAGATAAGACCCTTATTCATCTTCTGGTGTCGTCATTTGGACCTTGAAACGTTTGGCTCCCAATGAAGTCCATTAAATGAAGAAAATCCTGGAATATTTTCATCAAAAACCTTAATTTCTTTTCAACTAAAGAAAGTAAGACGTGGACATCTTGGATGACATGGGGGTGAGAAAATTATCAGCAAGTGTTTTTTTAAAAGTGAACTACTCCTTTAATTACTGGGTAATAGCTATTGTGTGTATACATATACAAGTATGGGATAATGTAGTGTCATCTGGTGATTATTGAAAATATACTAAACATATTTTATGATTATGACTGGCTATCCTTTATTTATTTAACTCTGAAATTGCCTTGAACGGTGATTTTTAGAAATGTAAATGTAGCATTCTTTTTTTTTTAGCAAGGCATTTCCCCCCCCTGTGTTCATTTTGTGGGGGGAAAACACTAAGTATAAATATATGTAATCATTTTTATTTATGGAAAATGCATAATAAACAACAGCATTTACCTCCATATACAGTATATTTTCCTACAACCTTTCAAAGCATGCAAAATGCCTCACCTAAACTTATATGAACATTTTTGAGTAATTATGCTTATACGAATCATTCATTGACTGATTCAAAATAACTGATTCACTGAAATTATTAGAACTTCCTCACTCTGTTGACATTTAATGAAGGTTATGACAGAGATGCTTTTAAAATACCACCCCGTGTCACTCACTGGCGCACAACTAGCCAATTGCCACTGTAGGTGAAGCAACGTGGGCAAATAAAAGCACATTATTGCGGTATTCCCAAAGTTGGTTATTTTTTATATAGCCTCCAAAGTAATATAATACTGTGTAAATATGAAATATTTTGCACATCCTTAAACATTGCCATTGCGCACCATCTCCACAGGAATCACAATGCCACCAGCAACAGTCTTGTAGATGCCATGATGTCCTATCCAGGCATCGACCACGTCTGCATGAGAGACCCCACAGATTCGTAAGTAATCATCCATATGTCTTGGTGATCTGCGGTGTAGTTTCGAACTGTGAGCTCAGTAATCAGACCGCATGCCGCTATAAGCCATGAGTGATTACATATCACAGCATCAGCTCACCTGGCCACTGCAAATGGGTTTCATTTTTGCCAGCTATGATTTTAGCCTCTCTGATCTTCGCAGGTCTGTTCTTAAGCTCTGGTCGCCATCTACTTAGCTGAGCCCTGGGACTCTGATACTCTGCCTGCTTGTATCAGCGGGTCTGCTTGCGTTCCTGGGCAATTTCATCACACTAATGTGCCACTTTTAGTTTTCTATCAGTGTTTTTTATCACACTACTTTCCCATCTCTTCTCATCTTACTCTTTTTCCTCTCTCTGTAACTCGCTCATAACACTCCCTTGCTTTCTTGTTCTCTGTTTTTCCATTTCTCTCTTTCACCCACACATCTGAAATCTCTGCCTTTTGTAATTCCTCTGTAAGAGCTTATAATAATGCTTCTGTATAGGGGCGTGAATCTCAAAGAAGCTCACTTGCAGGTTTTTGTGAGATTCACATTTGCATTTCTCATGCATTTCCTGTTTGTAGGATTGATTTCCTTAATAGACTTTATCACTCATACCTTCAAAATAATCATTACACAGTTTGAAGTGGTTCTTGCATGTAGACTATTGTTTTCTACAAGAAAACTTTTTTTTTTTTTTTTTTACAGGATTTGCAAAAAGAGACCTGCAGGAACTCAGACCTGGATCTCCGGAGGCAACAGCTCTGCTATATTTACCACCTGCAAGTGTAGCAACCAAGTGCAGGTGGGTCAAACAGAGCATAACCATCATAACACAAACGACATTATCACTTATCCTCAATGATGTGCATCGTTCACTGTTTAAATATTAATAAAAAGATCATTAGTGTTTTGATAGCGTGAAGGTGAATGTTGATCACAGCAGGGTTGCGCGCCCTTGACGATTGATTTGAGGATGCCTTTTAAAAGCAGTTCCTTTGACTTTGAATCAAGGCAGCTAATGCAAAATCAACATTCACATGTAAAGAATAAGAAAAATTGAATATTTAACAATTAAAAAATTGAAAATACGATTATTTCAAAAAATTATTTTACTTCAAATTACACATAAACGTTATCAGTCATAACACACATTTACGTGGACATTATATGATTTTTTTAAAAATAGCTTTAATTTATGGACTGTCGTAGAACACTTAAAGGAGTAGTTCACTTTTAAAAAAAATCTTTTGCTGATAATTGGATGGGTATCGTTAAGGTTTTATCGGTACTCTTACCGATACCGCTTATCGATCCGGTACTTTAACGGTATTCTTATCGGTTCTTTTTTTTTTTTTTATTATTTATTTATTTATTTTACACAATAATTAAACTTTATATTTTGAAATGTAAAATAGAAAAAGCAAAACGAAGAAAAATATCTTTTTGTTATGCAGCAGTGTGCAGGCTTTTTTTGTTTATACAAAAAGGACACATAAGAAAAAAACAAGTACAAACACAAGAATACAATTAATCAAAGATACAAATTATATACAAAGTGCTTTAAATTCAAGAAGGTCTACTAACATATCTTTTCAGGTAATTGTTTCTGTCTGAAAAGAAACCTAGTAATCAAATATAAAATAGCACTGTATAGTTTATCATAGATAGAATAATGCTTATTAAATCTAAAGTTACTCATTCAAAAGCTGTGAGTGATTTTCTCTGCCTTTTGTTGTTTGATTTGCATTAATGGCTGAATCGTCAGCAGGTTTAAGACCGAGTGCAGATAATGGGGACTGATGCACCATCATTTTCTCCCTATTATTTACGTCCATTTAAGACATAATTGTGTTTAAGTGAATAAACTGTGTTTAAGTGAATCTCAGAGCTATTGACATTTTTTATGTATAGACCATTTCACAAGATGTAAAGAACACTGGTCCAGAAGCACTTCCTGTTTCAGTTTTTTAACACTACATAAAAGCTGGGATAAAATACAACCAACAGAACAGTTAAAACTGAATCAAAAAGTTAAACAAGCATCTTTAAGATGTTTTCTTTACATGTGAAATAAAGAAAACAGTTACAAACTGAAACAGGAAGTGTTTCTGGACCAGTGTTGTTTACATCTTGTGAAATGGTCTATATTTGATAGTTAAGGACGCACGAAGCCCAAGTATAGGCTACTTTTCTTGTCTCGTTGCAGTCCGTTTCGGAGCGCGCACCGCCTTGTGAACAGCGTCTCTTGCGCAGGTTTTTGTGTTTTTGATAGCCATTTTCCTGATCTTGCAACAGTAGAAGACAGCATTTTGCAACAGTCGCCGATCGTTCTGATTCTGACGGTTACGTTTGGTGTTTTAGGAAGAACTGACAGCGCTCCGCAGTGCTGTGAAGTAAAGGAAGTTAAGCTGGACAGATCGTCTCATTTTTTTAACGGTTTTATCTCAAATATCTTCTTTTTATAATCTTTGGAAGCCGAAATACAAAATATATTAGAATAATATCCCAGATCTAAAGTGTAACCGCGTTGAATGTTTAGTTCTGTCCTCATTGTCGCTCATTGTTGAGATATCGCTCTCTCTCTTCTCTCTCTCTCTTCTGAACTGCAAATTGCAAATTTGCATCACAGACAAATGGTTTAATTAATATATAGTTTATATATAGAAATGGCTGGCGATATAAACATGTTCAAGATAACGTCTTTATAGGAATAATAAATAGTAGCCCAACTTGCGTGTATTTACTTAATTTCTCCAGTACCGACAGCAGAACCGATAACGTCCGAGCTTATCGATACAGCGGTCTTTCAAAATTCAGTACCGGGTCCCGTTTAATACCGGGTTTCGGTACCCATCCCTATAATTTACTCACCCCAGGATTTTCTCCATGTAATGGACTTCATTGGGAACCAAACGTTCAAAGTCCAAATGAGAGTTTCAGTGCAGCTTCAACGGGCTTTAAACGACACCAGACGATGAATAAGGGTCTTATCTAGCGAAATGATCGCTCATTTAAAAAATAAATGAAAAGTTTAAGTTTATAAGCTCAAATGCTCGCCTTGCTCTGTTCTTTGATGAGATTTCGTGACTCTCCTGTTCAAACTCGTTCATCAAAATCTCTTTTCGAGTCATGACTCGAAGGCTCCTAGATAAGACCCTTATTCATCGTCTGGTGTCGTTTAAAGCCCTTTGAAGCTGCACTGAAACTCTCATTTGGACTTTGAACCGTTTGGTTCCTATTGAAGTCCATTATATGGAGAAAATCCTGGAATGTTTTCATCAAAAACCTTAATTTCTTTTCGACTGAAGACATCTTGGATGACATGGAGGTGAGTAAATTAAAGGAGTGAACTACTCCTTTAATTTCTCAGAAGACTCTATATTATCAGAATGTGATAGTAAAAAATGAAATGAAAACAGTGTGGTTCTGTATGGAAATTAAAATGTATGCATTTAGGAGAATTTCACTGAATTCAGGGAATGATATCAAAGGAAGAAAAACTATTACATATCAGTGAGTAAATTGGTATAATTAGTCAACTTAATCATGTAATTAGTACATTCTGTCACCAAACTTGAGTTGGGCTAATGCAATTTTCTGCTGTGTGCCTGTTGATGTTTGTAATTTTCTTATAATTTACTTGCAAATTAGTAAATGCCTCTTCATGTTATTTCAAATCAGCTTCCTGTGGGGCGTGGCTAATTCTACTCACAATTTGACAGGGAGCAAGTTGTTATATTCAGATTCTCCCCCAATCCTGTATCATCATCACTTACTTTTCTGTCACTTTCAGTCGTGTCCTGCATCAGGTTACCAACCACCTCACAGAAGAAATCCATCATCCCAGATTGTCTACAACCTGACGGGCATCAACGTAGAGGACTACCTGTTGGCCACTGCGAATGACTTCGTCAGAAACAGGTGAATTTGATTACACGTATAACTTCACGGCATTAAACTAATTTCAAAAGATAATTCCTTAATGTCACAAGTTCAGAATATGGTGAGGTGGAATATTAAGGAATTTATGAACCGCTGGTAGGTTGATTAATAATTAAAAAGGAAGCACTTCGGTTTATACCAACTTTATCATGGCATTTCCGACCAGCTGACATTTTCCATCCTAGTCAAATAGCACACAGCTCTTGAGCGTGCTGCTGGCATGAAAATACTTTATTACACCTAAAATAGTAAGGCATACATTTATTATTCATACACTCCTCTTCCAAAAAAAAAATGTAATAAAATACACAGCCCTGCTGCGGTGTGGTGGCGAAAATAGCAATAAAAAAAAAGGTAAATCACTGCTCTATAAGAAATTGGATGAGTATTCAACAACTGCATAAAACTATTAATTGAGAGTATATCATGAGGAAGTCTTTAGCGTCTCAAAACACTAAAGTTAATGTTAAATAATTTGAACTTTAATATATAAAGAATGTGGGAAAGAACATATAAATTCCCAGGCTGCGAGTCCAATTAAAGTTACCAAAAGAGATTCATCTAACCCTAGAATGCATTAACCAAAAAACTTCACTGTAAATAACGGAATCAATGATGCAAACTTCAATAAATATGAGATAAATTCAAATTCTGTTGTAAAGCCAGTACAGAGTTGGGTCAGTTCACTTCAATAACTGTGTAAAGGTCATCAAGTATTAAACGAATTCAGCTATTAGTAGCTTTTCAGAAGATCTAATAAATATGTGTGAACAAGATGTTACACATTCTAATGTAAGTTGTTTTGTGCTTTGTTTCAGATATGGAGGCTGGGACTTTGGGAAGCCTCTTCCCATTGATCTTAAGTTGGACATGTTAGATGTGCCAGATAACAGAACACTTAGTAAGGTAATTTGGATGAGTGATATTACGGTACATTGCCCCAATGGCAAAGTTGCTCATTGTCCCAATGTAGCAGTTTATGTGGACGCTAACAGGATCTGTTCCAAAACCAAGTAAGCTGCCACATAGGCAGCATTTTAATGCATATAATTACCCTCCTGTTGTGAAAGCTGTTCCAAAAGGTAGGCAGCATCATTATGTTGCCTTCTAAAACACCTTTATGGTATAATTTTAAGGCAATATTGCTTGCATCCCAGAGTTCAGTGAAAAAAAATACTTTCAAGATGACAAATGAAGCAAGAGAAAAGTTATTTCAGTACCAAAATACAGTAGTTGAGTCTAATTACATATGGTCTTTTACACCCAATATTTGTATGAGCAATGTACAGTACCTGTCAAAAGTCTCTAATGCACACCAAGGCTGCATTTATTTATTCAAAAATACAATAAAAATCACTGTTTTCTATTTGTATACTGTATATATATATATATATATACACACTCACCTAAAGGATTATTATGAAAACCTGTTTAATTTCTCATGAATGCAATTATCTAATCAACCAATCACTTGGCAGTTGCTTCAATGCATTTAGGGGTGTGGACCTGGTCAAGACAATCTCCTGAACTCCAAACTGAATGTCAGAATGGGAAAGAAAGGTGATTTAAGCAATTTTGAGCGTGGCATGGTTGTTGGTGCCAGACGGGCCGGTCTGAGTATTTCACAATCTGCTCAGTTACTGGGATTTTCAAGCATGACCATTTCTAGGGTTTACAAAGAATGGTGTGAAAAAAAAATACTTTCAAGATGAGAAATGAAGCAAGAGAAAAGTTATTTCAGTACCAAAATACAGTAGTTGAGTCTAAATACAAATGGTCTTTTACACCCAATACTTGTATGAGCAATGTATAGTACCTGTCAATTTTGAGAATGGCATGGTTGTTGGTGCCAGACGGGCCGGTATGAGTATTTCACAATCTACTCAGTTACTGGGATTTTCAAGCATGACCATTTCTAGGGTTTACAAAGAATGGTGTGAAAAGGGGAAAACATCCAGTATGTGGCAGTCCTGTGGGCGAAAAGGCCTTGTTGATGCTAGAGGTCAGAGGAGAATGGGCCGACTGATTCAAGCTGATAGAAGAGCAACTTTGACTGAAATAACCACTCGTTACAACCGAGGTATGCAGCAAAGCATTTGTGAAGCCACAACACGCACAACCTTGAGGCGGATGGGCTACAACAACAGAAGATCCCACCGGGTACCACTCATCTCCACTACAAATAGGAAAAAGAGGCTACAGTTAGCAAGAGCTCACCAAAATTGGACAGTTGAAGACTGGAAAAATGTTGCCTGGTCTGATGAGTCTCGATTTCTGTTGAGACATTCAGATGGTCAGAATTTGGCGTAAACAGAATGAGAACATGGATCCATCATGCCTTGTTACCACTGTGCAGGCTGGTGGTGGTGATGTAATGGTGTGGGGGATGTTTTCTTGGCACACTTTAAGCCCCTTAGTGCCAAATGGGCATCGTTTAAATGTCACAGCCTACCTGAGCATTATTTCTGACCATGTCCATCCCTTTATGGCCACCATGTACCCCATCCTCTGATGGCTACTTCCAGCAGGATAATGCACCATGTCACAAAGCTCGAATCACTTTAAATTGGTTTCTTGAACATGACAATCAGATCACTGTACTAAAATGGCCCCAAAGTCAGCAGATCTCAACCCAATAGAGCATCGCTTCGTGACCTAGATGTGCATCACACAAATCTCCATCAACTGCAAGATGCTATCCTATCAATATGGGCCAACATTTCTACAGAATGCTTTCAGCACCTTGTTGAATCAATGCCACGTAGAATCAGGGCAGTTCTGAAGGCTAAAGGGGGTCAAACACAGTATTCGTATGGTATTCCTAATAATCCTTTGGGTGAGTGTATATTAGGTGTGAGTGTATATTATGAGTGTATATATTACCAAGCTGAATTTTCAGCATCATCACTCCAGTCTTCAGTGTCACATGGTCCTTTAGAAATCATTCACACATGTTTGGATATTAGGTTTTTAGTTTTCCTGTTAAAGCCTTAAAAGGCAGCAGTCAATGCAGCTCAGTAAGTTTTGGAACAGAAGCTTATTTACCTTAGTCATTATTTGATTAGAGTGGAATTGTGGTGCATTGTATTAATATTTGTGTTCACACAGATTTGGTATAATCCAGAAGGTCACCACACCATGCCTGCCTACCTCAACAGCCTTAACAACTTCATCCTGAGATCCAGTCTGCCACCTGAGAAACGACAACAATACAGTTAGTTAAACCTCTCTCTCTAATTGTGAATTTCACATACACTGTTGGTCAAAAGTTTGGAGTGAGTAAGAATTATTATTATTTTTTAAGAAGAAGAAAATATATTTAGCAAGGATGCATTCATTGGTTAAAAAGGAACTGTAAAGACTTTTTTCTATATTTTAAATTCTGAAAATGTTTTTATCACTTTATTCCCTAACAAAATTAAGCTTTTAAACAGCAAATCAGCATATTAAAAGGATTTCTGAAGGTCTAATTTACTTTGAGCAAGAACCGGGCACCTTCTGACTGACTGCAAAGAAGAAGTCCTTATAGTGCCTAACAATCGCAATACCACTACCCTTAGACAGGGGGCAGTGTGTCTATTCCATCTCACACTAGAAGGCAGAGTGGTCTGAATGCTAATTAGAGGTGCTGAGAACTGAAATGAAGGAATAGAGCTGGTCTTATTTCAACACTGCCAGACTGGCCCACTGGCTGAGATTCACTGTCCGCCTCCAGGCAAGATTAATGCAATCCTAGCAGTCAATAATGGAAAGGGGGGATGCATTCATTCAAATGTAGCCAGTGAACTCATTCAGGGCAAAACAGAGCATAAATTCAGCAAAGGTTCATGGGAGGAGCAGATTGCCAATCACGTGTTGGCCTGAGCAAGTGTGTATTTTCTCATGTGCTAAAATCTCTCTTTACAGCTATCTCCATATCCAGCCACCCCTACCCTGGCCAAGTGCAAGACGAGGATGTAATGTAAGAGCACGCACACACACACACACTCACACACGCCCGTCCTTCTGTCTGGCAGCTAAAGCTGATAAAGTACTCTGTGGGACCAAATACAGACTGAGCGTATTAGTTGGGCCGGTACCAAATCACAGACCCAGTGGTGGGGAAAAAAAAGCAATCAGCCAAATGATGGGCTTTAGATAAGATATGCAAACATTGCTCTGACATTTTCATTCTAGTGAAGCACTTGAACTAATGTAATTTGACTCCTGTATTTACTCCACTTTGATTTTTTTTTTCCCTGATCTTGGCTTATTGATTACTAACCCAATATAATGTGTGTTTACTCTGAAGGTGGTTCAGAGGTTAATTGATTCAACGTCGCCACCCAAACATGCTTGTATTTTCAACACTGTGGGCGATTTCAACCGTGCCTAAATTTAAAAGATACGCTCTGTAAAACGAACGCAATTGTTTCAGTCTCACAGCTGGGATGAGTCTGGCTTGACGCCTGCTACTTAGGCTTAGGCTGAGGGGAAAACATGCAGAGAAAGCAAGTAAAATGTAGAAGAATAGGTTGGCTACTCAAAATAAAAAATGATTCTGTGAGTAGCTGAAAAGAGCAGAAAAGAATGCATTCGTTTTCCAAATAGGTCCCATTTTAAGGCAAGTCAAAGCACTTGGCGGCCATATTGGTAACAGCCTCAAGCAGCTGTTTCAACTACAAATAGAGTGTGCTGCAGGCATGAGTCCTAAAACACAGAAATGATTCATAATTTTTGAGCTTTTGGTTCCATCATCCTGCAGTCAATGGGTTTTTGAATGAGGTTTTAGTTATATGACTGAAATAAGGGCTGTGGTTTACACAAGCTTTTTTTCTATGACAACAGTAACACCCAAAGTTGTAAGTAACGAATTACAACTTCTCACGTTACTGTAATTAAGTCGTTTTTCGTGTACTTGTACTTTTATGAGTATATTTTTCTAAAAGTCTGTAATTTTCCTTGTACTTAAGTACAAATAAGGTTAAAGGACAACTCCGGCGCAAAATGAACGTTTGGTCTAATTACACGTTGTTACCTAGTCAACCGTTATCTGAGATTTGTTTTCATGATTGCCGAATGTAAATAGTGTTATCTCTAAAAACAGTTTAGCCTATAACGCTAGTATAATGCTAGTATATAGGGCATAGAGTAATGACAAATAAAAATCGCTTGTTATTACCACTAACAAGGCTCAAAATAGCCCCACACTAACACGACAGCATAATAAGGGTCTCTACATTCAAACCGAAGCATTGAGAACTTTGTCAGTGATATATATGAAGATATTTTATACACACAGTCAACTTCGCGAATACAGGAAGAAGCCATCTTTGAAAAATAGTCTCTACCAGTCGATCTTTGAACGCCGATCCAAGTGCGCTGGTGAGATGTAAATAAAGTGATAAGGTGAGCGTGAACAGTAAGCTACGTGTACATATTGAAGAAAAGAAAACGGTTCGTGTTTGTGTTTCTTCCGAAAACATCAGACCACATGATATTCTGCACAGTTCAGCGCACTTGGATCGGCGTTCGTAGATCGACTGGTAGAGACTATTTTAACCCAACAAGCTTGTTTGTTGCATTATAATTCATTAACAATAATAATCATATTACACTATCTTTATAACTTGATTCCCATAAAAGTAAATAAATATCACAGGCTAAAAAGTAATTACTTGGGTAGTTTTTGAGAGGGTTTTTTTTAGAATTTTTTAACACCAGTACTTTTACTTGTAATATTATAGCAACTACTTGTACTTGTACTTGAGTACAAATTTTCAGTACTCTTTCCACCTCTGGTAACACCTAACATCAGTAATACCCTACTAAGATTTTATTGGCTAAATGGGACCACAATGGTTGTCTGGGACATTAAACATCATCACGCCATGCAGGAAAACTTGTAGATTTAAATAAAGGGTAACACTTTATTTCGATAGTCCACTTTAGACATTCTGCTACAAATAAGTAACTTTTCAACTACATGTCAACTAACTGTCATTAGAGTCAGGGGCGGACTGGGACCAAAAAGTGGCCCTGGACTTTCAGGCCCACAGCAGCCCACCGTGGCCGAGAAAGCTCAACATGCTGCAACTGAAGCAAATACTTGCAAATAGAAATAAACACCTGCAAATTAAAAAAAAAACATTGTCATCAGTTTCACAACACATGTGTGCTCCAAATACAGAAATGCACTGCAAAAGTTCACAACACAACCAAATACAGAAACGCGCTGCAAATAACACAGACCACAACAGAAATGTTTCCAGGTAAACCAAATAAGTGACGAAGCGCTAAAATATGTGTGTCTCAACTTTAAAACTTTGGACCCTACATTACCTAATATTTCTTATGAAACATTTCTTTATGAAAAATTTAAACATAACATGAAACATTTTTTAAAGTTTAACAGATTAAAGATAAATATCTTTCCTTCATGTTCTTCTTCACTATCTTTATTTATTTAGTTAAGTTTTCAGCTCATTGTTCTTTTCTCATTTGTATTCTGATGACATTGAACATATTGTTAATACATTTTGAATATTGTATACAAGTTGTGTGTCATAAAAATGTAATTTCTGTACGTTTTGAAAAAAAATAAATAAATACATAAAGTAGAATTTTAAGCTGTAAGGGTTAGTAACTTATTTGGTTCCCCTGGAAAGATTTCCATTGTGGTCTGTGTTTTTTGCGCGTTTCTGTATCTGGGTAGTGTTGTGAGTATTTGGTGCACACGTGTGTTGTGAAACTGATGAAGATGTTTTCTTAATTCGCAGGTGTTTATTCTATTTACATGCGTTTTCATTCAGTTGCAACGCGTTGAGCTTTCTCGGCCCCCCTACCACCACATCATAACAAATTGGCTCATTAATGTGCAGAATATTTTTAACACCACTTAGAACATAAAAATATAAACACAATATAAAACTATATGCAATTTAAACATTTATTTTAAACACAACGCTAGTCAGGGGGAGTTAACTTTCGCCTTCAGAACCATGTTCAGAAACTGTTGAACTGCTACTCTTCGCGCCAAATTTATAATTTGTTAATTTGAAGCATTTCACACAGATTTCACAGCATCTACCTCTAGCTTACAGTTCCCTCTCGGTGTTCAAATGGAGCTTTTTTTCCCGCGACACAGGTAACGAGGCGAGGGAGTCGGCTTTCATCTGCGCGCCGCGGCTGTCTGTGTTTTTACAGGACGTGAAAGGGGGCGTGTTTCAAGATACGCAACGGAGCAGACCAAACAAATTAACAGGGAGAGACAGTCACATTCATTCCCACGAAACGCACTCCTTGTCGCCTGCGCGATCGATTCCCTTATCCATTTGCGTAGAAAAGAAATGTAATATTATGATTTCCGTCATTGTTTTATATATAGCCTATTTTTGATACGTGATATCTGTACTGGGCCGGCCCACTTTGGCCAGTGGCCCACCGGGAAAAGTCCCGGTGCTCCAGATGGCCAGTCCACCCCTGATTAGAGTATTAGTAGACTGTCAGCTTTATATCTGCTAACACTTTATTTTGTTGGTCCCGGAACAGGCATTCAACTGACTAAAAGTAACTTGGTGACTACAAGTAATCTTATATATTCTCCTAACCCAAAGCCTAACACCTAACCATAACCTAACAGTCTACTTACAGTCTACTATAATATACTAATACTCTAATGAGTTGAAAAGTTACTTATAGTTAGTAGAATGTCTAAAGTGACTATCGAAATAAAGTGTAAGCAAATAAAGCTTAAAATATTGGTTTGAAACTTAGACGTGGTGACATTGTCAAACTTTTCATTGTCTCAGATCTTATTTTCTCAACTAATCAATGGGAAAGCTCTATTGGCTTTATGTTGAGGGAACCAGGGTGATTCTAACTAGGTTGGTGCACATAATTATGCCATTCTTGCAGCTTATATACTTCAAAAAATGTGAAGATTATGTTTCAGTAACATATTGTAATGAGTGACTGCTAACCTTGTCTCATACCTAATAAAATCAGTATAGGTATAATAATATTCTTGTCATCTTAGTTAACTTAGGACCAAATCGATATTAAGTGTCTTAATTAGCACCACTTTAACATGAGGTTTATCATTGTATAGATTTAACAACTATCTGAAAAAGTTATACACCAAATGTATTCAAAATGACTTATTTGGGAGTTATAGCTAAAATAGGCCATGTCGAACAGTCTTCATTGGCGTCAGGCAGCCACGTTGAATTCAAAGTAATAAAAAGTGCTTCAATACGGCTGAGTCACCCTTAGGAGGTAGTAGGAAAAGCTGCAATTCAAGGTTCCAAAATTGTCTAGTAAAGTCTGAAGCTGTAGAAAAGTACGTTATAAGTCATTTCTTATCCTTTGACTTCAGTGATCATCAACAAACCGAGCCCTTTCTTATTTGAATGTAAAATGATCCCCACTTCAGGCTCAACACTCTTCAGTCTTTCCCTGGTTCTTATTTGTCCTCCATTCTTGCTATATTTTTTTGGAGTGCTTGGAAGCAGAGATGGGACGCAAAGGGGCAGCATTAAAGGCAAGAGCTCAGCTTGTGACTGCTAGAAAAAGAAGTGTCCTGCTGAGACTAAACTCTTGATCGTCTCTGACCCTGTCTTACACAATTCTCACCGATAGAGAGATCTTAATTCTCATGGCTTTTATGTGTTCTCCTCACTGTGTCTGGTGCCGTTGTAAATGCATCAGGCTTGACTGAAGAACAGTGTTAAGCTCATGTGTGACACTGTTGGAAATATGAAGTGCAGTTTGTATTGTAAGGGTAAGACAGCAGGACATGCTCTCACTGCACTGCTGCCGCAGAATGACAGCTTTTTTGTGTTTTTCTGCAGGTGTGTATATTAAATGTACAGCGATGGACCTGTTCACTTTATTAATGCATGTTTCTGGTCTTATTATAAACTATTTATTTGTGCTTGTAATAAATATGTGCTAGTATTCAAAGGTTGGGGGTCAGAAAATGTGTTTTTCTAGAGTTTGCACAAAATATATTAATAGCAACTGTTTTTAACATCAATAATATTAAGTTTTTTTTTTCTGAGCACCAAATCAGCATATTAGAATGATTTCTGAAGGATCATGTGACACTGAAGACTGGAGTAACAATGCTGAAAATGTATAACATAAATGTTTAACATTTTTATAAATTACTATATATATATGCAAAAGCCTCTAAGTGCCATTTGAAATTTTCTTCCAAAATTATCATTTTTATCAAGCTTGTATATTTAAGTTCAGTAATTTCACTTAAATGGCAATGAAGATTACCTATTAATTGTCATTTAAGTGAAATTACTGAACTTAAATACACAAGCTTGATAAAAATGGTCATTCTAGAACAAAATTTCAAATGGCATTTAGAGGCTTTTGCATCTGAACTCTTCATATATATATATATATATATATACTGTATATACTAATATATATATATATATATATATATACACACAGTATATATATATATATATATATATATATATATATATATTATATGGTGTATATAATTGATCATTTTAATGTATATTTAAATGTCATTTATTGGTGGCAAAGCTGAATTTTCAGCATCATTACTCCAGTCTTCAGTGTCACATGATCCTTCAAAAATCATTCTAATATGCTGATTTGGGTGTTCAGAAAAAAAATATTGAAAAAAATATTACAAAATATATATATTCATTGACTTACTGATCCTTAGTATTGAACTCTTTCTTTTTGTATCCTCAAGGGTGGGCGGTTTGGTCAGCATCCTGGTTGCTATCTGTGTCCTCACTGGCTACTCTATCATGACTGCCAGCTTTGCCATCTATGAGGTTCAGGAACATCACACAGGCTCCAAGAGACTCCAACAGATCTCTGGCATCAGCGAACCTTTTTACTGGATCATCAACTTCTTCTATGATATGGTACTTAATAATTAGTTGATAGATTTCAGCCTATCCCCAAACCCAAACTATGCAAGAAAGATTACAACCCAGAATGTATAAACTGCATGCAGGAACAACAACCATTAGTGCCTGTGCCATTTCTAACTGCTCAGATTATATCATTAATTTAAAGGGGTCATGAACTGGCATTTAAATTTTATTATATTTTTGTCTGAGGTCAACTTATGACGTTCGCTTGGTTTTTGCATTCAAAAACATCAAAATGAATAAGTAATAGGCTTTTTTGTACCCTAGTTTTGAGCCTAGCTGAAAAACGCTCGGTTTTTATGGGCGTCTCGCACTAAAGACTTGAAAGTAAACGCCCACTGCTGTGAGTGGATAACAGTTTTGCATATTATAATGAGTTTCAATTCAACCGTCGATGCACTTGGGGGAAATTATTTTGAAAACGTCCAATGTTGTAAAATGGCAACCGGAACGATTCGCCCATACATGTTCGACCCAGAGTCCGTGTGTTGCACCGTTCCTGTCAGATCCAATATAGACGGCACAGCACCGTTCTTTACACTTAATCGGTCTGCAAATCCAGTCTTGTTTACAAAACAATCCTCAGTGAAATGAAGCGAACAGACGGACAATGTTTTACCTCATCAACTTCGTTAAAAATAAAGTTTATCCATGAAGTCCTATTGGAATCCAGAGGAAGCATATGCAGCGACGGTCTACTTCCACAACCACCCAGCAAACAAATTTAGGTTCTGGGAACGTTCTGGGAACGTTAGCTTTTGGTTCCCAGAACGTTCCTAGAACTTTCCCTTAAGGTTAAGGGAACGTTCCCGGAACATTCTCCTTACGTTATAAAAATGGAACCTAAAAATAACCTACATGGAACGTTCCTATAACGTTCTTGTTTGGTTCCCAAAAAAATATCCTCATCAGACCATTCGGGAACGTTAGGGGAACGTTCTGTGTTTGCTGGGCAGGCACTTCACAATATTTTGTATTGCTCGGTAGCTCGATCCGGTTTGTCATCACGAGGTAGGCATCTATGTTATTTAGCTATGTGTGAATGCGGGAATCGGCCGTGTTAAAGTAGTTGATCTTCTTCTTCTGCGGGGGTGGTGTTTTATCCTCTTTGACGTCATAGTTCCCCACTTTGAAAAACGAGTCGTTTGCTGAGGCTAGTGTCAATAAAAGCTGTTATTGGACTAACGAGGACATTTTCAGTTCTGAAACTTACAGGATATTCTTATAATATGATGACCTCTTAGATGTCAAAAGCTCAGTTCATCACCCCTTTAATATTAATAAAAAACTGTATATATGTTTGTTTTTATGCGCTCTTTCCTGTTGCATTGCAGGCTCTTTACATGGTTCCTGTTGTCCTCTCGGTGGCGATGATAGCAGCGTTCCAGCTCCCAGCCTTCACAGACAGACAGAACCTTGGCGCGGTCACGCTTCTGCTGGTGCTATTTGGGTCAGCATACATTAAAGTACCTTTACCACCAGAGACGTTCCTGTCACAAGACAGACGTCTCATTAGAACGTTTCAGCGCTGACAGGTCCTCAAGGCAGTGGAGCTTCATGAATGTATTATTCAGCAAATGTTACATGTCGCAGCATTGGCAAAGGGGAAGTTTTAGTCAATGCACCGTCTTTCAGGTAAACACGGGCTCTCTGCTAGAAAGAGGAGAGCCGCTTGAAGCTTTCCTGCAAGGCCTGGGCTCTGAAGAAGTGATTTCACACACTTCGTCACCCAGTTAATTGCATTGTGGGGAGCAGTGAGACCACTCACAGTCAGTCTTTAGGCTTCAGAGCTCCAGGCTGCTTGGGAGGCCGTTCATTGTGTGAAGTCAGCAGTCTGGCCCGCATTCATCCGCCTGTGAGCTCGCCGGCTCTCGGCCCATAAATAACCACACATCACAGCGATCCGACCACTTTCCCTTCAACCTGCTTAATTGCTTTTGTTTAGCTGAGCGGTGTGGACTTTCCACCACTAACAATACATGCAGACAGGCCGGCCAACTCGCGCACACACACACACGGTACCCTCTCAGTTTAAACACATCCTCTTCCTTGACCTCGCCACCCCAATCACCGAGAGTAATGAATAAAAAAACAGATCATTCTGTGGAGCTGAAGAGGAGAGAGAATGCTTCACAAAAAGGAAATAGATGAACTCATTTATCTTCTGGCTTCTGGAATATATTCTCTCTCTCTTTGCTAAACTCAAAGTCTCACTATAGTTCTTTTGTCTTCCTCCATGTTGTAATTCTTCTTTTTTTACGCTTGTCACTCACCACATTGATTTCATTGTTTATTTTCAGTTTCTCCACCTTCCCTTGGATGTACCTTCTGTCTGCGTTATTCAAGGACACGGAGATGGCCTTCATTGGTTATGTTTGCATCAATCTCTTCATCAGTATCAACACCATCATCGCCACATCCATTATCTACTTCCTGGGTCAGCTGAACACGAATGACCCGGTGAGAGAAAAGTCAGAGGGATGTTTCACCCCCAATTTAAAAAAGAAATCACATTATATTAAGACACTGAAACCAATTTTACGATCGTTTAGAATTTTTGCTTTTGTAATATTTTTTCATGATAAGTATTGCCCTCAAATTCTCATTACCTATTATCCATTTTTGGTAATACTTTACTTGAAGGGGTGTGTATAAGACTGACATGACACCTTCATAACCATGACATGACATATGTCATGAATATGAAGTAGTCTTTCGCTCAATAATGACATTTTTAATTGCAAATATGACATTGTTTAAGATGTCTTTGTTATGACATCTTGACATAAACCAATACATCATAACCTGTCAGTGTCTTTGTCATGACAAGTTAAACTGTCATGTGGTTGGCTTTGACATTGGCTGTCATGAGGCATTATAACTGTGTCATGACTATTTTTCGTGACCTCAACTACAGTGGTACTAATTGAGTTTGTCATTAAAATGTTATAATGGCTTCATGACAGCCAATGTCAAAACCAATTAACTGACAGTTTAATGTATTGTTAACCAATAAAGCTTTGATAATTAATCTGCTATGTCATGTTTATGACAGGTTGTGTTGTCTTAGTAATGTCAAGTTGTTGTGACAAAGACATCTCAAACAATGTCATATTTGCATTAAAAATGTCATAACTGAGCGAATGATACTTAATAACAGTTGTCACAAACATGCATAAAACTTCATATTCCAACCCGATCTCACGACCAAGTCGTACGAATTCGACGAATGATTAAAAAGTGGCTAATTCGTAACAATTCATACGACCTCACTCGTACGAATTAATAAGATTTTGCTAAATCGTACATATTTTACGAATTGGCCAATTCGTATGAATTCATACGAATGACCTACCTCTTACCCCGCCCCTAAACCTAACCATCACGTGGGTTTAGACAAATCGTACGAATTAGTACGAGTGAGGTCGTACGAATTAGTACGAATTAGACACTTTTTAATCATGCGCCGAATTCGTATGAATTGGTCGTGAGATAGTGTTGCATATTCATAATACATGTCTTGTCATAATTATGAAGGTGTCATGTTAGTCTTATGCACACCCCTTCAAGTAAAGTGTTACCCATTTTTTATTCTTTAGTAAGTATGGATATGTGTACTACCATTCAAAAGTCTGTGGTCGATAAGATTTTTTATTTATTTATGTTTTTGAAAGAAGTATCTTATGATCACCAAGGTTGAAATACATTAAATTTTTTCATAAAATATCATTTCAACTTAAATAACTATATTTCTGTTTAAATATATTTTAAAATGTAATTTATTCCTGTGACTCAGGACTTCAGTCTTCAGTGTCTCATGATCCTTCAGAAATCATTCTAATATGCTGATTTGGTGCTCAAAAACATTTCTTATTGTTATTAATGTTGCTGCTAAATATTCATTTTGGAAACAGTGATAATTAGAAAGTTCAAAAGAACAGCATTCGTTTAAAATGTAAATCTTTTGTAACATCATAACTGTCTTTAATTGACTTTATTGTCCCTTTTGATCAGTTTAATCCACCCCTGCTCAATAAAAGTATCAATCTATTTAAAATATCTTTCTGACCCCACATTTTTGAAAATGTTTTGTATGGAATAGAACAGAATATTATTAACTAACCAAAATAAATGATCAACATAAGTATCTTTGCACATTGTCCTTCCTTCTCTTACTTGCTCTCCCTGTCCATTTCAGAACATCCAGAACGTGTACCGTACCATGAGCAACATCTTCCTAGTCTTCCCTCAGTTCAGCTTTGGCAATGGGTTGATGGAGCTGACAAGGGTTGACATGCAGGTGCAAATCTTGAGCTCTTTTGGGGTGGATGCCTACAAGAACCCCTTCAGCATGGATTCTCTGGGCTGGATGTACATCTCCATGTTCCTGCAGGGTTTCATCTGCTTCATGCTCCGCCTGCTACTTAACAAGACACTCCTTCGCAAAGTCAGGTATACCTGAGGCTCGGGCACTATAGATTTAAAGTGCTTACTGGTTTGTAAATGTCTCATTTTTGTGCATTTGTGTTTTCTTCACAGACGTTTATTTGGGTGTAAGAGAAATGTCATTCAGAGCTATAGCCCCAATGAAGATGAAGACGTGGTGGCTGAACGCTTGCGTGTGTACCGTGGGGATGCAAATGCAGATATTCTGCAGGTTAATGAGCTGTCTAAGGTGTACCAAAACCTGAGCAAGAGGGTACAGGCGGTGAAGAGCCTGTCTGTTGGCATCCCAGCTGGCGAGGTCTGTGCCATTTGCATAGTACAATTAATTATGAGAACATTTACATGCACAAGAATATTGAAGTCCAAATAAATTTGCAATACATTTTGCTTTCGTAATGAGATGTATTTACGATTATCAACAAGAATTGATCATTCATTTTGTGGATTTGGTAATGAACTGGATTGTGAAAAGTTGGGTGTTCCACTTTCTGATTTATAATACTTGGAGGTTAAGAATCTGTACTATGAAAGTAAATTGGGTAAATTCAATTCAAAGATCAAAATGCTTGTTCTGATTGTTTTTTAACTTTAAAAATAAGAAAGTTTTGTGCAAGTATTAAACAAAATTACCAAATCAATAGTTTTAACCACACTCTAAAAAATTCTGGGTTGGTTTAAACCAATTTTGGGTCAAATATGGACAAACCCAGCCATTGGGTTACATTTTTAAATTGCATTTTAATCCAAAGTTTGGGTTTGTCCATGTTTGACCTCAAATTTAGTTAAAACAACCCAGCATTTTTTGGAGTGATGAATCACAGAGGGGAAATGCAGCTATATATACTTAATATTTAAGGCACTTTCCAAATTTGTTTCAAATATGGACAAACCCAAATATTAGGTTAAAATGCAATTAAAAAATGTACAGTTGAAAGTGAAATGTTAAAAAAAAAAATAAATTTTTAACCCAACATTTGGGTTTGTCCAAATTTTACCCAAATTTTGAATTTTGGTTGAGTGTAGAAGATTTATGATTCAGATTTTAAGAATAATCAATGACAGCAAAACATTCATTGTGATTGAACGGAAGCTTAATATCTTCCTTAGTGCTTTGGATTGCTGGGAGTCAACGGTGCAGGGAAGACCACTACGTTCAAGATGCTAACTGGAGACATTAGCCCTACCGATGGCTCTGCTAAGATCCGGGACATTGACGGGTACTTTTCTTTCTCCTTTTAAAAACTACATCTGGTACCTTTACTGTCGCTCAGCGTCTTTTTCTAAAGCATTTTACTAGGCATTTGTGTTGGGTTTCATTGCATGTTCATAAATCTCCCTGGCCTGTGTCCTCAGGAGGATGGTTGACATCATAGACTGCAGGAGAGAGGGCATAAACATCGGTTACTGCCCCCAGGTGGACGCACTGGATGACCTCCTGACTGGAGAAGAACATCTCTATTTTTATGCCCGTATCAGAGGCATCTCCAAGAGGCAGACTGGGCAGGTAAGGTCACAGTTACATTACATCAACATCTATTTTGTTCTGGCAATGGCCAGTTCCTTATTTAACCGACTTGCAAACAGTGCATGGTTTCGGTTATAATGATACCTGTGCATGGTTGTCATTTTATTGAATAAAAATCCAGTATTCGATACAAATTCAAGCGTCTCAATACTAATTTCAAGAATTCAAACATCGGGGGTCTGTAAGATTTAAATAAAACCCTTTTTTTCAACAAGGAAACATCAAATTGATCAGTGCATTTACAATGTTACAAAAGATTTCTATTTCAAATAAATGCTGTCCTTTTGAACTTTCAATTCATCAAGGCATTCTGAAAAAAAGTCACAGTTTCCACAAAAAGAGTTCTCAACATTGATAATAATTAGAAATGTGTCTCGAGCATCAAATCAGTATTTTAGAATGATTTCTGAAGGATCATGTGACACTAAAGAAAACAACTAAATGACTTTTTACAGTATAAAATGTAAAATAGATAGGCTATTTGATTATTAATATTATTGTTTTACTGTATTTTTGATCAAATAAATGCAGCCATGGTGAGCACTTCTTTAAAAACAAAGAAATCTTACTGACCCCAAAGTTTAAAGTGAAAGTCACACATGCACAAGTTTATAGGCAGTCATCTGAGTTAGTACTGAATCAATAGTTCGTATTGCTGAAAATAAAGAAAGACTGGCATCATTACATTTTTTTTATTTATTTATTTTGGTATCGACTTGATTCTATAATGCTGGAACTCTTGCCATCCCTGCTTATATGCAACTAAATGTATTCCACTGATAGAGTTTGCTGATTGGAAATGAGAGAGAAGAGATAAGGCAGACAGCTGTCTGTATAATTTCATGTCACAACTCAATGACTGACTGTCATTTACTGTAACACTCCAAGAAAGATTGTGCATGTGTCTTTCGTCAAGTGTGACGCAGGAAATGGAGGTTTAACAGCAGTTCTGAAAGCACCAGAGTGTGATTGAGATGCTTCTGTTGTGATTGAGACCAGCGTCACCAGTTTTAAACAACTTTTGCAATGCGGATCTACCCACTTGACCAGCACTAACAATCATCGACCCCCCCTGGAAGTCCCTCCTGGACTTCTCAATAGATTTCAGTTTGGTATTGTCTTAGTATTGCATTTGACACAAAATGGTTGGCTCTTTTCCATATTGATTAACGAGAAAGCTAATTAATCTTGCATTCTCCCAGGATTATTGGTAAAAAGCACTTCTGTAAAACTTGCCTTTGGCTTCAGTCTTCCTAAACACTAAAACACTGGTATATAGCTTGTCATTTTAGGAAGTTATTATGAAAATAGTTTTAGTCGGAATAGTGTTTCTGTGAAACTCTGGGTTATTAATAGCTGAGTGTAACACTGAATCACGGCTTTGATTGCTTTTGTACAGCAGCAGCGATGTCAGTTTAAAAAAGTTCAACGCAAGGACTGCGTGAGCTTCTAAATCAAATTTTGGAGTCAGAATCATCAGTTTGTGTAATGCAGGACATGCCGTGCTGTTCTCAACAGCTACGTTTCTGAAGATACGCAGGAGAACTGTTTAGAAGATAAATCGCACTGCTTTGTCTTTTTTCCTCTTTATTGCATCCTGATCCTGCACAACATTTTGATCTAGAGGGCTTAAACTTGAACTGAAAATATCAACTTCATTATGATCAGAGATAGAGTCTGACCGATAAAGGATTTTGAAGGCCGATACCGATACGAATATTTTTGGGTTTTAAAATCCGACATTCCGATATATCGGCCGATATTTTTTTAATTAAATATTGTTGGATTTCACACACGTGTAAAAGAAAAGCTAACTTTTCTGCACAAGATACGTTTGATACTTTTTCTCTACAGTATGTCTAAATGTTCACTCCTCGCAAGTCTAACTTACGTTTTACAATGCAGGGACTGTAACTAGAGATATGCTAGTTATAAATACAATAATCATTACTTTATTTAGGCAGAAAAAGTTCATTGTGGTTACCAAGCTCATTAATGTTAACGTTAGCGGTCCTCCACTGATGATAGTGGCATTAGCTAGCTTTGTGGTGAGCTAGTCTATGATGAGCCATAATTTTGCAATGGATAACGTCATACTGCAAATTGTAAAACATACATTTTCAATATAACAGACCAACACTCTCAGAAAAAAAGGTACGAAAGCTGTCACTGGGGCGGTACCTTTTCAAAAGGTACACTTTTGTACCTAAAGGGTGCATATTGGTACCTTCATGGTACCTACTGTATTTGTACAATTATGGTACCAATATGCACCCTTTAGGTACAAAAGTGTACCTTTTTAAAAAGGTACCGCCCCAGTGACAGCTTTTGTACCTTTTTTTCTGACAGTGAAGGAGAGATGATTGAAGTGTGTTTTTTCCATTTTTATTTTATTTTTTAAATATTCATTTATCGGCCATTATGACTGCCGATACCGATATTTTGGAAAATGCCTAATATCGGCCGATAATATCGACCAGCCGATATATCGGTCTGGCTCTAATCAGAGACTGTGACATGCATTTACAGTATGACGTTATGAACACATGGCTCAAACACACACATACCTCACTGTTGAGCTTTTTCCTTTCTCTTATGTAATTTGGTGTTGTCTCCACTAATACTTTAGACGTACTTTGATAGCCTGTGGTGAAAGGAGTCATCTACAGTTATTGTAAAAAGAGTCTGCTTTTATATGAAGCTTGCCATGTGCAGTATTTGATTACAGTAATGCGACGCAATTCAACAAATTTAAAGGATTGTCGGGGAAAAATCTGTTCTGTTTCTCACACAAATCTATTGATTAGCTTCAAAACACTTAGACACAATGGCACACGAGTCATGTTGACTATTTTATGCTACTTTTTGTCGTTTGCCTGGTCACCATCCACTTTCATTTTGAGGAAAAGAGCTGCTCGAACATGCTACAAACGTCGTCCCTTCTTATATACCCGTGAATGAAAAAAAGTCATAAGGGTTTTAAATTACATAAGGGTGAGTAGATCATGACAGAATATTCATGCTCGGCGAAATAATGCTTTAAATCGTTGAGTAAAGTTGATATAAAGTGCAACTTTGTCTAAAATGAAGTAAAACCAGCACCCTGTAATGATGATGTTACCCTTCTATGAAAAGGGCAAATAAGGAATTGACTTAACAATCTATGAATACCATCAGTCATCTTTCGGCTATACTGAAAGCCTTTGTGTAGAAGCTGCTGAGACTTTGAAATGGCTTTTGCGGTTTGGCCCATTAACTTGGATTAGAGGATTCAGAGGAAACGGCTGGTAAATTTTGATGTCCTGAGGGAAGCACACAATTCAATGCCGGCCCAAAAGGATGATCTGTAGGTGCGTATAACCCGTTAGACGGAGAGTCCTTTATGGTTTCTTGCAGGTTTATGAGAAGCTATTTAAATTCATTGAATGTCTACTTGGATCCTTTGATGTATGAATCCAATTAGTTAAATGAATGCAGAAACCATGACATTCTCTGTGTGGGGTCAAATGTCAACAGGCGTTTAATCAAAACATTATTCAAAGGGACTCATTATGATGTCAAAACTACACAATTAATGTGTTAGAACAATTTGTTAAGCCTTTTTGGGGACAATTATTGCTTTGTTAATCAAAGCTAAATTGCAGGGAAATTATGAGTGAAATGTAAGTGTGATACATGCTTTCAAAAAGGGCTGCACAATTTTGGGAAAACATTAAATTGTGATTTTTTTTTTCCTGATAAAAATTGCAATTGAAATTTAAATGGTGATTAGTAATATTATTCATGAAAAAACACTTTATTTTACGACCTGCAAACAACTGTGTAAGTGGACCGAAATTACGGTGTACGTTTCTGTAATTATAGAGTACATCCGTGTAGGTATAAGGGAACAATATGTTAAGTTGTGGGTAATAAAGGGGTAACAAGCAGATATACAACCTGCAAATAACTTTGTAGTGTAATTATTTTAAAACGAACAGGTACCTATTCTGTTAATATATTCCAGGCAAAAATTGTACGACTCTTGTATATAAAAGTTATCATCACATTTCTGGCAAAATATGTTCTTGTGCAATTTTACAGGGTAATTTTGACATCTGTGGGTTGACATGACAAATCTAATAAGAAAAGCCAATAAATTCATTTTTATCATTCTGTGCTTAGCCCACATACAGCCGAGCCAGACCGATATATCGGCAGGCCGATATTAGGCATTTTCCAAACTATCGGTATCGGCAGTTATAATGGCTGATAAATTAATATATCAAAAATAAAATAAAAACAACGCTTGAATGATGAAACACGCTTGAACCATGTCATGAGTGTTGGAGTTGTATAGTTTGTCCACCAGATGGCACTCTACACCGTCCCTGTTGGCAACACTTGTTGAGTTGGTCACGAAAAATACATTGTTTGAATAACAATTAAAAGAACATCCCCATCATAAATAACTACAAATAACTAATGTTAGGGAAATCTGTTAATGTTTTTTTGCACGTTTCTGAAAAAAATAAAAATATCGGCCAATATATCGGAATATCGGATTTTAAAACCAAAAAATATTCGGTCGGGCTCTAATATATATATATATATATATATATGTGTGTGTGTGTGTGTGTGTGTGTATACACATTTAATTTTTAACCCACAGATGTCAAAATTACCCTGAAAATTGCACAAGAACATATTTTGCCAGAAATGTGATGATAACTTTTATATACAACAGACGTATACAATTTTTGCCTGGAATATATTAACAGAATAGGTACCTGTTAGTTTTAAAATAATTACATTAAAAATTATTTGCTTGTATATCTGCTTGTTACCCCTTTATTACCCAATACTTAACATATTGTTCCCTTATACCTACACGGAAGTACGCTGTAATTACAGAAACTTACTGTAATTTCTTACTGCTGGGTCGTAAAATAAAGCGCTACCAAAAATGTTTATAAAAATATAGTAAACAAAATAATGGATATTTCATTGTAAAAACAAAATAAAAAAAAATAAATAATTTTGTTGTTGTAAAATTACAATACTTACATTTAAGGCTGTTTTTATTTCTTCATTTTCAAAGTTAGACCATCAAGATTTTATTTTGGTGAAAACCACGAGGAAGCCTCTATTTTGTTGACCACGGTTGGCTTATAAACGCTTTTCATTACAATTTTGGGAAGCTGGTTGGCAAATATTGTGCTTCCAATTGTATGAGCGACCCAAACTCAGCAGTTGCAGAGATGAGAAACACGTAGCTTATATTTTTATTTCATTAAATAACAGCCTTTGCAATTTGATAATCACACTACACCCATATCGTGATTTCAGTTTATTTCGATTTAATTGAGCAACCTCGATTTAAAATTGCAATTATTTTTTACATTATTAGTAATGTTTGCATCACTATTAGAGTTAGGGATTTGAACAAACTCCAGTAAACAACCACATAGCAACACCCTAACTACCACCCTTTGCAAACCTGGCAACTATCTGGTAACTATCACAATACCTTGGATTTGTGGGGTTTTGCACGAGCAAGAGGAACTCATATTTGCATCATAAAATGTGAAAATCGAATTGTTATCAATTGGTTTTCTTATTTAACATGATGTTATATTGATACACGCTGTGAGAATCTCAATATTTGATCTTTTTTTCTTTAGGTTGTGAACTATCTGTTGAAAAAGTTGGAGCTGAATTACCACAGACACAACACAAGTGAGAACTACAGTTGTGGAACACGCCGGAAGCTGTCTACAGCCTTGGCCCTGATTGGAAACCCACAGATCCTTCTTCTGGTGAGCGAAAAACACACATCATCCCACTTAGCTGAAACTAGTTACCATTTAGTAATCAGTACAGATACATTATAAATCACTGTATTTCATGTTGTCTTGAGTGTTTGCTCAGAGGGGTTTGAATGGGTAAAACGTTGCACACTCATTACAAACACCTCTGAAATGCGTTGGTGTGCTGTTTGGCCAAAGTCTCTAAGCACATCAGTTATTCTAACTTGAAATTTTGGCTTGGTGCATTGCACGAGTGCATTTACCTGGGGAGTGTGTGGGATTCGCACACACTGTTTAAACTCACAGAAACATCCCACATGTTTCTTAAATGTCTCCTCTAACCTCTCAGGATGAACCCAGCTCTGGAATGGACCCACGCTCCAAACGGCACCTTTGGAAGATCATCTCTGAGCAAGTGATGGGCAAATGTGCAGTGGTCCTGACATCACACAGGTAATGACTGCGCTTGACTGACACTGCATCAGTTCCTCCAAACAAATAGGGGGCAGTAACGACACATTTAGCCAAAGCTTTTTGATGCCAAGGACATCCAAATATGATGATCCACTTTCAAATATAGAGTAAGGGACATCTTTTGTGTATTATAAAGCTACATATTTTCTTAGATACAGATGCATTTGTACTGAGAAAAATATTAAGCATGATATATAAGGACAATTACTGGCCTTTATACTAAGCAACCCTCTATTAGACTAATGCCTGGTTCAGATTACACGATTTTATACCGATTTTGGCCCGATCCGTTTGACGTCGGGTGTCGTGGGGATTCGTAAACGACAACGGGCGTCTAGACGCAAGATTCGATCGTATAATATCGTATAGTGTGTTATAGTGGGCGACAACCTACAATTGTCGCGCCTGCGATGCTTCACGACATCACGACAAAAAGACTAGCAAGTTTAATTTTTTTAACGGTCGTCAACGACGGTTCCGTCACATGTAGGAGGTTGACCAATAGGATTACAGAAGCTTTTCCGTACACAACTTTCAAAAATGGCGAAACGAAAGAGTGCTAACGTTAAAAAGTAAAAATATATAAGAAAACAATGTTTTACCTCAAGTTCTCTTTGGAGGATCGACAGCCCATACTGTCCTCTTCGAGCAATCCAGGAACGTGTCCATTGTCGGGTTTTCTTTCTTTTTTTCCTTTTTTTGAACACAGGACAGCCAATCCAACACTCACCGCTTCATCTATTGTTTGTTTACGTTCGTTTCCGGAAGTCACTCGCTACTAGTTTCACCTTCTCGATGACATCACGCGCCTCGTTAAAGATGGCACGCGATGACTAGTCAGGAAGCAACGTGTAGTCTGATATGTGTCTTGTCCACGACACGACAAGATTTTAGGAGTCAAAATTGCGTAATCTGACACAGTGACTATCGTAACAGACAAAACAAATCGTGTAATCTGAATCATAAGATAAGCAGTTATTTAGCTTAACAGAACAGCTTCGGAATTATTGAAATGGTTTTATGGTTTCAACTTCTTTCGGGTTGAATGGTGGCCGTCCCCAAAGAGGACTGACCGAGTAAAGAGTCAGACACGAACATAGGCGTAATTTGCGGGTGTGATATGTCCCCATTGGAACATTTCGCGGCACTACAAACAAATAAAACATTTCCAGTTAACTCTAGTAGAGCATTCAATTCGTTTGTTTGGTAAATAAGAGGCGATCTGAAATGTGTTGTTTTTGAAATAAAGTGACCAAAGAGCTCGTTGCCTCTGCGATCAGTGGCGCGGATATGGACATGAACATGCGCTTCAATCGGTTAGGGGGACTGAGAGAGTCTCTATATTTGTAACGGTGAAATCACAAAACCTAATGCACAAAAAACGTGTCCCTGCTTGATATACAACTAATAATAAACTATCAGTTTTGTGAGGAAAATAAACTACAACTAGTACGGATTAGAACCCAGAACCTCTGACACGCTTGGCAAAAGTTCTGCCCCTGGACCACTAAAGTTCATGGGGAGAATAGCCGGATCTATGTATTTAATCACATGAAAATTCTCACCACTATCAAATAGATCTCATTAAATAACAAATTAAACCCAATGTACTATTGTATAGTATGTAACGCGTCACACTCTGCGTGAGTGGTATTTACAACAGTAACGTTAAATGCAAGTACTCCACAGCGACTCTAGGGGTCGCTGTTTGACAAAAACGGAATTCCTGCATAGTGCCCCTTTAACTAAAAAAATTAAAAAACACATTTAAAATCCCATTTAAATGTAAATACAATAAATGCCATTATAAAGCAGCTTTACATACAATGTAGCCATATCTATACATATATTTTATATATGAAGAGTTCAGATGCAAAAGCCTCTAAATGCCATTTGAAATTTTCTTCTAAAATGACCATTTTTTATCAAACTTGTATATTTAAGTTCAGTAATTTCACTTAAATGACAATTAATAGGTAATCTTCATTGCCATTTAACTGAAATTACTGAACTTTAATATACAAGCTTGATAAAAATGATCATTTTAGAAGAAAATTTCAAATGGCACTTAGAGGCTTTTGCATCTGAACTCTTCATATATATACATATATATTAAATAATGTAGTAAAATATTGCATTAAACATGTTTAACTATATATTATGAGTTAACCTGTTAATGTTTTTTAAACCTAGCCTATGTATCGTTTCAGGCGATGCTTTGAAGCCAACATTCAAATTTTGTCTTATAAGTTTAAATCGTTTTAAAAAACTATACTATACTATGCAATTTGTCTCTGTATCCTACAGTATGGAGGAGTGTGAGGCCCTTTGCACCCGTCTGGCTATAATGGTAAAAGGGCAGTTCAGATGTCTCGGCTCCCTACAGCACATCAAGAACAGGTCAGTGGTTTATCTTTCTGTGTCCTGTGCTTCCTTTCACCAATTATTTTCCATAGTTCTTTCACGTCCCACACTCTAGAGCCTGATTTCTCCTGCAGATGCTTCATAATTTTTTTTCCCTGCTGATAAAATAATCTTGTGTTCATCTGACAGGTTTGGCAAAGGATTCACGGTGAAGATGTACTTAGCTGGATCTTCCTATGATGTAGATATGATCAGTAACTTCATGCAGCAGAATTTCCCCAGCACGTTCCTGAAGGTGAGAAAGAGAAAAAAAAAGCATGTGATAGGGATATTTTTCATTAAACACATTTCTAACACATTCATCTAACACATTTTTGGGGTATATATTCTGGGATATCTCCTAAATTTAAATGAATTGATCACTTTTATTTCTGATTTTTTTTAAATGAAAACCTATTGTGAAAGTTTTAAAACTTTTCCAGTGAAAGTTAGTATCTATTTAAAGAGCACGTATACAAAGTCAATTCACGTTTTGATGCTTGAATGTTTTTCATATTTTACATTGTCGCAGAACCTCTTTCAGTGCTTTCTGATATATAGAGAATAACTCTCTTTGGAGTGACTTTTTAACTTTGCAATCCTTTTTCCGTGCTCAAAAACATTACACATTAAAGAAAGTTGAAAATGGAAAAAAAAAAAACCCACACATAATATATTCTCTTTAAAACTAAGCTGTGAATTCTGAACTTTTTCGTCGTATTTCGTCAGATGAAGATATTTAAGCATATGACAGCCCACATATGTGCCCACGTGCAATTTTTAAAGATTTAAATGACAGTACATCGGACTCGACAGTAATGCACTGTATCTCATTTCACATGTGCAGTAAATAGGGAGTTTACAGAGAAGTCTTTAAGGCACAGAAGAAATAAAAACAGCATGGGTCAGAGAGAGAGAGAGGGTGGAAATGGTCCTAAAAATTCAATTATGCTTGTTTTGGGGACAAAGAAAATTATGTTACTAGCATTATTAGTGGACCTCAGGATTTTTTTTAATTAATTTTTTTATGTGATCCCTTTGCAATACGTGTATTCTGTTATTTTAGCTAGCTAAGTTATCCATCTTCTGTCCAAAAAGGATCATCACTCGAATATGGTGGAGTACCATGTGCCTGTTGCTCCTGGTGGTGTGGCTTCAATCTTTGGCCTGTTAGAGTCCAACAAGGCTGTACTGCAAATCAAACACTTTTCCGTCAGCCAGACCACTCTGGATGAGGTAAGATACATTCTGTGGAACACAAAGATTTTAGTTTATGTTTGAAGAATTTTCACACATCTCATTTCCTATTTCCTTCACACACTATCCAGTGATTTGTCAAGTCATAAAAGTAGTCCTTAAACCAGTGTTTTTTTTTTCATCATTATAGCTTTTATTAAAGCAGCACTATGTCGTTTTTTCAACCTTTATAATATTTTTCCAAAACCCTTGAGATGGTACATCGACTTAAAATAGGTTGAATGACAGGTCTGCCACAGCCTGACGGTGTCTGTATCGCTTTTACTGGCACTCTGTAACTTCGTAGCCTGGGTTTCCCCATTCTGCCTTGCCGCAGCGCGATTTTATTCGTAGGGTAGGGGCTAACGTTAAATTCTTGCACGTAAGTAACAAAACAATCGGTCAGGATAACTATCCTATGTCTGCAGGCTGATAGTCATGTTTGTTACTTATTTTTCTGGTGAAAGTGTCTTGCCTCAGGGTATAATGCGAATCGATTTTTTCAAATTTGCAGATTCATCTATGGTAGCTTGATATTATAATATTGACGACATGGCTATTATCTACAAACAAACATTTAAATGAATTAGCATATCCATTATATAATAGTAAACAATAGGTTAACGTTACTATAAAGACGCTGGCTTGTAAACGTGAGATACGCAATCTTTTGACGTTTGAAAAAATAAAATAAAAAATAAAGCCCATGACACTATATTCATAAGACATGCTGAAATATATGCCAATGTACCTGGGATGAAGACATTTCACACGCAACACTGGCAGTCTGCCCAAGATGTGAGAACTACTTCCTTCTGCAGAGTTCGGGGGTATCGCTTGTCAAATGCACGCGTGTATCCCCTAGTTTGTTTCCCAACTGTAGGGGGAGCCCGAGAGCAAAACTTCAAAAATAACATAATGCTGCTTTAATATTTTTAATGAGATTTTATGGTTTTATTTTAATTTCAGTTAAAGTTTTAGTCATTTGTTCTGACTTTTTGTCAAATGTCATTTTTTTTTGTAAATGTCTAGTTTTGTACATCAGGTTTAGACTAAATGAAAATAGGAGGGCATTATTTTATTTTATTTTATTTTATTATATATTAACATTTATACATGTCTAAAATACACTGAAATGTCTTATACACTGAAATATGAATAAATAATGTGTAAATAATGACAAAATGTTTAATTGTGAAGCTGGTGATGGTGACAATGGAGAAAAATGAACTTGAAAAATGAAAAAAAAAAAACTTGTCTCCTTAGGTTTTCATTAACTTCGCCATGGGGAAAACGGACACAGACGCACAGGAAGTCACGGAAGGATCGGACATCGACAGTCTAGACTCGTACAATGCTTTAGACTCATAAAATATTTGCACATTATGAGATTCAATGAACCTCAAAAAAGACATTAATTTAATATATAGGACATATTTTATAAACACGATCATTTTTTGGGTTTTTGACTTTGATGGAAGGCTATTGAATAATGAAGTCGCCAAATACCTTATGGTTAATTATTGAAGATCATTATGAAAAATTATGTATATTCACCTTCTTTCTACTCTTCCAAATATGGGATCAACATTAAAGAACCTTTTTATGGATTTTTGTTTTGTTTTGTTATTTGCAAAGTCTACATTAGTTTACACATTTTGATGCAAATTCAACGTATACTTTAATTTGTCGTCAAACAAATTCGCTGCTTCTTATCAAAGGAAATTAAGTCATTTATTTACTAAATTGTTTGAAATTTGACCAGCTCTACCAAATATATATATTATATATATTTTAATCACGACATAACAGAATTAATTATGTATGCAGAGAGAAGAGTCCATCCTGTTAAACTGCTGGCTGCATCGATGCAGCTCTTGTCTGGGGTTGAAATAAATCACAAAGACCTTTTTGGCTTGGAGATATAAATGATTCTTCAATGTCTGCACATCTTCACTCTCATTAATATTTTCTCTGAAGGCACATCTCTTGTGCAAGAATGTACTGAATATTTCATCGGCCCTTTCCTCTGTCTGCTGCAAGGCACAGTTCCTCTTTTAAAAATGTACTAAGCTTATTTTTACATTAAAGCTATTTTTCACATGCAGTTGTTGAGCGTTTGTCTTATTGAATGCGGGGCAATTGGTTCTTTATGTCATGAGTTGAGGTATGCAATTTCTTTGCATAGAAAATCGAGCTCTGTGGAAGTGATGAACTAATGATTATTCGAACTGCATTTCAGTTTGTTTGTTTTTTACATATGGGAACACAGGTAAAGTGGGACACCTTGATAATTTGTCACCGGTGTCATATTAAAATAGTTCAAAAGACTTAACCCTCACACAATGACATTTAAAAAAAGCTAAATACCGTCACTACACTTTACAAATTGATTTTTTAAAAGCAAATGTACAACAAACCGTCTTAACCGAATGAACTACTGTATGTAGAGTGATGAATTGTACTTTAGTGATACACTGATACACAATAGTCAAATTAAAATGGAAATTATCAGTCACAACTAACCACGGTATTTAATTATGTTCTTAAGAAAACTTTTTTTTTTTTTCGTTTAGAAGTACTCAAAGTAATGATAATTAAAGACTCATATATTCACTTAATTGTGCTTTTGTGATAAAAGAAAAACAAACTAATATGATTGCAATCTATAATTGTTTAATATTTTATCCAATATACAGTAAAATACAATATACGACGACACACTATTATAGCCTACAATGCCCATGAGACACTACACTTTATATTTAAAGGGTTTTTAAAAACGTTTTGGTTGATTTATATTGACGTTTTATTCTGAAGTAAGTAAACAGGAAGGAAGAAACTTCACAACTAAAAGCCCAGTTGACCAATCAGAGTGTAAGTCCGCTCAACTGAGCTCCTCCCCTTCGCTTCCCCGCTGTTGGCGCCACCTTCAAAAACACGTCTAGAGAAATATTGTGATGATCGGTCTCTTACTCGGTTATTATGTAACAAGAAATATCATCCTGTCAAACTGTCAAAATCTGAGACATTTACCAGGACTAAAGAGACACTTGCACAGTTCCGAAAACTTCCGCTGTGTTCTAAATGGTAGGTTATGTTTAGTTTCATAATGAAAGTAGATTGTGCATCCTGGTCCTAACAGGCCAAAACGTCATTTCAATATGATTTTACAGTTCATATCTCAGGAGAGAGGCGATAAGCCTTGGACTCAATGTACCATATATTGGACCAGATGCTTTGCTGGTTAAATAAATTAGTAAATTATTGGCATGTAGTTTTCGCATCGTGCGTATCTGAATCTGCAGCTTATTTATGGGTTGCAGCTTTATCAGGCTTATGTCATGAATATTTTTTATATCCAGTAGACATAAGTTACATTTAAAACTGTTACACTCTTATAGGCATATGATTGATTACATATTTGACTTTTTCAGTTTGTGTATTTGTCTTTGTGTAGTATATATATATATATATATATATATATATATATATATATATATATACATTCTGCTAGTATGATCATTTTTATCAAGCTTGCATATTTCAGTTCAGTAATTTCACTTAAATGACAATTAATAGGGAATCTCCATTGCCATTTAAGTGAAATTACTGAACTTGAATATACAAGCTTGATAAAAATGATAGTAGAAGAAAAGAGGAGTTCAGGCACAACACTGCCTATTGTTATGGATGGTTGATCCATAACATATTATTTACCTATTGTTATGGATGGGCCAAACTTACTTTCACCCTCTTCTAACCATGTATACCATCGAGTTCATATGTTATTTTTGTCATCCTACCTTATTTCTTCACATTTGGCAGTTTCAGATGTGGTTTTATCTTTGAAAGTCTTCTTAAAAGGCCAGCGTTTCTCTGTCTTCTTCTCAGTGTGGCAGATGAAACTGGTGTTTGGTGTGTACTGTTTATTGAAGCTGCCAGCTGAGCGTCTGTTCCTCAAGCTAGAGACTCTGAAGTACTTGCCTTCTGCAGTGTTGTGCATCTGGCCTTGTCCACTTCACTCTCTGTCCTGGTTCAACACAGTTTACTTTCTTATTTCGAAGCAGTATTAAGTGCAATAGCCTTTATCTCTCAAATGAACAAAAACGGCTGCTTTTCTTGAGAAAGCTGTTTCTTTACAGCCCTTTTTGAAGCGAGAGTTTAGGAATGCAAGTGTGCTCAATACTCAAAACAAAGCCGTAGAAGTGCTGTTTCTACACATCATTAAGTAGGACAACCTTTTTAACTGCGCTAAGATAATAAGAAAGGGTTCTTTAGTACTAAATGAACATATTACAACACATTACTGTGCTTTGAATAGGGTAATGTTGTCTTAGACTGATTTATTGGCTGCTCAAATGAGGCTTTTCATCACAGATTAAGATTGAATTACATGAACATAAACAGTAATAACACCTTTAGTAATGGTGTTTTTGATCAGTTAAGAGTTACCTTGTTAAGAGAAGTATCACTTTAAAAAAACATGTTGACGATTCCAAATGTTCACAGATCTTTCTCCTTAGCCATTTATTTTGATTTATACTGTATATACTATCGGCAAAAAGTTTGGAAGAATTAAAATTTTGTAATGTTTTTGAAAAGAAGAGTTAAAAACTGCAATATTGTGAAATAATTTAAAGCTTTAATTTATGATGGGAAAGCTGAATTTTCAGCATCACTACTCCAGTCTTCAGTGTTGTGTCTTCATGATATTCTATGCTGATTTGGAGCAATTTTTATTTATTTTTTATTTTTTTACCATTTAAAAAGTTTGCAGTAAGGACGTTGTTTTTTTTTTTAAGAAGTGTATGCTTTTATTCAGCAAGGACAGATTTAAATTGGTCGGAAGGGACAAGGTTTCAAAAGATTTCCACTTAAAATAAATGCCATTCACTGAACTTTCATCAAAAAATCTTGAGAAAAATGTATCATGGTTTCCATAAAATGTTATGCAGCAAAAGAAGTTTTCAACAATGATGATAATAATAATAATAAGAGTCATTATTAAGAACTGAGACATTGAAGGCTGAGACATTGCCTCGAAATAAGAAAGTAAACTGTGTTGAACCAGGACAGAGAGTGAAGTGGACAAGGCCAGAGATGCACAACACTGCAGAAGGCAAGTACTTCTCTAGCTTGAGGATCAGACAATCAGCTGGCGTAATGGTTGCTGAAAATTCAGCTCCGTTGTTACAGAAACTACATATTGAAGTATTTTAAAGAAAAAAAATATTTTAATTTCATAATAGTTTTTACAGTATTTTTGACCACATTTATAGTATAGATGTATACACACACAAATGTATAAGTATATATGTTTATTAGACTACAACGAGGACCACAATGGAAATTAGTTTTGTAACTTCCTTGACAGTTCTGATGTATGTATATGCATATATGAAGAGTTCAGATGCAAAAGCCTCTAAATGCCATTCGAAATTTTCTTCTTTAATAATGATTTTTTATCAAACTTGTATATTTAAGTTTAGTAATTTCACTTAAATAACAATTAATATGTAATTATTGCCATTTAAGTGAAATCACTGAACTTAAATATACAAGCTTGATAAAAATGATCAAATGGCACTTAGAGGCTTTTGCATCTGAACTCTTCATATATATACATATCTGTGTGTGCATGTATACTGTGTGTGTGTATATATATATATATATATATATATATATATATATACACACTACCGGTCAAAAGTTTTAGATCAGTAAGATTTTTTATGTTTTTAAATGAAGTCTCTTCTGCTCATCAAGGCTGCCTTATTTGATGGAAAAAAAAAGACAAACAGTAATATTGTGAAATATTATGACAATTTAAAATGACTGTTTTCTTTTTTAATATATTTTAAAATGTAATTTGAAAGCTGAATTTTCAACATCATTACTGTTGCTGATTACACATCAGTTTTCAGTGTCACATGATCCTTCAGAAATCATTCTAATATGCTGATTTTATGCTCAAAAACATAAATTATTATTTTCAATGTTGAAAACAGTCATGTATCATTTCCCCCCCCCAAAATTCTATGATGAATAGAAATTTAAATTTCATTTATTTAAAATCTAATCTTTTCTAACATTATAAATGTCTTTTCTGTAACTTTTGATCAATTGAAATCATCCTTGATGAATAAAAGTATTTTCTAATTTCTTTCCCCAAAAAATAAAAAAAATAAATTCTTACTGAGGCCATCCTTAAAAATATTTTGGTTTGCAGTAACAGCAATTTTTTTTAAAAAAAGGGTCGGTAGGTAGGTCTATATTTTTTTTTCCAAGATTCAGTGTAAAAAAAAAAGGTACAATTTTGGAGATGGTGATCGTGAATTTAAAAAAAAAAAAGCATATTGTGACGTCACTGACTGGGTCTTCAAACTGTGCATCCACCGCTAGGTGTTAATGCAAAATACGACCAGTTACATTTTAGGCTCAAAATGTCACAAAATGTATAAAATATCTATTTGTTATGCATATATACATGAGATCAGCAAAAACAAGTACAAACACATGGTCAAACAAAGAATACAATTAAACAAAGATACAAATTAGCCTATATACACAGTGCTTTAATTTCAGGAAGGTCTAAAATTAGCTTTTCAGTCAAGTCTGTCGCTCTCTCTGAAAAGAAATTTAATTTAGCTAGTAATCAAATGTAAAATGACACTACATAGTTTATCATAGTTAGATTAATGCTTATTAAAGTTTAAGTTATTCATTCAAGAGCTGTGAGTGATTTTTATCTGCCTTTTGTTGTTTGATTCGCATTGGCTCAATCGTCACGTTTATTAGACTACTGCCCCTTTAAGACCGAATGCAGAACTCTACTGTAATAGATGACTGATGCACCATCATTTTCTCCCAATTTACATCCAATTAAGACATAAACTGTGTTTAAATGAATCTCAGAGCAGGTCATTTTATATTTTATGTATATTTGATGGTTTAGATGCGCACATGAAGCCCAAAATGAGGCGATAGCCTACTTTTCTTGTCTCGTTTTAGTGCATTTCGGAGCGCGTGTCGCGCGTCGTGAACAACTTCTCTTGCGCAGACTTTTGTGCTTTTAATAGCTCTTTTAATGATTGAACGCGTCCG